AGGCACCAGAGTTAGGACCCTGAGTGCTTCTTAGTGATCCTCTCTTAACCTACTTTTTGGTTCCTTTCCTTTGAGGTTCTGTTATTTGTTTATTCTGTTGTTTGCTTTCTTTGTTTGGCACAACCTTTCTTCAAACCTCCCGGACAATTCAGATCAGGTTACATTGCAAATGAAAGTTTCACCGGCTGTGTCTTCTGGAGGCACAAGAGTTTATTCCAAATGTCTTGTCTCATGCTACAGTGAAAATGGATAGCCCCTCTGAAGTTTCTCTATGGGTAGAGTTCCTCAGTTAGCAATAGGCAAACTTAGAAGATCTCTCTCTCTCTCTCTCTCTCTCTCCCCCACCCCCTTTCTTCCTCTCCTCCTTCCCTCCCTCCCTCTCTATCTAGCACATACCGCACACAGTACAGGTATTAACTCAGCAAGTTTTGGTTGCCATGAGACTTCTCTTGAAAACTTTACATCTGTCCCCAGCCATGGAAAGAGCTGAGCACCTGTCTGGATAATTCACACACAGTTCCCTGCCCCACCCCACCTCATCTAGAATGACTCAGGCCAAAATAGATCAAAGCACATTCTTGTGTTATTCATTATTAGTAACAGTGGCTATCAAAATTGTTAGCTTTTCTGTTTCTCTGCTTTGAAGGGAGGCTGGCTCCAGGAGTCGCTGGATTAAGGAAATTCACATTAAGGAAGTTGTATTATAAAATCTGCCCCAGAGACAAGCGAGGCTTCTTAGTTCTTAGTGAGAAGCGCACAGTTCTATTGCTAGGATCCTGGAGGACATGATATTAGCCTGGACCCACCAGGCTAGCTTCCCTTACTGAATAAGAGGGGAGGACCTTCTTTGCACAGAAAATATAGCAGGCCTTGTTTTCTGCAATACATTTTGAGTGAAAGTGTTTCCTGTCAGGTTGGTTAAGAGCCCCTCCTGGGCAACGGGGGTGTGTGTGTGGAGGGGGGGTGGAGGGGGGTGGGGGCGGTGGGTTCACCTTGAGAATGATTCTGGATTCTCCCCCACTGCGTGCCTGTGAAGTGAAGTGACATTAATGGGATAGCGTTGGGACTGGACCTTACACAAACCAGAGAAAAGAATGTCTTCCTTTGTTTTGCTATTCCCATTAGCTTATCCAGATACGTAGATTACCTTTGCTTCTCATCGTCCATTCTCCTGGACAGTTGTCCTGAATGAGGGAGATCTTTGCATGATGAAGACAAAAACTAGTGAATTCAGACTCTGTTACCTGCTCACTTATCTGTTAGATTAGTTACTTCACCTTTAGGGTCCTCGTTATCTTCATTTCAGAAATAAGAATCTTAATAATTTCTTCTTTGATCTGATAGTATTATTAAGATAGATCAGCAGTCTTTGCTTTTAAAAATTGAGAACCTCAAAGAACTTTTTTTCTTATAGCTGTTAATATTTATCATTTAAAATTAAAACAGAAAAATATTTATTTTTTTAGAAGATAATCATTACTGTTAGCATTTTATGCCTAGGCTTTTTTATGAGAGATATTTTCCAATATCAAGGAGTTAGTGAGAATAGTGGTATTTTTTTACATTTTTTCAAATCTCTTTAATGTAAGTAATATAGAAGACAGTGGATTCTCAGATATACTTCTGAATGCGGTGTTACATTGTTTTGGTTGAAGTATATGGCAAAAACCCACCTTTCTAAACTAATTTGAAAGGGAAGAGTTTTTAAATATCTTTTTTGGTTAAATATGGATATTGTCCTTTGATTCCACATTAAAACTCACTAAGTGATACTGACTTAAAGATTAGTTGTAATTGCAATCTGAAGTCATGTCAGTAAACTTCATATATTGTATTAAAATTCATTGATTTATTTTTTGTTTTGATTTTTTTCCTTTTCTTTCTTTGTTTTTTTTTTTGTTGTTGTTGGTACTGGGGATTGAACTTAGGGCTGCTAGCTAGGCAAGTCCTCTACCACTTGAGCCATACCCTGGTCCTTAGTTTATCTTGTGCTTTAAATGACTCATTTAGCCATGACTAACTTCTAAAACCTCATAATTACTCATTTGGAGAATATTGAATCACTAAGTAACATAGATCTTCCAAAATGACAGTGGCTAATACCATTGCCAGTCTCATCTGAAAAGTGTTAACTATTGAGAAGCTGTCAAGTTCAGGGTGGCAGATACATGTTTTCTAAAATTCTAACTTTTGCTTGAAAGCTCAGATTTTATCATTGGCAGCAAATACTGTTTTCCTGGAAGCGACAGGCTCTCTTCATTCTTTTCAATAATATATCTGCCAAGTGTTCAAGTCTGAATAACAACAGTTATAAAGCTGTTCTTTGAAGTAAAAAAAAAAAAGAAGGCATTCTAAGAAAGAAGTGACTAGTCTGGTTTTCACTGCTAGTAGTCACACAAGTGCCTTTCCCAAGGTCTGTAGCCATTGTACTTCCATTTCTGAATGCAGAAATGCTCAGCATTCTTTCCATTTCATCACAAAATCTCAAAAGAGATACCACACAAGAATCATGTAACATCGATCAGTGCTGCGTCAGGGATGTCTTTCAGACATTTCCCCTCTTGTTGTAAGCAAATGACAGTGAAGGATGCAGAGTTCCTGGACAGTGGGTGCTGCTGCCTTGGTGAAGTTTTGCTCCTGGGCTCCTTTACATCTTACTGTTCTGCATTGCGAATGCTAAGACTGTGGGGGAAAGCTTGCAGCATCATGGTATTATTTTGAGAATAATTTTGACCTACCACTCCATGAATGGGATTTTTGGGACCCCAGCTGTCTGCAGGCCAACAACTGAGAACCACCATGAGAGATAATAGAAAATAGGTATTATTTAGCCAACACCGAAAAGTTCACCTTTTCTTGCTGGTTTTTGTCTTTTGTGGCTGGCCGACTTGGTGAAGAGCTGGTTCTAATGAAGGTGGCCTTATGGAGTTAATTTCAGTGAAATCATGTTAGAACTCCTCCCTGGCTCCCCATTGCTTTTTCTCTTTCTCCGTGTTATATGGAGGCTGACAGCCACAAGCCAAGAAGATCTGTCTAACCCTTACCTTTGTGTATGTTGTTGAACTCCTATGTTTTAGATGAGATCAGGCGCATTCACGGTGGTATGGCTGTATACTACTCATATGTTTTGAATGTGATTATTTCCTCATCTTTCACATGAAGAGTTTTAACTCTGGTTTCAGAGGATGGGCTTTGGTGGCTCATGAATCCTTGAAATTTTTATAGAATTTTCTTTTTTTTTTTTTTTTTTGGTGAGGGGTGAAGAAGGAGGATTGTTGGGGAAAGTTAATGACTTTAGTCAAATCTTAAAGAGGTCTCTGACCTGTTTCCCTACAAACTCAAATTAATGCCTATCTCAAATTGACATTTTTATGGGGTGGCATTTCCTCACCTATTATCCATTTCCTAACACATTTCTTCTGAAAGAATTTTGCAAGCTCCCTGCCTGCCTTGGGTGGTCTTTCCTTACCAGCCCCTTGGCATTCCTTCCCAGTCCACATGAGTATGGACTGTGTGCTGACATGTCACTTAACAGTTGTTTTTGAGCTGCAGGTGGGCAGCTACCATGCATCTTCTTTCTTTGATAATCCAGAATGCAGTCAGAGTCTGGAGTCCTTCAGAGGCTCACTTAGGGATAATTCAGGCCAGAGAATACACCCAGTCCAATTAGTGGGTTCATTTGTGAACTATTGAGATGTGCGAACTTGGAATATTTATTTATACCTCAACCCCAAGATGTATTTTTCTCCCACACATGCTTCTGTCTGCTTCTTGAAACCCAATTGCTGTCAGGAAAGCTGCAAGGCAGTCTGCTTGGTTCCTACAGCAGCATTTGGATCACTTTATCTGTGGGAGGAGTGTGGTGACTACCGCTCACTGATGAGAAGTGGTGGAGGTTTCTGCAGCATAAAGACACGACATGTATCCGTGTTGTAAAATGTCAGCTCCTTTCCCAACATCACCTTTGCCTGGCTTGCAGAGGAGGTGGCACAAGGTGGCTCAGAGTAGCTCTGCAACAACAGAGCACTCCTTGCAGCAGCAAGAATGCCCTCCAGGGTGTCAGACTCACCAGATTGAGAGTTAGACAGCACTTTTTATAGATGGCACTCTGACTTAAATTATGTGGCTGTTCCCTACTTCACAAAAACCTTCAGTTTTGTAGTGTGTTGGCTTAATTCAGTGGCCTCACAGTTTTTGAAAGAGTATCGGCCTGTCTCACAGCACGCGCACTAGCACTCAATGTTTGGGCAGCCACACTCTCCCTGTGCTTCGGAGGAGGCAGGAAAATAACGCAGCAGCGAACAGGCCAAAGTGACTGAATTACGCAGAGGCAGCAGAGCCTCTAAGTTGTACATGGAAGGCAGGTGTGTAGACATCAGGTCTAATATTAATACCTTGTTCAAGAATGTGCCTTGGCTTGCTGGGATGCATTTATTTTTAAACTGAGCTTTCTGAACAACATTTGAATGGTAGTGGCCTCCTGCCTTCTACCTGTGCACATTCCCTGCAGTATACTAAATCTCTCTTCCTCACATGGCATTTTTTACTTGATATGTGTACCCTGATTCTCCATCTTCTTGGGCTGAGACCTGCAACCTGGCTTGACCTATGTCTGCCTCGCCAGGAGATCCAATAAACAGGATGTAGGAGAATTTGACTCTCCTTAAACCACTGAATAATAGTACAGGTGATGTTAGTGGTCATGAAATCCTAGATCAGGGTTGCCAAGTTAGAGCGCGTGTTCTTGGTCTCTGTGGACAGAGCCCTTCATGCTGGAGGGCTTAGTTGAATGTTGGTGTGTGTTCTCTTTGATTAACTTTCTCCTCCTCAAGGGCTCAATCTGGTCTAAACTTGCTTGGGGAAGATGCCACTTGGGGGAGAGGATGGTAAGGTGAATCTTGGCTCTGCATTCTGACCAGATGGCTTCTGTTATTGCATGATCAAATGTGCTGCCTCACGACTCTGCCTCTCGCCACTACAGTGCCCTTTCTGTTTTTAAGGAAAGAAGGATTGTCGAAATGTGGAAGATGCAAGCAGGCATTTTACTGCAATGCGGAGTGTCAGGTAGGTGCTGGGTCCGCTGGCAGGGAGGGCTTTCTCTCGGAAGATCGGGACCCCTAGTGTCCTCTTGTCCTTGTTGGCATTCTGCAGTGCCTCCCTGCAGCCAGAGCATACCTTGTGTGTGTACACACTGTCCCAGAATGAACAGGCAGCCAGTGATAGGCAGTCTTAGTTTGGGGTCACATGCAGGATCCAAAATGAGGTGCAGTAATGGGAAAGACACAAGGAAAACTGTGTTAGGTACAGACAGGGACATTGATAGTCTGCCCCAAGGATTCCAGCAATAGGTGGAAAATACAGAGATGATAAATGAAAAAATACTGTCTTTAAAAACTTTTAAAAGGTTGTAAAGGATCTGTAATTTTAGAAATTCCTATAGCAGCATCTATCTCTTGCCCTTGGGTTGTTTGAGCCCAGCCAAGTTATGACTAGAGTCAGTTGAGCACCTGGCACAGCCTTTGCAAGACCAGAGGTGGCTGCTGTGAACTTGAACCCAGCCAGTGCCTTGGAAGCAGCCAAGGGCTGAGGGTCTGGGGTGTGGGGCTCAGGAGGCTGGGTGTGATGGATAAGTCTCAGGTCCTGCAATGTGAGAATGGGAAGGTAAATAAGGAGGATGTTGGAGGACCCCTTGGTAGTCCTTTTGAGGGACTAATGACAGACCATTATAGTAAACACTAGTTGAGTAAAATGTTCTTAGATATTTCACAGAAAATGCATTCCATAGTCAATTTAGGGAAACATGGCCTCTTAACTTATTTCACAGCCTTTTATAGTTGTTTGTCATTATATACATTAAAAATTTCTAATTTACCTCTAAACTCTCCCTGTTTTTTTTTTTATTATTATTTTTTTAAGGGAACCTGTTAATACACCTGGGAAAATGCTGATGCTGTTAAAGTATGGCTCTAAGTGGCAAGAAAGATTTTTCTTTGTATCTGGACCTCTTTGTTATGTTCTTCTTATACCCAGTGTTATGCACCCTCAACCTTCCCAAACCCCACCTCCTGTCCACTTTTGATTACCTTCTCACCTTGCTGTGCTCTTGGCCTCAAAGCACAGTGGGAACAGTGGGAGTGATTGCTAAGTCCTGTGTCTGATTTGTCAGCAGAGCTCCAATGACAGTGGCCCCTTGCCAGAGTGAAGCACATACAAAAGCATTGACTTGGGAATTTCAACCTCCCTTAGCTCTGAAGACCATGTGCACAGTCCCTTTGCCTGCCATGGCAGGTTTCCAGAGATACTTGGCCCATGTGACAGAACAGCAATATGGCTTGTGTTGAGTTTCAGGGAGTGTGTCTTCTTTGCAAGAAGAGAGATCATACTTAGACTGGTTGTGGAAAGTGTAGAGCCCAGCAGGTCTTAGGAAATACATGGTTTGACAACTTGTACATGTAAGTCAAGCACTTCTAGATGTTCTTTAGAGATGCAAACATAGCAAATCACATACAGTCCAGATAATAGAACACAGAACGGTAAGAGGAAATGGCCAAGGAGCAGGTTCTAGAGCTCCTAATTCCTAACTCTGTGAGCATGACAGGTCACAGAGTTGCACTTCCTTTAAATGTAAACCGAGGACTGGGTTTCCATCTTGATGAGTTATAGGAACCAAGTAATACAAAAGAAATGAAAGTTGTATATAAACTGATGTTCTGAACAGACATGAGGGGTTATATAAGCAATAATATTGGAGTTCACAAGTAAAGTTGAATTTGTAAAATTGAGGCTGTACTGAAGCTTAGCTTTATGCAAAGAAAAAAGCCAACATACTTTTGATTTAAGGGGCTTGGTTTCTAACTCAAGAGAACGGCTGGCTCCTAAGAATCAAGGGCACTAATGCTGTATGTTGGGTGAGTCATGCTTATTGCAAAATGAGTCTGAACTCCTCTGAGAGTTCATTAATATAAAATCTCAGGAGTCATGGCCTCTGGGTCTCCTTCCCACTGCTAAACTCTGTTTCATTAGGTCTCACTATGTGGCAATACCTGGATGAACTGTCCTAGTCCAAGTTGGGATGTCAAGGCGCCCATTATGGTTCCTGAGGCACTAGTTCTCCATGTTTGTGGACTCTGGAGCATGCAGTGAGGGATCTCTTCTTTGGGGGAGACTTACTTAACCCCAACTTTTTATTGCTTTATAGTATACTTTGACAGCCTGCATGCTGTTCCCCTGAAGACTGCATGGGTGGTCACATCATAGTAGCTAGGAACCCTGGGATGGAGGACAGACTAGTGGGACCGTAATATTCAGAGGTGGCAGGCCAAGATATCCTCCTGATGGACAGTTTTCCTTCCGTCTTGTTGCTCAGTTCCTAGGCCATGTACCCTGTGCCCTGGGAAGTGCTTTGCAGCTCTGTTTTTCTTGTGCTTCTAAGAATCTAGTGATCAGAGTACCCTTCTAGGTGCAAGTGATGACACACCTCTCAAAGCCTTTGTTTGTAAAGGTGACATTCCTGTCAGTTTCATTTTTTTTTTCATCTCTTTCCTGTTGCTGAGGGAAGAGACTAATGGTCATTAAGGTTTTTCAGTCTTTAGAACTGAAGAACTGAGTAAGTGTGGGGCAGTGTGTTATAATGAAGTAGAGTAGTGTAAAGGAAAAGACTAGAAATGGAAGGAAGTACAAGGGCTTCACTCAGGAAATCATTGCAAGAGGAGAGATCATACTTTGACTGGTTGTGGAAAGTGTAGAGCCCAGCACGTCTTAGGAACTACATGGTTTGACAACTTGTACATGTAAGTTAAGCACTTCTAGATGTTCTTTAGAGATGGGGCATTTGCTCCAGATGAAAATGTATTCGGGGGCCCTACTGAGAAGTTGCTTAGATGGGCTTAAAGTGGAGGCCCTATGGAAGGATAAAATGTGGCACCAAAACCAGGAACAGTGATGAGGAAGGCAATTGAAAGATTGTCCACTGAAGAAAGCTTGGCTCTGCTGCTCCTTGACCCCACCCACCTGGAGTCTGTAGATGGACAATGTCCCACAGCAAATGGAGTTAGACTGGAGGTTGTCTGGTTCAACTTGTCAGTAGATAAGAATGTAGTGGTGCCCAAAGCAGTCAAGTGACCTGCCCAAAGTCATCAACGGCAGAATTGGGGTGACATCTGACACACTGTCAGGGAAAGCTTTTACCATTTGACACCAGTGCCTATGGGAGTCCTATGGGCCTTCCAGCAATGGAGGCACTGTGGGGATGTATCAGAGAAGGAGAAAGCTTTCAGTGGATGTGGAAGGGCAGAGCTGTGTCCATTGATAATGTAGTGGCTAGAAACCTCCCCAGGAGTGCAAAGGCACACATCCTTCCTGGGGTCTCCTCTTTTCATGTAATAAGGTGTCTTTGGGGATTCCACTCACTGTGTGTGTCCTCCCCAGCTTTCCTCTGCCCACAGTGCTTTAGGATTTTGCTTTATTTACTGTGGTTGGTTTTTATCTTGTCCCATTTACTTTTCTCTTAGTTCACTTGACTCAGTAGGATGGCGCCAGAGGAAAGGTTTTAATTGATGATCATGAAAAGGTATGAGGAGGAAATAAAAAAGACAAAGAAATTCCTTTTTAGTTAGGCTTATTATTTTGCAACCTGTATGTTTTAATGAACTATATTTATTTTTATAAATGTGCCTGGAAACCTGAGTATACTACTCACTCAGACTTCTTTATTAAATTATATCATGACATGTTCAAGGAGAATAGTTTTAGAAAGATGGTTTTGTGGGTTTTTTTTTTTTTTTTGGTGGGTTTAAACTCAGAGCCTCACACTTGCTAAGTAGGAGCTCTACCACTTGAGCCACACTTCCAGCCCTTTTGCTTTAGTTCTTTTTCAAATGGGGTCTCTCATTCATGCCCAGGCAGCCTGAACCACCATCCTCTAATTTATGCTTCCTCTGTAGCTGGGATGACAGGTGTGCACCATCACACCCAGCTTTTATTGGTTGAGATGGGAGTCTCATGAACTTTTTACTCAGGGTTGGCCTTGAACCCCAAATCCTCCTGATCTCTGCCTCCCAAGTGGCTAGGATTATAAGCATGAGCTAGTACCCAGCTAAGAAGTTTTTGTACAGGATAATCATTATGCAGTAGAACAGTCTGGTGGATATTTCTTAACCTGAAATGTAGAGAAAAAAGTCTGTTTTATAAGGGGAAGTGATAGATTATAAGTATGCTTTTGAAAGTAGCGAGGGGCATGTCCTCAAAAAAGCGTGTGAGGAACATGTAGCAAAAGATATAATTGAAGTGTTGGAAATGTTTAATCAACGCTTGTGGGACCCTGTCGTTGTTATGGGTGATTAGTGAATGGGGCCAGAGTCTTAGGTTCCGTCCTGGCTGGGCTCACGGTAGTCTCTTCACCCAGCCATGGGGGGCATCCTAAACCTGGGTTTCTCTTTTTTCTAGAGTACTGTTTTTTTTTTTTTTTTTTTTTCTGGTAGTACTGGGTTTTGAACTTGCTAAGCAGGTGCTCTACCACTTGAGCCACTCTACCAGCCCTCTCTTTTTTCTAAATGTTCAGCATGACCAGGGGGAAGAAATGTGTGTGGATGACTGATTAAATACCATCACTTCCTTTTTGGGAGTTCAAAACACAGTCCACACCCTAGGGATGGTGGCTCAACAACAGTTGTCCTTTTTGTATAAGATAGCCCGTGTCCACCTGACTTCTTTTGCACTCTTCCTCTCAAAAATAAATGGCAGTACAAAGAAGAAATCCAGTGGCATTTTCTTGCTCTTCCACATTTTAAGAAATGACATGCATGTGTGCAAGTAGACTACATGTTAGTTTTGAAAGCACCATTAGAACAATAGAAATATCCAATGCTAGAGTTAGAATTCTAAGAAGGCTTCATGATGAAAATTCAACTGTCTTATCCAAGAAGACAATATCATTTGCTCAGCAGAAAACAGGATACCATCAGGGTCTCTCCTTTCTTTCAGTGTTGGAAATGCTGGTGCAACATGAAACAATTTTGCAACTCTTTATATATCTTGAAGTGATATTGTTTGTGCAGAAAAATGAAAGAAAGTCATGCACAGCAGTTAACTGCCTTATCTAAAAATGAAGCGTCAGTACAAAAAAATGCCATATCTTAATTTTGTATAGATTTGGTTGCTTAAGTTTATTACAGCAGTTGGTGCTCATTATAGAAAAATCGGAAAGTGCAGACTAAAAGAACAGAGAGGGTATTTTATCCCTTGAGAGAACGCCACTAGTAACAGCTGCTTTGGTTCATATCTTTCTGAATCCTTTCTGTATATGTATGTTATTTTTCTGGAAAATGGGTCCTAGTTTATATAAAATTTTATCTAGCAGAAGTAATAGCTTGAAAGAACTTTGAAGAAAAACAGTAGTTTTAGGAAAAAAACATTTTAGGAAAACAAAAGATGTTTTAAAAGGCAAAAGGAGTTGCAAAACCTTCCATGTTCAACAAAACCACCAGTATTAGAAAACAAAACAGTTAATAAAATCAATTCTTACTCATCTGGTTAGCCTGTTTTTTTTGGGGTGGGGGCAAAAAAATCCTGCCTAGTGTAGTTGTTGATAATTTCTTATGTGCACTATTTGGACAGGTTGCTTCTGTCAGGTTCTCCGAGATCTATGGATCATCACTATGGTAGAAGAAGTGTATCAAAATGCTTAAGGAGGCTAGAGGCTGTTGCTCAGTGGTAGAGCGCTTGCCTGTCATGCACCAGGTCACCACGGGTTACATCTCAGCACTACAAACAGAACAACATGCTCAAAACCTAGCTGATACTTGTACCAGATGTTGTCCCTCCCCCTCTCCTTTTTTCTTTAAGAATTAGAGCTGAGCAGTGCAATTGTGATGCAGTCTGTCCTTCTTCCTTTAGTCCATCTCTCTCATCACCTTCAAAAGGGAAATGAGACATTATTATCATGGTAAATCTCCCTTGGTGTAACTTACATGATTCTGCATTTCCTGGAATTTATCCAGATCTCTGGTTTAACTGTGTGTGGGGGACTGTATCTAATTATAGGTGCTCTTACTTTTACCCTTGTGCTCTGACATGGTCGTGAATTGCTTGAAGTTTGTCTTCCATCCATGCCTCTGAGGTCAGTGGCAGCACCTGTACTGAGTGAACCAACAACTGAATCATTACCAGTGTTTGTTGAGGTTGCACTATTTGAAGTGTTTCCTGTGGGTTAGTTGATGGAACCCTTGCAAGGATCCTTTGTGTTTGCATGAATGCCTGATGATCACAATTTAAAAGTTCCACGTCTGCTAGTAGTCTTCAAGCTTTTGTCTAAGTATCACTGTTGGAAGGTGTATATAATCCGGCCCTCAATTTCTGGACCGTTAATTAACGTAGGGATCATGTTATTTACAGCCACGGAGACGGGCAAAAAGGGATTAAGAGGCTGTGTGATATCACATAACTGCTTTGCTGCAGAGTGGACAGGACATTCAAGTCTCCTGAGTCCTGGGCCAGAGGCCCTTCTGACTGCATAGCATTCTCCTTCTCTCCCAGAGCATTTGTTGAAGAGCATCTCTCCCCTCCCATGACATTTACATCATAAACATCAGTATTTATATTAACATTAATTTAAAATTAATTATACCAATAATTAATGACACTCATAAATGTTAATGTTTAACTTCTTTCTCCCAGAAGTTCATTGTTGGTAAACACCAAAATGCCACCCACAGTTCAGAAAAACAGCAGTTTACAGGCCCTGAGGACAGAGATGGTGTCTCCATTAGACAGAGTTCCTGGGTTCATGGTGGGCACTTGCCTGGAGTTGTTAACTGCCCTCCTGTCCCAGCTGGTGGTCTGCCTTTCCCTTAGGTGTCCCAGGCCTTCTTTGTCCTTTCCTCTTTGCTTACAGCTGGGAGGAAGTCTCTTGTCTATAGGGAGCTAGACCCACCTGTTCCCATCTCATTGCCTCATCCCTATGCTCTCGTTTTAGGCTCTGGCTGAAAACAGATCCTCTGCTCCCTTGGGCATATCTTGTCATTTCTTTCTCTCCCTGCTCTCAGATATATTCGGCATGGCGTTATTTAACTCTGCAGAACATCTTGGCACAGAACTTGACCCAGACAGTTGTGCCAGGTTCCACACTAAGTCGTTAGCAGTGGGTGTTTTTCCTTCTCTGGATTGAGGTGAAGGAAAGAGCAGGGAGACATCTTCATTCTCTCAACAACTCTACTGAGGGCCTACTAAACACCAGGCACAGGTGTACATCTTGGGGTCACAGCCATGAACACAACAGACTAAGTTCCTTTGTTTTAATGGGGGAAGACAGGTATTAAACCAAGTAGCTAACCCATATGTCTAGTATCAGATTTTGAGAAGTACTAAGAAGCAGCAGAAAGCAAGGTAAGGGAGAGTGATTGGGAAAGGGCTGTTTTTGGCAGGGTCATCATAGCAGGTGGCTTGAGAAGGTGACATTGGAGGAGTAGAGGTGTGTAGAGCAGAAGGAGGGAGGGAGCCATGTGAAAAGTTTGAAGAAGACAGTGATAGACAGGAAACAGTGCAAGTACAAGGTCTGACAGCAAGGACACTGTTGTGGCCAGAAAGAAGCAGGGGAGAGTGGGGGTGGGAAGATGATGGAGTTGGAGTGGTAGTGGGAACACCTTTCCCTGTGGCCTCACAGGTCATCTTTAGGACTTCACCTTATGTCTGAGCTGAGAAGCCATTAAAGTTTCTGCGCTCAGTTTTGTGTAACAGGATCCCTCTGGCCCTGTCGTTGTCTGTGGGGGCCATGGGCAGAAGCAGGCATTGGTTAGAAGGCAGTGGAAGTAATCTTGGTGAGTGGTGTCAGGACTGCTACAGGGTAAAAGGGTCAGGGTGGCAAAAAGGTGTCAGACTCTAGATATGTTCTAAGGGCAGAAAGGAAGGAGCATCAAAGAGCAGATGTGACGTGTGAATAAGTACACGGGCTTCAGGAGACTCCAGGCTTCTGGCCTGGGCATCTGAAGGAACAGACTTACCATTTTCTGAGCTGGGGAAGGCTGAGGGCAGAACAGGATAGTAGCCATTCCATTGTGTGCAAGAGAGTGTCTGAGGGCTGTCAGTGAACATGTTCTGATTTCCCATCTAAAAAGCAAATCCCCTCAACCCCTCATCCCTGTAAGCCTTCACCTATTTCACATTTCCTCCCATTCTCTTGTGAATCCACTCCCAGCAGCTTCTCACCTCATCACTCCACCAAAACTATAGGGTTTTTGTTGTTTTGTTTTAAATCAAAGTCAGTTATGACCTTTGCAATATCAGATCAATATTTGGTCACTTCACATTATACCTATCACCAGTCTTGGCATCATCATTTACTCCCTCTTCTTTTCTTCTTTTTTGGTCTTTAAAACACCATTGTGTCCTCTTCCCTTTACCTTTTCCATCTCAGTGGATCACATCAGTACCCTTCCAGTAATGAAAACAGCCCTTTAACCCTCTACCTGGAACAGAAAAGATTAAAGATATGACAAAAAACAAACAAACAAAAAACCCACATTTTTGGGGGGGAGGGTGTTATCAAATGAATATGAGAAATTCTTTTTCATGTATTCTTAATAGTTGCCATTGCCAGACATTTTGAGGGCCCTTGACAAAGTCCTCATTTGTGTTTCTTCTTTTCTTTTTGTAATCTGTGTAAGCCACCTGTCAGTTACTGCCCTGATGTGAGAAGAGTCAGAACAGGACCGTACAGGAGCAGAACCAAATCAGTGGCCAGTACCCCATCCCTGCCCTGCAGTCTGACAGCTTACACAGATAATGGAAGGGTATACATGTTGTTTGGAATAACTGGGCTGCTTGCTGAAAAAACACAAAGCAGATTTTCTCATCCAGCTACCTTGACCAGGCCTGAGTCAAGGTTATACAATTATATCTATCTTGAAAGGTGTTTTTGTTTCTAGCTTTTGTGAGAATCCTCATATTTTCCAAAAGGAAACATTTCACTTAACCTTACTAGGGGGATTTCTTACATCCTTTCTTCTCCTACTTTGTTCCACAGTGTGTGTTTTGGTAATTTTTTAAAAATCTTCCCAGAAAGAAGATTGGCCTGTGCACAAACTGGAGTGTTCTCCCATGGTGGTTTTTGGGGAAAACTGGAATCCCTCAGAGACTGTAAGGCTAACAGCAAGGATTCTGGCCAAACAGGTGAGGACATGTGATACTGTTTGACTGCATTGTATTTTATTTCTTTAACGGTCAGAAAAAATCAGTAATTTGGCTTAGGCTGATCATGCTTTGGTAACCTTCTTGGACTCTGTTTCCTGTCGCATTATATGAATGGCTTGGGAACAGTCACAAGATTGGCTTGTTGTCTGCACTGTGCAATCAGGGTGTTGCATGCCCCAGATCAGGAACATAGCTTCGGCTATTAAGTTCAAAGCTTTACTTTTTTGAGACTAGTTTACATAGAAAAACTTAACCATGACCTCATAATGGCATGAAAAACCTGATCGAAATATTTGCAGCTTCTTAGGGGTCAGGCTGGTCTAAGAAGCTTTAAGATTTCTCCTTTCCTTTCTGAGAGAGCTACCATGCTTCCTTTCTTGTGTGGTATTCTCCTCTCTGTCAGAAGTGGCAGAGACAACCAGGGTGATAGCACATACAAAGAAGAGAGAGTGGAAAATTAGAAGCTGAGGCAGAGGGGAGGGGAAGAAAGAAGAAAGATGCTCCAATGAAGAGGAGACAGTCAATCACGAGCAACACTTTATTCAAAGACTGACTGTTTTCCCTTCTCCTTGCTTGATTAGCTTTCCTGATTGCATGAGAATTGGACACTTAATCTCTGAAGGCCCAAACTCAAAATGAGGGTAGGAAAACACCATAGGTTTTGTCCTTGTGACCCATTGAAATAGGCCTGGGAGGCTTAGGAGGCATACATCCATGGAGGTCTTGCTGTCCCTGTTGATGGAGAAGTTGGTAGCAAGGCCTCTATGCTATAAATATCTAAATGTTGGAACTTCATCCACTGTTGTCTTCTTCCATTTACCTACCAGCACCCACATAGTTACAATTTGTCTACGTTTTAGCCTTAAGTTCAGTGTGATTGTAATGATTAGTATGTGTCTGTCCCTAGACCAAATTAGGATGCTGGGTGTGTAACTCTGAGGTCATTGTCCCACTGTGTTCAGCTTGGGTCAGATGCTACTAAAGTGAGTTGCTGGCTCATAGTAATCAGGGGCATTCAGAAATTGATTAAAAGATCTGAATTTTCACTGGAGGAGGCCAACTTTTGGATCCTTAATAACGGTTATCTTTGAATTTATGAACAGTAGTTGACAAAAAAGAGTACAGGGTAATGGTGTGACTAGATGAAGTGTCAGGGTAAATAAGCCATCAGATTGTATCAAATTGTGCATATCTTGAGTGAATTAGGATACCATTCTTCTGGCTTTTCTTCTTTTCCTCTGACTTACTAGTTACTGATGGTGTTGAGAATAAAGAAGAAGCTGTTATGCTTTCTTGAATGAAACACTTCACTGGGCAAAATAACTTATTAATCTTACAGAAGTACATCCTGTGAATGGAAGATTGCTGCTCTGAAAAAGAATGATTGAAATGTTTTGACACCAGGAGGGTAGTCTGAATGCTATGATGAGTTTACACCAGCTTCATTCAACTTTTATTATAATTACTACCACTACTAATAGTCTATTAAATAAAAAGTTACCTGGCCACCTTTTCATCTCTATAGGACTTGGTGATTAAAAAACCAGACCATTTGTATTCTAGTAGCTTGCAAAGGATTAGGGGAGACAGACTACCAAACTACCAAGGGGAAGCTTAACATGTTAACTAGGAAGGTGAGAACACCCTGCGAGACCACCTGTATCCCCAAATTGAATAGCCGGATTACAAAGACAGGCCTTAGGCCAGCTCCTGAGCTCTGCGTTTGAACTCTTGTCAACACCAAGTTTATTCATGTTCTCAAAGCCTAGCAGGTTTACTATTGTTAGCTCCTCTTGGGGTGTCTAGAACAAAGCCTGCAACACGTTTAAAGTGAATCTGGGCTCATAGATACAACCAAAAGTGTTCTTTTTGAAACACAGAATTTGAAATCATTTTAGCCTGTGCTTAAAGAAAGTGTAAAGTGGATGGCAGGGGGGTGGGGCGTTGATTTTGTTCCTTTTTAGAAGGAGAAATAACAAATAGGATGGTTTGTCTGCAGACTCAGTCCTTTTAAGTAAGGGCCCTAAAAAGTTATTTTTTGGCCCTGTTCTTTCCCATAATAAGCATTTCTGAACCTACTGTGTGCATATTATTTTCAGGGTGTCAGAAATGTGGCAGACACTTAATTTTTCAAGTGTCTTTTAAAAGAGCTCTCCGGATTTGGATGCTGGGCAAACACTCTCAGAGCCCAAGTGGCAGACTCCTTGGGTAGCTTTCTTCCTTGAAAATTGTTGCCTTTTTCTTCATGTGGATGTAAAAGTGAAAGCACTGCTTTTTTACACTGGGGGTTAACATCTCTATCTGTGTGACTTCTTTCCCAATTACTAGAAAATCCACCCAGAACGAACACCTTCAGAGAAATTGTTAGCTGTGAAGGAGTTTGAATCACGTAAGTCTTTCTATGATCAGTGGGCAGTTATTTTAGCCACACATTTAATGTGGAGTAGCAGGGCTGAGAAAAGGAAGGGGTGCCATATCCACTTGGTAAGGATGGTGACTTTTTAATTATTAGTGTTATTTTGACTTCATGCTATTTTGAGAATGCTTTTAACTTTCCCCTCCCAGGAATTGACAGGTTTATTAGGAAATAATTGAGAACAGGCAGGATCTCACAAGATGAATTACTGCATTGTGAATCGTCTCCTGCTGACTCTCCTGGCCTGCTGAATATTTTTGGATCTTTGCTGAATTGCAGTCCTGAAAACAGCTGATGTCCTTACCAAAAGGCATTAAATCAGGACTATCCAGTTGCTTGATCATGACATGGATCCCAGGACCAGCTGGGGATCCCTTGACCAGACTGAGGCTGGTTATCAGTCACTGCCTCTCATTCTGACTTCATTGCTAATGATTGGAATTTCATGTTCTGAGGGACTTGAGATTGTTGGAAGAAGAGAGAAAGGAATAATGTGCTGTTTTCTCTCTAGGGTTATGTTTGTCAGTTAGACCAAGTGATAGGGAAACACATATTCTCTGAGGGTTCCACATGTTGGATTTCTACCCCTTCAATGTCATTTATGGGAGAAAAGGATATAGCTGGTAATCCAGTGTTTTTTGCAGGGTGAATAATGGATTTTTTATTCATAGATTTGGATAAGCTAGACAATGAGAAGAAGGATTTGATTCAGAGTGACATCGCTGCCCTCCATCAGTTCTACTCCAAGCACCTCGAATTCCCCAACCATGACAGCCTCATAGTGCTCTTTGCACAGGTAATGATGCCAGCATAAGGTAATACTTTGGCCTTTCCCTTTCTGAGTCTCTCCCCTCAGCACACATGCAGTGACCTGTGAAATTGCCTTGCGGGGTGCCGTGATGAGATCAAGGCACTGGGTTGATCCTCTCTGGGGGCTGCCTCACAAATGCTTCCTGGAAACAAAGGAGCTGTCACTGCCTTGGTTCTCTGGAACATGTTCTTTGCAAAGAAATGACCAAGTGAAAGTCCTACATTAAGCTTCACTTTTCCTCTCTGAAGTCTTGCACCCTGACAAATAAATGTCCTTCTCTCCATAGTGGTTTTTTTCTCCTACCAAGGCCATGCTGATAAAGCCCAGTATTAACAGATACCCCAGAGGAAGGTATGTTTGAGGAAGGACAGAGGGAGGTCCCACTGTGTCTAGGTGCCGCAGTCTTTCCTGATGGTTGCTCAGGAATCTTTAGAGAAGCATAGGTTTTCCGAAGTCGGGTATAGTAAAACATTAGAGAGGTTTGTAAACAAGAGCAAGTTGGAAGTAATTAGAGAGCTGGACATTAGGCCATTGGAAAAGTTAAACGTGGAGCACAGTTAGGACAAGAGAGGAAAGAGCACTGTGGTCAGGACTTTGTCTGGGGTACACGGTCTTCCTGTTCTTACCAGGCTGCTCTTGCCACATTGCCTCTCTCTCCCTCCCAAAGCGGTGTATTTTCCTTCCCAAGCTGGGCATCTGATTGAAGGTGACCTTCCCAGAGAGGGAAGGACTGGGATACTGATCCATCCCCTGCTAGAACCTTCAGTCTCTAAATGTATTAAAAAGCCTTGGGGGTTACTTACACACATTTTGTCTTATAACAGAATACACATCACTGAGGTACCGTTTGACCCAGTCATTCCATTTTCAGAAATCTGTCTGAAGGAAGTAATCAAAAATCATGGGCAGAGATTTACATGCAAATTATTTGTTACAGGGTTCTTTTAAAAACGGGAAAGAAAGTGAGGGAGGGGAGAGAAGAGGGAAGGAGGAAAAAGGAAATAATGTAAATGACTACAACAGAAGTTTGATTAAATACATTATGACATAACCAGGTGACGGCAGGTTACACAGCCTCTGTAAGTTATGTTTCAGTGACTGTCAAAAGTCATGGGGAAATGTTGGTTAGATATAATATCAAGTGTAAAAAGCAGGATGAGCATATGTGTAATATGAAAATACCCATTTATAGTTAAAGGTTACATGGATTACATGGAAGTTCACAGTTGGTTGTGGAAAAATTTTGCTTTTCCCACTTAATAATTTTATGGGTTTTTTAAAGTATTGGACACATATAACTTAAAAAAAATATTAAGAAAAAAATGTAAAAAGCATGTACTTTAAAGATTGCACATATAAGGAAGGAGGTCTTTCCTCACTTTTGCCTACCTCAAACCCAAGACAACCCCTGTTAATAGTTCATGAATCTTTTACAAACTTTTTGTTTCTGTAGATATATTTCAGCTATGTGACTGTCGTGATCAGAACAAAATGATGTTCCTTGTGAAAGGATTAATGGGATCAATGGGTTCAAGTTACAAATGTTAAGGTAGAAGTGATGAAAAACCTTCTGGATTTTTATTGTCCTTGTTTCCCACCATATTTTCCTGAGCATCCCAAGATGATGGATTTGGGTGATGGTGGGGAAAGTTGAAGAATTGACTTCTCTTAAATATTTCGAGTAAGTAGATGTGGTTATATGAGAAAACAGAGTGATGAAATAAATAGAATGTGTCTTTTCTTAAGCTGTGAAAAAAGATAATTTTTCTTCTAACATAGTAAACTTGCTTGTTGATAGGATTTCTCTTTGTGGTGATGTAGTAGATAAGGGATTATATTTTCATAGCAAAAGTCAAGGCAAGTGTACTTGTAATGAAAATGGGTCAGAGTTTGAAATTTGGAGTCAAGTAGTCTAACACATTTGTGTGTCTAAGAAAAATGTACACAAACATGCAAGCCAGGCATCGATGGCTCACACCTGTAACCCTAGCTACTCAGGAGGCAGAGATCAGAAGGATCACAGTTTGAAGCCAGCCCTGGCAAATAGTTCACGAGATCCTATCTTGAAAAAACCCATCTCACACACACACAAAAGGGCTGGTGGAGTGGCTCAAGTGGTAGGAGTGCCTGCCTGCCTAACAAGTGTGAGGCCCTAAGTTCAAATCCCAGTGCCACCAAAAAAAACCTCTATTCACATAGATACATAAATACACACATATGTAACTATAGATAACTCATTGCTTTATAAACTTTATATTGGTCAAATTATAGCATCCATTCTCACATTGTATGTGCACACACAAACACACACACGCATTCTTTTCATATGTAAATTTAAAAAGGGGCATTCAGTAGCTCCAAAGAAAACTATAAAGCAAAAATGAAAAGTATGGTTCCCTTGCCATACTACCCTCTGGCTCTGCCTGAACCCCACAGTGTGCCTGCTATCTTACCTCTGAGACCTTTTCTCCTTCTGGTTCTGAGGATGCTGTTGTGAGTTAACTCACAGCCCAGCAGCAGCTGGCAGCCAAAGGTAACTGCATCGAGGTGTGTTTTAATCGCTGGGAACATATGTATGGTTGACAAGTGTATTTTTGGTGTGCAGCCTACATCTAGTCTAAATGCTAATTATGAGAATAGCTTTAGCAAGGCACTTATGCCTGATTTGACTTGAAAAAGAGGACAGTGGCCCATGCATCTTTCTTAATGTGCAAGTTCTCTTTGCTTCTCTAGGGATATCTCTGAAGGGAGGGAAAGCTGGCAGGAAAATTGCTGTGCAATTTGGCTTGAACACCATCACTGCCTCCCAAAAGGAACATTAATGAGACTTAAGCAGATAGGAGCCTTTGCTTATGAAGAAGCATATACCCTCTTTCACAGTAAAGTGGGGATGGGGAAGGGGTAAAGAGACCGATGGTCAGAGAATGGTCAAGCCTGAAGGAAACTGGAGTCACAGCTTGGTCCATTCAGGCTCACTGCAAGGGAGAGGGTTGAAAAGCAATGGAGCAAGAACTCCTCCTCCAAGCTTTCCCTTTATGTTTTGATAATTCTTGCTAAATTCTCACATTTATTCTTTCATTTTTCAAATATATGTTGTCCTTTGTGGGTACCAGGCACCACTGAGACAGGGTAGTGGCCAGTGGGAGAAGATTGTACATAGGTCACCCAGTACTAGCTGGTGCAAGGCAGAACACAGTTCATATGCCAAGAGGTCTTGCTGATGAATGAGTCCCAACTTACGCCTACCTCATGTTGTTTGGTGGTCATTGGTTCATGTCCCAGTGGCAGAATTGATAAGGATACTTGGAGTTTGGAGTTGGCACAAAAGAATAGTATGCTAAGTCTTCTATTCAGAATTACCTAAGACCTTGGGGTTGTTTTATTAACCCACAGTGCCCTCCCATCTCCCATTTCTCTTCTCTCCCTCTTTCCTCTTCCTCCTGTCTCTCTCTCAAATACTGCAAGTGAGACCTATCATAGTCCCTCTTGCCCCTTCTCTTTCTTTCCCCTCCCCCACTCAATCTCTCCTGTAAGTAAGACCTATACTTCAGTTTGTACCAAGATTTCCAAGCTTTTGCCAGTGGCCCTTGAATTTTATGTAAATGGGTTCTTGACCATGTCATTTAACTGTTGAATTTGCTGTGAGCCTTAGTTTGTACATCGGTAAGATGGGTTTTTATAATAATGCCAGAGTGAAACTGTCCTGGCTTCAGTAAGGGCTCGGTGATGCTCATTTTACAAAGCTCGTCTCTTGGCTAAGATGTTGCATTATCTCCAAGTATGGGGTGAAGTCAGGGCACGAGAAGGAGTTTCAGCCTTTGCCACTGACTGTTTTGTGACCAGACCAGCCATCGTTCCTTTCTGACCTGCTTCATCTTTTAGCAAGTGAAGAGCTAGTTCCTTCCTGCTCTGTGATTGTACACACTTATAAAGAGTACCCATGGGGTCGTCTCCCAGAATACTTAAGAGGGTGGAGATTCTGGCCTGATTATGTTTCTATGCCCTGTAACCTGCATAAGGCCTCTCAGCAAATCTCTGTAGAAGGAATGAATTTACAGAATACAGGAGGTGGCATCTGTGGTCCTCATTTCCTTCAGCCTACCTGCCCTAGGTGAGACCTACAGAATGGTGAGCGTTGCCCTGAATGCTTTTAATGCAACAATCTTTTTGAAGGATGAGAAAGCGGTCAGCGGTTGGTTTAGCTAAGACATGAAAGGCACAGCCTCCATCTCTTAGCTTCAGGCCCTCGGATCCTCTGCCTCTCAAAGGAAGGGACAGCCATTAGATTAAGTGAAGACGGGCTTTCATATTTACCACCTATCTTCTGAAATAGGCATTCAATTAAGTGGTTACTTTCTTGAGGGGAAGGGACTTGGCGGTGGGCTCCCGATCACACACAAAAGAACTGTGGCATCATTGGAATTAGACTCCAGATATCCTGACCCCAAGTAGCCTGACTCACATGCAGACATGCAAACTTCAGTCCAGTATTTCCAGCCCAGTATGTGCAGTTGAGTAGGTAGGCCACATGAACAGGGAGTTCAACCCTAACAATTCTGCTCTTATCTGTTTACATATGGGACTACTGAGTAAATTTTGTTTGAACAAAGGATGTCATGGCCACAAGAAAGCTTTTAAAACCACCAAAGAAGAACATCATCCTAGTTGATGTGTTAAAGGTTGGAATGAAATAACCTCCATTGGAGGGAAGTTCTAGCTTGTCTTTTCTCTCCTTCTCCCTTTTCACTACAGGTGAACTGCAATGGCTTCACCATTGAAGATGAAGAACTTTCTCACTTGGGATCAGCGATATTTCCTGAGTAGGTTGAGTTTGATTTCGTTTCTTTTCTTGGTACTTATTTAACACTAATTTGATTTTTTTTTTATTTTTACATAAGCCACCTAACTGCATGTGGCAGACATGAAACTCAAAGTGAATTAAGACAGCTTTTTAATCTTCCATAGTTCAAAATATTTCACCTACACTTAAGGATCCGAAGGTAGTAGTTAAGAGAACAGTTGCTGTTAAGTCCTGCTAGGCAGAGAGCTGTTATTAAAGAACGTCTGATAGTGTGCAGAGAAGGAGCAGCACATGCCCCGCTGAGTAATGTGCTTTCTGCATGTCTGTGGCTCTGGAAATCTTTGGGCTTCTTACGCTCCAAGTGAAGCATTAATTGCTAACTGAGAATTGGACATGGGCTTGTGTAGAGAATACAGGAGCTTCTCGTCCAGCTGCCCTTTCTGAAAAAAACTGGTACAGAAACACAATTTCGAGGGAGACTAAGCTAAAGTATTGAACTAGCAAAAAAAATTTCAAAGAATGATGAGATTTTTCTCTACTTTAGTAATATTCAGGTAATTCACAAAAGGCTAGCTGGTGGACAAATGAAGATCTTTCCAGTTCTGACTTTAATGGAGTGCCAAGAATGATTTTACCCTGGTCTTCCTGTTGAAATGGGTCTTTCAAAAAATGATTCAGTCCCCTAAAATCAAGCCCTGTTTCACAGATGGGCCCGGGGAAGTCTTTCTGCATGCCGAGTTAATCCACACTATAGATTAGTTCCATCTGAAGGGAGGGTGTTGGATGCATCCTGCGGGGCCTTTGGTGTTCTGTGGTATTCTGTTGAAGTGCACATGGGAAACGCCCAGCACCCATGCAGGTGGCATGGAGATGCTCTTGCTCCTGGTGTGTGGTTTCATTGCTGTACCTTCAGTGTGCTAGCAGGATCAGAAAGGAGAATCTACAGATCTATCTCATAAGCAGCTGTCACAGGCTTACTTGACCAGAGAGACAGAAAGTAACATTCTAATTCGCCAGGCTACAGTCATCTGCAGTTTGAATTCCTAGTAAAGACAGAAGTGCATCTGGGGGGGTGTTCTTTTAAATTTTTGCCCTTGGAAAAGGAAGAAGTGAAAGGGGATTGGGCCCTGTGAAGAAGACGCCTCTTTACAACCTCAGGACTGAAACAAACTCTTCAGTGCCTCTGTTCTCAGGTTCTGGTGTCACAAAGACTAAAAGTTTAAAAGTGGCGGTGTTTGAGACCTCACTGTTACCTGGGGTGGCCAAGAAGAGTGGCAAGCCCAAGAAGGTATTTGTTTCATGCTCTCTGCCTTAGTGCATTTCCTCACTGACCTTGCAGAGAAACCCAGGACACCATCAAAAATGGGGTCACCTAGTCCTTCTTCTGCAAGATGGCTTAGAAGCCTGCTTTTCCTTTAATGTGCACCCTTTCTATACCTTTGTTTAGCAGATGTCCTGGGTCCTGCTCATCACTTGTCAGGAAGGTGGGTGTGTGGGGTGCAGGGACAAGGACAAGACCACAAGACTGGGTGCAGGTCAGCCACACACTTACTCAGACTTTAGTAAGCTCCACTTGGACACAATACCCCGGGGTAGTGCATTCTGGGCTTCTCAACCCCTTTCCTTTTTTTGTATGTCTGGGGCAGGCGGGAGAGGTGTTCTGGTCTCTGAAGGGTCGGACAGGTGGTACTGGCCATCAGAGAAATGGTACATATGGCTGTGTGTGCCCACAGGAGCATGAGCCCCAGTTTCTGGGCAGTTTTAATTGGGGAAAAAAATCCCCTTGGGCTGAAATCATATCAGCATTGTGATTTCAAAGGCAGCATTTTCAGAGATCAAGCACTCTTTCCCTGTAGTTTAGAAATTTCTGTTCTCAGAACTTTGACCTTGATATAATCAGAAAGCTCAAAGCACCTCACATAGGCGAATCTCTCTCTCTCTCTCTGTCTCTCCTCCTCGCTGTCCCTGAAAAGCAGACAGTGAGCAGCAGGAGCAATAATGTCCCAATTTTCCAGATGAGGAAATTGAGGTGCAGAGAGACTCAAACAGGCTTTTTCCAAGGCCCTCTGGGGATCACAAGCTCTCCCTCGCTTAGGCAGCTAGCATTTCTCAACATCTGAAGAAAATACGCAAGAAATGAGCTGGTTACACAAAAAGCCTCTTGCAAATGACAACCCATTTGTCTTGTAGCCTACTTAGCTGTAGGTATTGGGCTTTGAGTCCTGCTTCTACCAGGAAGGAATATTTGTGGCATTTATTGTTTTTATTATTGTGTGGTTTTAGTTTTTAGCTTAGATAACACTGTTTTGAATTGTGAATTACACTTTTCAATATGATTAAAGTTTAACTGTTAGATATTATTATAAATATATGCAGAACAGCCCCTTAGAACAGCCTAAGCTAGCCTATTACGTATATTTTTAAATGTCTTCCAAGAATTCAGTTCCTCTAACTCAGCAAGCAAGTAGCCAGTGAGTCACTTAAATTGTCTTGTCTATGCCATTCACAAAAGTGGGTTTTGTTTTCTGATTGACAGTGTTGCATTGATGAATCACAGCTGTTGCCCCAATGTCATTGTGACCTATAAGGGGACCTTGGCAGAAGTAAGAGCTGTGCAGGAAATCTACCCAGGAGAAGAGGTGAGTGTTCAGTGAGCTCAAGCTGCTGTAAAAGGCCATTGTAGACAGACCCGTGCAGTTATCAGTTGCCAATACTGGTTGTGAGTGATTCTGGTTAATGATCTGACTTGAAATCCCTCACTGGAGCTGTCATTGGACCTTGCCATTTCCTTCTTTAGTCAAGAAGAAACAGGAAAGACTACATTCAAGTTACATTTTTGACAAAGATTTCAAGAGATGCATGGAGAAAGGAGACTGCCAAAATGGCCAGATTGAAAATTTTGATTGTCTTTGGAATCTTTTATCCCTATTGTCAAACAATTGATTCAGAAATTTGTGCCTGTCCTCCTGTCACCCTCCAGCAAAGGTATTACCTAAAAGAGAGTAGAATAAGTGACCCAACAGTAGCTGAAGAGCCACCACTCCAAGTGACATCTGCATTTCACATCATATGAGTTCCGCATATGCACTTCAGGTTGCAGTACACTTTTTAGGAATGTAATTCAGGTGGCCCAAGGGTGTATCTGATAGAGAAAGTAGAGACAGTCTGGGCAAGAGGCATCATCAGCTTCCTTCCTTAACTAAGGGATGTGGAGACAGCCAGGTGTTTATCATCTGCTCTCCAGTCCCTTTTCTTCCCCGTGCAGTGAGTGCTTGACCTCCTCATAAGACATCTCACCTCAAGAAGCCTGACCTGGTGAATTGCTACATGGATGCTCGGTGTTCTTAAGTAAATCCTATATGGAAAGGGTGAATATGGTAGGAATATTATGTACTTGTGTATGCAAATGGAAAATAAGACCTATTGAAACTATTCCAGGAATGGGGGGAGGAGGGATAAAGGAGAATGCTGGAGGGGGTGAACTCAACTATGATACATTGTAAGAACTTTGGTAAGTGCCACAATGTACCCTCAGTATAACAATAATCATTAAAAAAATGGGAAAAACCCCCAAATTCTTAGCAAGACACATGCATTTTTAGGGACTGTAGTCATACATTTTGGGTTCAACTGCAGTTTAAGTTATAATGCTATTTTTAGGTGTATATCTGGATATTTTAAAATTTTTAAATCTTATTCAGTATGCTAAAAGATGAATGCTTTAGGCTGGACACTGGTGGCTCATGCCTCTAATCCTAGCTACTCAGGAGGCAGAGATCAGGAGGATCACGGTTTGAATCCAGCCTGGGCAAATAATTCACAAGACCCTATCTTGACTCATCACACACATACAAAAAGGACTGAAGGACTGGTGGAGTGGCCTGAGTTCAACGCCTGCACCCCCTCCCCCCACACAGAGATGAATGTCATTTCTCTGGAGGGCGTTAACTAGTCCACACCTGAAGTACAGCCCCAAGCCCAAGGTGTCCTTTATGGTATCCCACTTGGAGCCAGTATTAGGTTTCTGAGTGCCTTGTAGAGATTGTCCTGATGCCTCTTTGTTAAAACAGACAGTTACAGTCAAGCGGGATAGAATCATCCCAGCACTCCTGTGGGTTGATGGGAGACAGTGGCAGTTTGAGCCATGAAGTGATGTTAGTGTGGCCTTTGTCGCCATCTTCTGGAACCTTCTCTGTGTTGCACTGTATCCATGAGTCATTTCAAAGAAGTCAGGCTGGCTTTCACTGCATGCTTGTAGCAGAGCAGGGCTGGCTGCTGTTTCTGTTTGGTGGCATGCTGTCCCAGATCTTAATGTGGTGACCTTGGTTTTGGGAAGTCAGTGCTTTTTGGGTTACTTGCCTTCCAGAGGAGAAGGAACCCATTCCCGAGTGTCAGAACAAGCCATGACATGCCCAGTCCTGCCTTTTGGACCGGGGAGACCATGGCTGCAGCAGTCCTGAGCCCTGTGCTGACACTTGCTGCCCAGGAGTGACTGGAACACTGGTGGCTTTGTGGACTCCATCTGTTGAGGCAGGCGTGTGTCTGATCATGTGGGCTGAGCAGCCAGTGCCTTCCCTAGGAGTACATAATGGACATCTAAGTGCTGGCCTTCCCCACGTGCTTCAAGTTGTAGTTGCAGACCCTGATAAGAAACAAGGGCGGGAGAACCCAGTGAGCCCAACGGTAAGACTTCCCACATTCCCTGACCAGCAGGATCAGGAACTGCCCATTGGGAAGACCATCACAGTGTGTGTTCTAGAAGCTGTGCTTTTTTCCTGAAGTGGCTTTTGGGGCCATTCAGAGCTGCTGCTCCAGGCTACTGAGCTCTGCCTCTTGCTCCATTACCAGCCAGCGTCAGGCGAAAGGCTGAATGTAGTAGGATATGCGTGGTCATGCTCTTCCCGGGTGTACCCACGGTGACGGCAGTATCAGCACCTGAGCCATCCCAGGCTGGAAATAAAAGAGACCAAATAAAGACCAGGCAGAGAGAGAACAGGCCTAACCCCAAGCATGAGTTTGCTCTTTGCCCAGAAAGGCCCTGGCTTCTGTCTGTGAGACCAAAGACAGATGGACAACCTACTCTCTTTTGGGAGGAAAAGGATGTCTGATGGATCTTTTCAACCCTACAGTTTCTCCTGTTAGGAACTCTGACTCTCTCCGCCATGAGGAAGCAGAGATTGATTACGTGGGTGCTCAGTTTGGGAAACTAAGTGCCTTGCTACTGGGAGATGGAGATAGGAGGACTGCTGTCCAAGGCTAGCCCAGGCAGAAGTTAGCAAGACCCTGTCTCAAAAACAAGCTGGGTGTGGTGACGCACATTTGTAGTCCCAGTGTCTTGGAGGGTGCAGGTAGGAGGATCTCAGTCTAAGGCTTGCTCTGGGCAAAAACTGTGTGACCCCATCTGAAAAACAAACTGAAAGCCAAAGGACTGGGGGCAGAGTTGAAGAGGCTGTGAGTTCAGTCTCCAGTATTGCCCTCCCCCAGCCGGTACATTAAAACAAACAGCACGGCCCTCAGTGGTGGCTCTCCTGCCCTCTGCCCCAGCAATGTCGCCTCAGATACTTGTATAGCCACAGAATGACAGGGACTGAGTTTCCTTACAGTGGACTGAAGCTTCGCCTCTGTGGACCCTTAGGTGTTCACCAGCTACATTGACCTCCTGTATCCAACAGAAGACAGGAATGACCGGTTAAGAGACTCCTATTTCTTTACTTGTGAGTGCCAGGAATGCACCACCAAAGTCAAGGTCAGTTCATGGAGGGGCACAGGCTGCCGTGAGGTCCAGGACCCCTGCTGCAGATGAGTTCTCCTGGCTTGCTGGGCATGTTGGCAGGGAATTTTGACCCTTTTAACCTCTTTACAAAGACAGCCAGAGAGAATCCAGTTCCACCAGTCTCTGTTCATACCTGCTTCTTGTAGCAGTACACTGAACAAATAAGAGAAGGATCTGCCAAATTCCTATTATTTAAAAAAAAAAAAAAAAAGATTGCTCAGCCAGGCGTGATGGCACATGCCTCTACTCCCACCTACTCAGGAGGTAGAAGTAGGATAATCGTGAGTTTGAGGTCAGCCTGAGCAAAGTTATTGAGGCACTTGGTGAAGTTATGGAGACCCCACCTCAAAAACAAACGGGTGGAGGTCAAGTGGTAGAGTGCTTACCTAGGAAATGCGAGGGATCAAACTCCAGTACCATAAAAAGGAAAGAAATGATTATTCAAAAGAGAGGGGAGAAAAATACACCAGAGAATCAGGTTTGGACTTGCCGGAGTTTTCTCTGGCACCGGTTACCCCTCCTCATTGTGGCCCATAATAAACACGTTCATTGTATGCTGCCTAGAAAAGACTGACTAGAATATTAATATTTTTGTTTTGTAAGAAGGTGATAGATTTCTGGATTTCATTTAGATCTACTGCGTGATTTCCTTCTACTCTGCTGTAACCTTAGAATGGGCAGGCCTCTTTGTCTGCAGGGGAATGTGTATTGTTTGAGAGGCTCCCACAGGAGATGATGCCTCACACATGTGGACATTTCCCTTAGGACAAGGCCAAGGTGGAAATTCGGAAGCTCAATGATCCCCCAAAGGCAGAAGCCATCCGAGACATGGTCAGATATGCACGCAACGTCATTGAGGAATTCCGGAGAGCCAAGCACTACAAATATATCCTTTCCGGCTTGACAGTCCAGACACTTTACTACCCCTTGCTGACAAGAGTGGGGAGGGAGCAAGAGCAGGATGGACTAGCATTCTGAATTCTGAAGGAAGAATGCCTCCTGGCCAATGTGTGAAGATGGATTGACCTCCATGATCTGGTGTCAACTCAGCATTTTGTGACACTGTTATTTCTCCTTAGTTGATTAGTTTGGTCAGGAGCGCCATGTGTGGAACACTGCAACACTTGCTGTAAGACCCTCGTTTATCAGATGCTTTACTTTGACCAGGCTTAGTACCAAGAACCTAGCTTGTCTCAACTGCTCAATACTTGTATAGTGCCGAGTAGGGGCTGCTGCCACTTAGCAAATGAGGAAGCAGGTTCATAGTCTTCACCTTGTAACTTGTCCAAGGGACACAGCTGGTGGTGGCAGATCTAGGGTTTTACCCCAGCTCTGCTTACTACAAGAACACATGTTCTTATACATTGTGACATTCTCTTGGGGTTTGAAAAGGGATTGGATTTGTATACCAGAAGGTAGAACTTAAAACCAGTGAAAAGAAATTACAGAAAGACTCGAAGTTTTGCAACATAAAAAAGAATTTTGAAGGTGTGGGGATGTAGTTCAGTGGTAGAGCACTTGCCTAAGGGAGAAAAAAAACAAGAATTTTGAGGATTGGGGTTGTAGCTGGGGTGCAATTCCCAGTGGCAGGAAGGAAGGGAGGGAGGAAGGACTTTTATTACAAGACTGAGGACCTGTGACTTTAATTAACTTTATTTACATCAGAACTGAGGATCTGTACTCTGTAACTAAAATTCTTAGGTTTTATATAGCACTTGTGTAGCACTTAAGGACTTCGGGTTTTCCTAGTTCATTAAAAAAAAATTATAATTCCTTTTATTTTAGTTTGGCTTTCTATAATTTACTTTTCCCGGGGGGGCAAGGCAATGGGTAGAGCAGAGGCAATAACTCCTTGACCCCTGCCTGGGAAGTCTTCAACAGCAAGGGCCTGCCAGTCATTTCCTTGACGCCACAGCACCCCCTAGTGAGCTGCTGGAGATCTGCGAGCTCAGCCAGGAGAAGATGAGCTCTGTGTTTGAGGATACCAATGTGTACATGCTGCACATGATGTACCAGGCCATGGGCGTGTGCTTGTACATGCAGGACTGGGAAGGAGCCCTGCGATACGGACAGAAGATCATTAAGCCATACAGGTGATTGCCATGGATCTTCTGATCCTCATAGCGCTGAATGGGACTTCGGGTTTGAAATGTGCACACCAGGTGTGTTATCTTCCTGTCCCGTGTCCAAACGTGCCTAGACGGCTGCTGCTTCTCTGCACCCACATCTGGACATGCCAGGGTAGGCGCTGCTCTGCTGAGCAAGGCAAGCTCCCTCTACTACCCCAAGGAGACACCTAAGAAGGCGAATTGAGGTTATGCTGGGGGTTCCTGGAGCAAGGTTCCTTCTAGGTCCCATCCAGGGCTAGTATCCACACTAGTTAATTACAGGTAGTTGTAAAAGCCCCTAGTTTTCTGCTTTTGCCATCCACACCTTCTAAGGTAAATGACACAAGCTGGTCTCAAAACACTTCTGTCACTATTCATAATGTCCTCTTATTTCATCTTTTCAAATTGCAGTCCCAGTTTGCATATGGGGAAACTTTGGGGCTAATGGGTCAGCTGTGATTATTTAATGTCTCCTCCCCCAGGTTTGAATAAAATGCCTTGCCCCAGGGGGTTATTGAACCTTAAAGTGGGTGATAGAGGAAGTATGGCATTGTCATCTGCCTCGGCCCACACTTTTCAAGGCTGCAAGGATTCCTCAAAGGCCTGGGCATTATTTATGAATGTCCAGGGTCTGCCCAACACCAAGTGAACCAAGTACATCCAAAGTTCTGGACACTAGACCCAGAAATTCTTGTGTTCATAGGCATGCCAGATGTTTCTTGTGGTTACAGAAGCCCCCAGTACCCCTCAAGTTCTAAGACTGTGGACTGTAAAGTTCGTGTCTAGTCTGAATTTCCACTGCCAACTCTGCCATCTACTTATCCCACTGTGCCTTGAATAACCAGCAGGGGGAGCCCAAGGGGAAGCCAGCCTTTAAAATCTCTTAAAACAGAATTTGTTAATTTGGAGATAATCTCAGTCCTCAATCTTCTCTTGCTACTGAGGAGGGCCAAGAAGTCCTCTGGTTTCACGAGCACCTTCTTCTATGAGATCTGGAAAGAGAGAGAGAGCGATAGAGACAGACAGACAGACACAGGTAGGTAGACAACCTCCCAGCAGGGTCTGGCTGTGCTGGACCCTTCCTTGTCTTAGTGAGTCTTTCCTGGAGGCCCAGCTCCATCCTCGTGGGTCTGCTGGTTCTAGGATTTCCTGCAGGGAGCACACTGTCTCCTGCCCAGGAATTCACCTAGAACATGTCTTCTGGACAGGATAGTAGACTAACCTGTAATAAACACCTCTTACATGCTTAGACATACTCTCTCATCCATGAAACACCTCCTGGTCCCCGTTCTAGGGAAATGGCTTTTTCCTAAGCAGACTCATCAGCTGGCTCTCGGTTCAACACAGGAAAAAACCACCCTCTGGGTCCACAGCCCTCTGCTGGAGAGTAGAGGAAGAATCTAGAAGAAATAGGAGTCATCTTCCTGGCTTCACAGAGCTTACAGTTTTGCTAAGCTGACTCAGGGTGTAGCAGACATTTGTGTATGTCTTTGTGCCTGTGTACTGTTTTTCTAATGGGAGGGAATAGGTCTAATGGCTGTCCCTGTGAAAGGGGCATTTACTTAAAAAGATGTTTTCCTAGCACCTCGCTCTGGGAACACCTGAAAAAGAAAAATCTGACTGGGTCAACATTGAATGTCACATTTATACATTTTGTATAGAATTTTCTCCAGCAATTCTGATGTAACTTTTCCAAAATACACAAACTGCAAACTGTAAGATGGCATGTCTGATGGTGAGGTGGTATTGACCCACTCCCATTCTGCCCAGGACCTGGCAAGGATTGGAGAAGCTTGGCTGTAGAGTCTGGTCAGCAGCTATAGGCTTTCTGGTCCCAGCTGTGGGACAACAGGTAGACCAGCCTCTGATAAGGTAGTCTGTTGTCCTTTTCCTTTTCCCAGTAAGCACTATCCTGTGTACTCCCTGAATGTGGCCTCAATGTGGTTGAAGCTGGGAAGACTGTACATGGGCCTGGAGAATAAAGCTGCAGGAGAGAGAGCCCTGAAGAAGGTACATCTGAGACTCAAGGCTGGGAGGCCCCCATAGCGCATGCCCTCATGCCTAGGGAGCCCTGTGGCTGCAGGATTGGAGGGTGACCAGCTCTTGATCACCCCCTAGCCATGGCATGCTGCAGGGTGTGTTCAGTAGGTAGAGTAGGGTGAGAAGTTGAACCTCAGCCTAGGCTGGTGCTGATCACAGGCCCAGCCCTTGTCTGGGAAGGATGGATAGCGTCTCCCTAACCCTCACTGCCTTGTAAAGTCGTGGAAGTGGAAGGAGGCTACTGACCTGGAGACCATGGTGGGGAATTCTAAGTTTGCCCCTTAGGATTTAAAATGATGCCCAGTCATGGTGAGATCAAGGGATTGGATATGGAGAGTTGCTTAGTGTTAGATGGTGCCTTGGTAGTGTCTAAAACAGTCTTAATAATCCTTACCATTTATCAAGTTTCAGCTATGCACTAGGACCCTTTTGTGCTTTTTTCTTTTAATTCTCACAATAATAAGATAAGCTTTCCTGATGAACAAGTAAGGCTCAAGTGGGTGAAGTAAGGAGTGTAGGGTATGTAGTGACCTTTCCTTGAACTAGGGCTCTTTCTGAGTTGAAATTTCACCCTTCCCATTCATGCTAGGACTAGAACGCCTGGAGAGAGTGAAGATCAGGTCCCCCTTCCCTGCAGCATTTTTCCTCTGTGTTCGGTAGCTGCCTTGTGAGCCAGACACTTTACCATAGCTTCATCACCTTCCTGAGTACTGATTCTCGTTCTTTACATCGAAGTTAACAATACAGCAACATTCGAGGGCCAGTCTGTTTACTCCTGTGAGACTGTTCAAAAATGTGATGCCTGGAGACCTAATCCTCTGTTTCCCAAAAGCCTCTATAGGCTATTTGGGAAAAGAAGTAAGGCCCCACACCCCAAATAGAAGGGTCAGGGCCCAGCCAGGGTAGAAATGTGAGTTAAACATACGATTCTTTTTTTTGCTTAGACCATAGGATTTGTCACTTAAGATGATAAGTTCATTGACTTTGAGGCTGAAGGAAATGTGGCCAGTTAAGCCACATTTGCAAAATGTTGGTCTAGAAATGGAATAGTGAGGAAAAAGATGCCATGAAATCAGCATCTCTACCTCACTTCTCCAGCTACCACGTGGGTATTTTTCAGAACGTTTCACTCAGCAGTGGAGGGTGAGTGACTAGTTGGTTACTACCTGATCATGTTTCCTTACTTGTCAAAAGCCCAACTATGGATGAGAACAAGGCTCTAAAAGCCAGTTTGCATCCTGTGGCTTAAAGCCATTAAGCCTAGCTTGGGTCCCACTGCAGCAGGTGGGTGGAGGGAGGGCTTCTTGGCTCCTCGGTCATGTCTCTTTCTGTCCTAGGCTATTGCAATCATGGAAGTCGCACATGGCAAAGATCATCCGTATATTTCTGAGATCAAACAGGAAATCGAAAGCCACTGAAACTGTGCCCCTCAGAAACTTCAAACGCTACACATTACTCCAGCATGTCTAAACTCGCTGGAATGAAAACATATCTTGCACCTAAGCCTTGCACACGCCATACTTCGAGGTTGACCTTACTCTTTAACATCAAATTCATTTTAAATGTTTCGTTTTTTCTAAGAGCTAATGGCATGGTTTCATATTTAATAATTTGGGCAGATCAAGTTTTAAAATGCAGGTATTTTCCCTCCATGCCTATTGCCGTCACAATATTGTTAGAACAAGCTTGAATGATGGAAGATAATAATAAAAGACATACCATACTTGAGGTTTATGTTTTCTTCTGTCTGCGGCGAGGATTTTTCTTTTTTATCTCTGAAAAACAGAGACAGGGTCTCACTGTGTAGCCCAGGCTGGGATTACAGATGTATACCACCATACCCTGCTTTGAGGGGAGGAGTTGTGTGTGGTGGAAGTAGCCTGGCTTTGGAGTAAAAGTGGTAACTTGATCTCCATTGTTCAGTGAACCCAATTCTCCACTGTAGGGGGGCGGGGGTCATGTGGTCTCTTTGTTCTGCAGTCACTTTCGCAAGGCACTGGCTATGGAGGAAGAACACAAAGAGGGAAGGTACAAGAAGGAAAGAAATGTCTGGTGGAGACCATCCTCTGACCTGGGCTCCCCTCTGGCAGAAGACTAGTCCATTTAAATCTCTCTGTGCCATCAGTGCGCTTTGTGCCTGCTTTACTTTCCTGGGTCCCCTACCCCATGTGTCTGAAAGGTGACTTTCCACCTGTCATTCCATTGATTGTTCTGTGCATACTCTTTTTTTTTTCCCCTTGGAAAGACTCCAGGGGAAATTTGAGAAATAAAAAACTTTTCCTTGCCAACCCTGTGTTGTGAGCAAACACTGATCTCAGCCCACGTGGCCAGCAGCAATTCAGCTCTTTGCAGCTCTGCAGCCCAGATAGCAGCAACCTGGACAATTATTTGTTAGCAACGCCGTGCGGAGGACCCAGTGGGCACTCCTGAGTGCAGGGAAGTTTCTCTCAGGAAAATGTCTTGCTCTCCAAGGAGAAGAGCTACCCCATTAGGTAGTAAAGGGAAGCGTGGTGGAGTTTACACTTCCATTATCGTTTTGAGTCATGAAGACTGTGAGGACAGCTGTAAACCTCTCAGTTTACTGCACACAGTGGGATCTAGTAGGTAGAAGGTATTCTCTTGTCCAGTGTAGTCCAATAGACATTTATTGAGCACCTACTGTATGCAAAACACTCTGTAAGACTCAGTCCCAGTCAGGGAGCTTAGTGTTTTAAGAATGCTAAATGGCTACAATTCTGTGGCAAAGCCTCAGATGAGCTTCGACTAACCATATCTAGAAGTTTTATACAATTAGGAAAGTAGTAACTTTGAGAGATTCAAATAATGCAAACTAAATGAAAGACATGAGCCATTCTTTTCCTTGCTAGCCCCACTGTGGAGGTGAAGCCACTAGACACAGTTGGCTTGATGAGGTCCCAGTTTTCCCATGCCTCTAAAGTGCATTTATATATAGATTTAGAAAAACAAAGGCAGAATGGTACTGATATGGTGCTGGCATTTGCTTCTAATTTAACAATGTGGACTTCTTTTTATTTCCACCCTTGGAGATTTTCCTCATTCTTTTTAGAGATAGAATATTTCACCAAATGCAGAGGTCACAATTCTCTTTGGACATGTTTCTTCCTACTTTGGTGCTATTACAAGCAATGCCACAGGAATAGTCTTAAACACATAACTCTGCTGGTGTGTGGTAGCATGATGGGGGAAAGGATAGATTCCTAAAAGGGAATTGCAGGATCAAATAGAACATTTAAAATGTGGGTCTTTGAATAAATATAGCCATGTTTCCCTTAAAAAATAAGTGTGTTCCTCTTCCTCATAACCACTGTCCCAGATTTTTTTGGTCAATCTAATGTGTGAACTGTTTTGTTTTATATGCATTTATAAGTGAGGTTGGGCACTTTTTGTTTCCGTGAGTTGCTTTTCATGGCTAAGGTGTTTTACTTACACTGCTGACACGAAGTGTGTGTGTGATTTTCTCACAGCAACCAGTTCTCCCACTCCTCTGGCACCAACTGTGTGTCCAATTCAATTCATCATCCACACTACCCAGAGTTAAGAGTTCGACTGCACAGGTTTAAAGTCTCTGTCCCACAAGATTGCCTCACTTCAGATGCCAGCCACCATGACAGTGTCCCTTTCTGTCTGATCTGGCCACAAAGTCAGGGTTCCCATAATCCCATCTCCCTTTGTGTTTGATAATTTACTACAGTGGCTCTGAAAACTCCAGGAAATCATTTTACTTAATACTAACAGTTCATTATAAAGGACACAATGAACAAGCAGAGGAAGAGGTAGGAGCTGTAAGAGTCCTGGTTACAGGAGCTATGGGCTCCATGGACTTGGGTGTACCACCCTGCATACCACACCTGATGTGCTCAAGTCAGAAGCTCTCGCAACCCCATTGTTTGGGGCTTTTTATGTAGGTTCCATTACATAGGCATGATTGATTAATCACTGGTAATTGGCAATTAACTCAGTCTCCAGCCCCAGAAGTTGGGGTGTGGAGCTGAAATCGGGTTGGTTTTTGTGGAGAAGAGTTCCCACCCTACAGCTATCTAGGGGTCTGCCAAGAGTTGCCTCGTAGGAAGAAAAGAAGAAGGCTTGGGGATGGAGCTCAGTGGCCAAGTGCTTGCCTGGAACAAAAGGAGCTCCCATTGCTTTGATTACTCAGGAAATCCCAAGGGTTTTGGAAGCTGTGTGCCAGGAGACAAAGATCAAGTATCTTTCTAGGATGCCATAATGGCCATTGCCTATTTGGCTATTTGTTCATGTTTTCCACAGCTTATTTGCTCAGTGTATTTTGGGGTGGGGTCTTGGCTCTTCATCAATGTTGAAAGTATTTGGTTCTCTGGTTGTCCGTTATTTTTCACAACAGTTGTACAGAGGCAGATACTGTTTTTCATCTTTAAATGAACCAAACTTTTTAAGTCTTTGATCTATCTGGGATTGCTTAATAATAAGGTGTCCAATTGTACTCTAATAAATTTTGACATTTGAAATTGCTAGTTATTTGCACTAGCATCATTTATTGAATGGTTCGTTTTCCCTGTACCACTGCCATTCTCCTAAGACTCTGGTGTGTTTCTGCATTCGTTCATTCCATCTGTCTATTCTGGTGCCAGTAAAAATACTCTTTTAATTATTGTGTTGCAAAACTTTAAGTGTCTATTAGGACTAGTGCTTCTGTGTGCTCTTGAATTTCCCTGACAACTCCCCCATACGCTTACCTCTCCAAAATAACTTGAGAGTCTTTGGACTTGTCCTTTCCTCCACATTTCACCCAACTGCAGTTGTGATTTTTTTTGGATTTTCATTGCTGCACGGGACCAACCTCAAGAATGTGGCAAGTTTTATCAGTTTTAAGTTTTGCCTCTTTAAAGAGGGGTTACTTTAAGTTCACATTCTTCTCAATTCCTAGATTTTATAAACCTATGAGTTGTTTGTTTTTTTTTTAAATCCCAGTGTACTTCTAAATTGATAAGTCAGCTGAGGTTTTCCCATTTTTTATTATTAAAATGTCAAGTAAAATCACATGAACTAGATGTACTTGATCTTTTTGTCATTTTAATGCATGTCAGTATATGTGTGTTTCTTATATTTATCTTTAGTTTCGGAGGTTCTTCTCTTTCTTTCTTCATAAATTTCTTCCTTACCTCTGTTAGTACTCTGGAGAAACAGGTCTACTAGTGGTCACTTGTATCCCTTAAATTATATGATGAGAACTTTTTTTATATTTATCTACCAAAGTAAATAAACTGGGTCTATTTAATCAGTCTAAGAAAAAGAAACCTTTTCTTTTGTTATCCTGCCTCACTGCTCTCCATTTTCATTGGCATGTTTTGCTATCATTTTTAAACATTATGTATCTTTTCTTTCAAGAATTATAATTGTTTTGTTGACACAGTCACCATGTTAAGTGACTTCTGTGTTTAACGAAATAATCATCCCTTTTACCCCAGAGTCTCTTAGACAGTCTCACTTATGATGAATCCCTGGCAGGTGCTTTACCCCTTGAATGGTAACAGATGCAAATGGGTCACTGGCAGAAGTCATTATATTGCCCTGCTACTTATCAAAGGCACATAAACCAAGAGTCTTACCCTCATTACAATCGGATTCACTGTATATGCACTGTGGCAGTTGACTGGCTGAAAATCTGAGACAGGGCAGCAACCTATAAACCTGGAGATGAATGGAGCAGTTAGCTCAAAGACTAAGGTTTTCTCTAGTAGTCTGATGCCCTGCCTTTTCCACATTAACAATTTAGTGTCTGAGTAAATGGGGTTAGTACTTAATGAGGGTTATCATGGCATTTGTGAGAAAGACCCATTTCTATGCCTTTTTCACTCCATTTACCTACTGACCACACGCTTTTCAGCTTCCTTCTGATAATGATGACTTTGGAAATTTCCAACTAAATCTTTATTATGATCAAGTTATGCAAGATTAAAAGGTAGATGGCAATAAAAAGTAGGTGGGTTTATATATATATATATAAACAGAAGGCAGGTTTTCCTAGATACCTTTGGCTATGAAAATAATCTTTTATGTAAGGGATATAAGTGTGTCCAACCAATGCAAACATACTGAGTACAGAATAGTGTTAAAAGATTTAACTTTTCTCTGAAAAAAAAAAGTTTATTGCATATGGAAATCAATAGATATCTTTTACAAAAAAGGTTAGAATAAAGATCTCACATTTGTAAAGGCACATATGAAACATTTTACAGTAATGATGAGGGCAGTGAGAACATTAAGTAGGTCCAATATCTAAATAAGACTATAAAAACAAGGAACAGTGCAAAAATACTGTCAAAGTCAGTTTTATACACCTCATAATTGTGTATGAAACTGGCAAGCATAAGCTTATTTACTGATCTGAAACAGCACATAGAACAGCATGCATAGCTTCATTTAAGGCATTTAATTAATATTATTAAACTGATAGGGAGTCTATACCAAAGTACAGTTGACATGACTGTTGACAGCATCACTCCCCAACTTAGGGAATGCCCAATACATGTCTCAGTCCCCGCTCCTTTTGACTAGTTTGGTAGTAAAGAGACTCAAGCGCCATCTTGCAGAGCAGCAAGTGGCCATCACAGAAGAGAATGTTTTCTCAGGATCCCAGCCTGGAATGCATCTCTTGCAGCAACAACAGAATGGGTGCTAGTTACATTTCCAGGGCAGCCCACAAACACCAAGCAGCCACAGTCCTATATTTTGGGTGTGTTAGACACCTAGGCTCATGTGGGCTGATCCAAGAACCCTAAAACAAAATGGCTTCTACGCTGGGGACCTCTCTGCACATCATTTCAAAATAAAATCTTTTAAATGTCAGTTATTTTGAAGGATACCAAAATTCATAACATTTTACAAGACACAGACCAAAGAAAGCATCAAAATACTGAATTAAGTAGCAAAAACAGTCCAGTGAAACAAACTAGATTAGGCTATTATCCGATGTAACACAAGTAACATAAGGTTATACATTTAAAAGTCATCTGCATATGTAAACCTTTTCTCCCCCACTTAAACTATCCTCAGGCAGGTTAGCTGACTACTAAAAGAACAAGGGACATACACAGGGAACCATCTCTGATGAAGAAACCTTAAATTTGAAAGGATAAGGCTAAAGAATTTTAGGATTCCCAATAGTAGCAAGAAAGTTCAAAGGAAACTGCAATAAAATTTTACAATGTTCAAGTTGAAAAAAAATGGCTGAGTGACAGTTTTCAGTTCTATGTTGAAGGTATTTATTAGCTAACCACTGCAATTGAGGGAGGTGAGAGGCCCTGAGAAATTGCCAAGAATGCCAGGCACCCTTGCCCTGATCACCTGGCTAAACTCAAAGCAGCATTCCTGAGATTTCAGCAAAATATTCCACCCCAAGGCACAGAAAGATTCCAACCCAAACTTCTCTGCTTTCTCTAAACCTTTTGTCAAATGAGATGGCAATTTGTGCTTCCCTGGATGAAGAGGTTGCAGAAAAAAGATTAACTCACAGATTAGATGAACAGTTTATCCTGCCTTCCCCAGATAACTGAATGTGGATGACAATACATCTTTCAGTATCCCTGGGCAGCCCAGAGGTGCACCTGTCTCACCAGGAAGCCAGTGTGCTGAGAAGCTATGATGAGGGAAATGTGGTCTATCGGGTAGAAGCCAGAAACAAGCCAGTCAGATTGCAGATGTCACTACACTAAATGCAGCCATTGTGAATCTATGTATGTTCACATGAAAATAAATAGTAAATACTACAGCAATTGCTATTTCAAACAGGACTGATACTAATCTTTTTGATTTCTTTGGGAATGAGTGGTAGCTCCTATCATCAAGGGAACAAAAAAGGGTGTAGGAATGTAGCTTCAAGGTTGTTGACAGTTTTCTACCTTCTTCATTCTGGTTATTTTCACTTGCCAGATCTTATTCCTTGAAAACATACCAGCTTTTTTTTTTTAATTAGATTTCCTAATTACTTATTTTGAAGAAGTTTTTAAGATAGTGATTCTCTATGACTGGATTTAACTTTTGTAGGAGTTGCACAGACAAGGTAGGTAAGGAAAAAGTATACTGTTGACAACAAGGGGATTGGACTTTGAGCACATGATAAAAGCGAAAGCACACAAGGGAGGGGTGAGGATAGGTAAGACACCTAAAAAATTAGTTAGCATTTGTTGCCCTCAACGCAGAGAAACTAAAGCAGATACCTTAAAAGCAGCTGAGGCCAATAGGAGAAGGGGACCAGGAACTAGAGAAAAGGTTAGTTCGAGAAGAATTAACCTAGAAGGTAACACACACGCACAGGAAATTAATGTGAGTCAACTCCCTGTATAGCTATCCTTATCTCAACTAGCAAAACCCTTGTTCCTTCCTATTATTGCTTATACTCTCTCTTCAACAAAATTAGAGATAAGGGCAAAATAGTATCTGCCGGGTATTGAGGGGGTGGGGGGAGACGGAGGGGGTGGAGTGGGTGGTAAGGGAGGGGGTGGGGGCAGGGGGGAGAAATGACCCAAGCATTGTATGCACATATAAATAAAAAAAAAAGTATACTGTTGAGAGTTTAAGTGAAAGGAAATGAAAACGCGTGAAAGGTCAGCAGAGCCTAAGGTAAATAACGTGCCCTGGGAATGAAGATAGTGACATCTCAAAATGGTGTCACTCAGATCCCCAAACAAGAGAGGGAACAGTCTTTATATTTCTCTCTGGTTTTTGTGTTCTGATAACACACAACTTGTTGTAAAGTGGAGACATACTGCAGCCCTGGGGATCACAGGTGAGAGGAATCCTGACTGCTGGCTCTGGGAGCCACATGCATGAGCTCACAGGCTGTGGGAAAAGTAGGGATAGCCAGCGGCAAGTGAGGGGTGTCTCTTGAGCAGCAAATCCAAGAACATAGGAGAAACCATGCATCACAGCTACAACACCCATCAAGCTCAACCTCAGCTCTGAAGACACAGTCAACAACTAAGCCAAGATGAAATGAATCCCAACACCACAGCAGAGTCTCGCTTTGAGGTGCCACTTTCTGATTTCCCAAACTGGCATCACAGAAAGGAAAGTTGGAGTAGGAGAGATGTTTTAAGTTTCAGAAAATGTGAAGCGAGAGATGGAAACTTCAGGGCTGTTCTAAAAACCCCTCCTCCTCCTCTCCTCTCTCTGGACAAGCTCCGGCATCTTTTGGAAGAATGACCCTGTTGATCCAAAGCATGGCAGACAATGAATACTGACTTTCTGTGTAGTCACATGTCATATTTAGGCTGCTATGAGCTCCAGCGCTCCTGCCTTGTAACTTGATGTCCTTCAATTTATTGTTAAAATGGGAAGACTGAACAAAGCTCTGAACAGTAGGAATGGATACACATCCTCCCATCTACTACACCAAGTAACAATAAATTGTTCCATTTATGAAACTGATTGATGCCAGATGCTCAATGCCTGGCTCTTGGATATATTAATAGGGAACTTTTTAAGTTGGTCCTGAGAAAAGATGCATCATATTAAGCTAGGAAGGTAAGAAAGGGCACTAGATAAAAATGCTTACCTACCTAAGTATGTGGTGGAAATACCAAGCTGAAAGCAGAGGGGATGAAGGTAGAGAACTCACTGAGCAAGCTGGTGGTTGAGCTTCACAGGACCCTCGAATACCAGTGACTTCTGGAAGACATATTTGGGTTTTCCCAAATTGGGGAGAATTTAGTTGAATACACACTCACACTTCTCCCAGGCATGTTGCTGTTAGTTTTAACAGATGCATCACTAAGCTGTTCTGCTTCAAAATGACTTAGAAGCTGAGGTGACAAGAACCATTCTGCTTCCTTGCTTAGAGACCACCCTATGGGTCCAGCTAAGCTCATTTCCACCCTTCAGAGCCAATTAGTTTGCCACCCACCAAGTTGTAGGCCACTGGAAATTTTGTGGAATTTTCATGAAGATCCAAATTTTGCCATTTGAAAGAGTTGGATGAGTTGCTACTCTGCTCATGGAAAGAAATTGATAAATAGCATGCTGGATAGCTAACAGAAACACTGGCAATCAAATGAGGCTGAGCAGCAGAAGTATGATTGGTAAAACGAGGAAGCCGAATTCCTGCAAAGACCACCTTAAGAGTCCAACAGTGATAACTTGGCAATTCTTGCACTAAACAGCCCATTATGGTTATTTCTGACACTGAGGAGGAATGAAAAATAAATTAATATGAACATGGATATGAGCCAATCACATTTCTTGAATTTATGCTCCGTGGCACACATTCTAGGATGCCTTTACCTCAAGTGATGCAAATGAAAATAAGTAACTGTACTTGCTTTTCCTATCAACCCCACCATTGGATATGGGGAAAAGTAAAAGGCTTTTTAACTAAAGACACCACTGGGACCCACAGATGATGTTTTATGACAGCAAATAAAGGCCAATAGTTAATACATCCAGAAAGGACAACTGCTAAAAATCCCAATGATGTGCCTATCAGAATCAACAGTGCACCTTTACTTTTGCAAAGAGTGACTTCCAAGCCCTAGGAGATGGCCACTGACCGGACAGGATAAGCATCACAAATAATAAGGCAGCAAGTTCACAAAGAGCTAGGCAGCCCATTGCACACATGTCAATGCCCATTAGCTCTCACTTAGAGAAAAGACACAGTACTGTAATCCTTACTGTATGGTGGGAAGAAATTGGATTAGGTTGATTCCCATGAAGTTTCTGTATCCACAGAAAATTTGCTCAATTATTGGAAATTCCACATGGGTCAACTGGTATCAAACTAGAAAAGATGATAAAAGTAGTTAGCTGGATAAACATGCTGACCTACTGTGCCCATTGGGGTTTATAACTACAAGAAAAAGCTGAGAGAAGGCCAGGATAAAGGTTAAGTGAGTATGAGCCAGTGGTGTACTCCCCACAAAGCCATCTTCAGCAGTCTCTTAAGACCTTTGATCCAGGTTGATAGAGGAGGGAGTCAGAGATAGCCATGTGACTCGGGCAGAAAAAGTTTCAATTATAAGTGAAAAAGAGTTCCCCCTCAACGTACAACTATAAAAGTTGCAGAAGTAAATTTCTCTCAATTTAAGTTACTAGAAAGCTTACTACTCTGTATGATCCATGTGGACATGATTTCACCTTCCCTGATTTTGTGCCTTACTTCCAAATGAGTAGAGGACTCATTTTTCACTCCTCTAAGTCAATCAACATTTGACACCCTTCTCTAAATGCTGCTAGATCCTCCTTTACTTCCTATCTACGGCAAGAGCTGTGTATTGATGTGACGGTTACCTGGAAATGGGTTTACTCCAAGCCTACCTCATCTCATCTCCTCTCAAGGGTGAAAACACCAAATTTAGCCACCAGGATCCACAGCCTACAGTGGATGAGGATGAACACTTTGAGTCAACACATTCAGACATGTGTAAATGAAAGAAACAAAACATTTCAACCAGAACACTTCAAAACCGGAGGCTGGGAAATGGCTGTCGGCTTTGTTGTGAGATGGGATCTTTTATTTCCTCCATTTTTAATTTTCTCTCTTCAAATCCAAATGGCAGCAATAGACCCTGACAGCTCTAGCTTTAGACTTGATACACCATCAGGAAATCATTCCAAAAGCTCTAACTAGATAACTAATTTAGTACACTTTGCTTCAAGGTTTATTCCTTGGCTTGCTTCCCAGATATAAAACATCTCTAGGCAATTATTATGCAGATGCCACTAAAAGGACTTTAAATGGCTGCTGCTAATTTAACAGGAGATGCACTGGCATTTACTGGAGATGTGAAAAGGAATCCAAAATGTGCTAGAGAACCAAAAGCATTTGTTTTTAAAAATGAACTATGTGGAATAACTTCTAAATGTTTTCCTTTGGGTTTCAATATAAATGTTGGCTAGGAAATTGGGTATTAAACCTACTTCCTCCCTGCACCATGTGCTGGTAATTAATTATGGAACCATAAGGTAAGAACAGTGGATGAGTTTAAACAAAGCCCATGAGTGATGAGCTCAAAAAAACATTAGATCTACAAGCTGCCCACATGAGACATTTTAGCTGTGCCTACCTAGGGCTTAGAGACAAAAGAAAAATATTGACATTCTTTAGCATATTATAAGCCAGTAACTGAGACCAACTGTTAGAATATCCTAAGGATGAATAATCTCTAAGGAATGATAGGTGCCTTTGCCTGTGCCACTGAAAATACATGTGATACTAGTGGTTTTTGTTTCAGAATATATGTCAAAAATTCAGTTTTTACAAAGCTCAGTTGAAGTTATACTCCTTGATCGATTCTTTAGACCTTGGAGTAGAAGAGAAAGAGGGAGTGCTTCATCTCCAGATAATCTGAGTTTAAACCTGTAGGACTACCATCACGATGCTTGTCCAGAAGTAAAGCTGGGTTGGTTCATCTGCCAAGAGAGTTGATGGGGAATCTGCTTTCCTAGGCATCTGTTGATAAGTGGTGACATGAAGTCACAAAGGTATGATCTTTCTGGTTGATATGATGCCATTTTTTGTCTTTTTTAAAAAAAAAAAGAATCCCAAAACAAACAACAAAAACCAACAAGTAATGGAGGGAAAAATGTATAGAAGACCTGCCATGGTCTATTCTAAGAACAAAACCACAATTAAAAATTGTGTTCAGGAAAAACTAGATGTAAAAAGGAAGATCCCCAAAAATTCAGGAAGAGGAAAACTGTGTGGAACATGATACTGTGTGTACTAAATCAAGAAATTCAGGACACCAGCCAAAGAAGTCAGAAGAAACTAAGCACTGAGCTACAAATAGTTAACATCATAACTGACCAGAGAGTGGGTATGTAAAGAAAGGAAAGCCATGGTGGACTTTGTGAAAAACAAGCTCCATTTTTCATCAAGAGAGGCAAGATTTCACCAAAAGAAGACTAGAGGGTCTTGAGAGGGATCAACTCTGCTCTCATAGGCCAAAGCCTGGGGATGGTACTCGTACAGTGTGTATATGTAGGAAGGGCCACACTTGTGTGACTCCTAGCCAGGGCCCTGCTACCTAAGTGAAGTACCAAACATCTCTCAGAAACTAGCTTTCCCAAATGTGTCCTTTATAACCCTTCTAATGAATTAGTGATAGAAAAATGGAACACACTCAAAGCTTCACCCTATAGGTCCCTATCCAGTGCACATATCATATTTAAATAAGAAACAGTATCAAGACCCTGCCCTTCTCTGTTCCCTTTCTACTCTGATCTACATCCTCTCTTAATCAGGCAAGAGGCTGAGTTGCACAGATGGCCTGGCTCAGGGTCTTAAAGCCACCAGACTGGGACAATAAGGAGAAGCAAGCAGATTCCCTGGGTGCAGTCCCCAGCAGGGTAGCTCAGAATATGGGGTGGTGAAGGAAGACGTAATACAGAGCTCCTCATTTGGCCCAAATGATATCATTGCTGCCCAGAAAGGAGCATGTTCTCTAAGTGACCCCATCTTTAACTCAAGCTTAGGAAGACATAGTGGGGTGGGAGAAGAGATTACTGAGGATGAGGGCAGAAATAAAGAGAAGAAAGCAACTGTCCATCAAGACTCATGAGTCCACTAATAAAACATTCCTCTCTCCTTTAGAAAAGGGTCTTTTCTTTATATTTCAAGATGGATCCTTTTTCTTGCCATCTTTGATTTGGACATGAGCATTAAAGAATGAATTTCAGGGTGCATTACCAATCTGGCTTCAACTTCACTAGAGATGTCCCTTTATGCTCCTGTCCCTGTCAGTAGGCAACCTTCCCTACTAACATGTTACAATGCAGATCAGTCAAATGTGGTTCAAATGAAAAGTACTGTATTGTGAAAACCGCATTATAATAATTCACAAAAGTTATTCCAAAGGGGGAAAAATAAATTATCTCGTATAAAATAATACATGATGTTTGTAGGTAACTTTGGCTCCTGTCTGCAGAGCCTGCTGCCAGCCATCCACACCCCAGTGGGGAGAGCAGATGTTGTCTGGAGGTGACTTTCCACCTACAGGATGGAGCCGGGCCCATCCTCCAGGAGCTGGACTTGGCAGATTAAATGAGTCTGGAGTTTTGGAGGAACTGGATAAGGACTTGGTAGACAAACTTGTACTGAGCGATGGTCTGGATCATGAACATCCTTTGCTCCCTGAGGAGCCTCAGCATCATGGGTACTTCCACCTTCTGCAAGAAAAGAGAAAAAGCTCAAGTTTCAGACAGACAGTGACCCTTGCATCCTTCTTCACTCCCTCGTTCAGAATTACTCATCCACTGCCCATGCCCAAGAGCAAGAGAAGAAAAGAACTTTGCCCTGCTAAGGTCTTATGAAATGAGTCTATACCTGCAATGAGAGAATCTCATCGCCAACTGTCATTGGTGTGATATTTTAAATACAGGTTAGTTTGCGAATAAAATAGAGGTTGGATTGGTTGACAGCTACCAACTGTACCACACCTGATAATGAGATTTAAGGCACGTCTGGGTCCTAGTTTTCACATCTGTGAAATAAGCATCATAATGCTCCCTCTAACAGCGTGGCCTTGCCCAGGTTAGGAACACTTCCTCAGCAGAACATGCAGCAAAACCCAGCATCCACCTCTCAGGATCAAACGATGATATGCATGGAAGGCATTTAGTGCCACATTGGACACACGCTGAGTTCTTAGGAAAAGCAATGCATGTAAACAATAATATGGTGTCAGTGCAATATACTCATTTGCTATCTTGTAGGACTGTGGTCATAATCAAACATGATATTTATGTGTCAGCCTTTAAAATGTCAAAGCACAATCCTTGAGCACCAGTCACGTTTGCAGTAAAGGCCTTTAACTAAAAACATCTTCAGTATTAAACAAGATTGTTTTTGTGTGAATTCTTTGAGAATTAAGCTTTCTTAAATGAAGAAAACAAATACTGTGGGTCAATTTTCTGGGTTTTTTGTGTGTGTGTTTGTTTGGTGGTACCGTGAGCCTTCCATTTGTGTTTCCCTGCATAGCCGGAATGACAGGCATGAACCAGAACACCTAGTCATTGGTTGAGGTGGAGTTTCATGAATTTTTTGCCAGGGCTGGCCTAGAACTATGATTCTCCCAATCTCCACCTCCTAAATAGCTAAGGTCACAGATTTGAGCCACGGCGTCTTGGTTCGTAGGTTACTGCTGCTTGAGAAGACCTAAGTCTGTTCCAGAGTCCCCTCACCCTCATCAGATCAATCCTCCTGAGCCAACTAGGCGTCATGGTAGGAGTGCCACTGGGCTTGGCAACATTCACTTTACTTTGGGAACTCTAACCCAGGCCAAATGACACCCACGAAGTTATGAAGGACTGAGCAAGAATCAAAAGTCACATAATAAAAAGTCAGCTATATGCCTCACTTTGTGACCTTCAAACCTTGAAAACTAATCTCAGCTACTTTCAAACTTTGGGTAGTTATGATACAACTAGGCCATCCTCATTGGTTGATCTTCTCAAAACCAACTAAGGAATGCACACTACAGACTTTAAAAGGACAAAGTCAAGTCCTTCGGTAAAGAGAAGATAAAAAAAAAATCATGTGAGCCCTCAAACTACTAGTCAAAATATAGAACCTAGATTATAAGCTTCTGATTGCAACAAGTTGGTCCCTGCCTAAAATATACTCCAAAATGATCACTACAGGCAAGGGCCACCTAGAGATGAACAGAATGAATGTGTTTGATGAGTACTACTCCATTGGGCACTGAAGACACAGGGAAAGAGAGCCCTGTGTCTCTTTCAAAGCCCACCAAAGGCTTTGAAAGGCAGGGTCCCCAGGAGTTCAGAGCAAAGGCTCGGAGTCAGGCTTCATTTGCTGAATCCAACCGAATGTAGTTGGCTCATTACTTCATATTTCTGTGACTCAGTTTCCTCTTCTATTGCACGAGTGCACTAACAGGACCTATCTCACAGTGTTATAGTGAAGGCTACTTGAGTTAATACTGCAAGGGTCTTAGAACAGTGGTAATACACAGTCAACACTAAATGCAGATTAGCAATTTCCACTGCTGTTGTCACCATCACCTCCACTATCACCTCCCTTCCCCCACCATCACCTCCTCTGCCACCTCCTCCACTACAACCTCCTCCTCCATTTCTTCTCCCCCACTTCCACCACTTTCCATGCTACCTCCTCCACTACCACCACCTCCTCCACCTCTTCCTCCATCACTTCCTCCTCCACCTCCTCTGCCACCATTACCACTTCCTCTTCCTCTTCTACCACTATTTTCTTACTACCTCCTCCTTCACCACCTCCATTTCCACTACCTCCTCCTTCACCACCACTTCCTTCTCCTCCACCACCTCTGTGCCATCTCCTCCACCACTATTTCCTCCTCCACCAGTTTCCTCATCTACTACTTTCTCCTCTACCTCCACCAACCCCTGTGCCATCTCCTCCCCCACCATCACTACTTTGTCCTCCACCATCACTTCCTCCTGCTACCTTCTCCTCCACTTCCACCACCCTCTGTTATCTCCTCTATCACCACCACTATCTGCCCTTCTGCCAACACTTCCTCTTCTGGCTCCACCATCTCTTCCATCACTACCACCTCCTCCTCCACTACCACTACCATCTCCTCTTTCACCATCACTTCCTCTTCCACCACCTCCTCCACCAGTATCACTTTCTCCACTATCCTTTACTACCTCCATTACCATCATCATCCTTATTCCTTTAACTTATGAGACTAGGCCCATAAGACATATTTTCTGATATGGGGCAGTTTAAGAACAAAGCAAAGCTGGTTGCCCAGGTCCTCAATGAAAGGTTCTCACTCCCACATGCTCCACTGTTAAGTATTTTGAACCCAGAAAATCATGAGGCAATAGACATTTGCTCAGTCTTTCCCAGAAGACATTTTCTCTTTCTCACTCTGTAAAGGAGAGAGAACTTATTCAGAACACCATGATCAAGTCCTCGGCGCTTTAGCTAGGGAGAGCCTGACCTTTTGTAATTAGCTGTTGCTGCGACAGGCAAAACAGCCAGGGGACCAAAGGGGAGGACTGCAAACCATAAAACAAGTGCTTCCTGGGAAGTGCAGGGACACACAGTCACCAAAAGCACTGGACCATGGGGGCTTCAGTGCAGCCAGGAAGAACTGTCCCATGACTTTCACCTTGCAGACATCAGACTCACGTAAGCATCTTCATTTCACGGTTCACGCCCAATTTTCTGTGTTTAGAGTAAGTGTAAGAGGGAAAAGTCCAGGAGAAAGAAAAACCATTTCATTGACAAAATTCTAACTGTATGAATTACAAACTAAAACATGAACTATGCTAGCCAGCTGTGGAAAGAAGGCAGGAATGCCCGCATGGGAGGAAAATGAAACTCAAAATTTCATATATATTTGTCAAAAATCTTTGCTTAAAAAATAAATGAACTAAACATGTTCCACTCTTCTACTGAAACAGGAGCTTCAATTTGACTAGCCAGGCCTGAAACAGCATCAGAACAAAGTAGAGAATTTTTTTCCCTAACCATCTACCAATAGCAATTATGGGAAATGGGACAGATAAGACTGACTATATTTGTCCTGGGGGAAAGGAAGTGAAAAATATGAGTCATCTTGCTATCTTTGAGTATCAATGGGAACAGTTCTTTTTGGACTGACCACATACCAACAAAGACTGTTCTGGCATGCAACTGGGCATTGAGGAAGTACACTATGTTTGGACACACCATAGGGAATTTAACCGCCCCGGGCCTTCACCAAGTCCATAGATGGCCCTGTGGGCTGAGTCCCTCACTCCACACCATGCTAGCTTTGATATGTGCTGTTTATGTCCTACTGGACCAATAACACCTGGTGAGCAATAGGACCTACCTCACGGAGCCATAGCCCTTGATATGGTCTCCAAATTGCTCAGAACATAACAATCTTCCATGTCGGACAAGACAGACAAACTAGCTTACTGAGATGAGAAAGAGACAAGGGGCAAGAAAAACACAGATAGGGAGGAAAATCCATTGAAATGGGGAGATGATAATGAGAGCCTCTTTCCTTCCTTGGATCCCACAGTACCACCAGTTTTGAGCTCTGACATACTCAAGCCGTGTGTCCACTGATTCTGTTTCGTCTTATTCCACTTTCTAGCACTAGGAGGATTGGGACTTAATGGGAAGTCATTATCTGTACTAGAGAGTTCTAGACATTTCTAGTAGTGAAAGGATATAAACAAATTCAAGGTGAAACAAAGTGGTTAAAAAAAAAAGAGAGCGAGAGAAGACAAATTTCTGCTATGTGATCTCAACTGACTCCATGAGCATTTTCCTTACCAACAAGTTTTGAAGGGTGTGTTTTTGGGACATTAGACCATAGCTGGGATAGCTGCTCTTCTACTTTTTTAGCAGAACAACATTTCTATGTACAGATGGAAGTTTCCAAAATTTAACTTTTTCTAGGCAGGACTTTAAAAATCCTTTGAACATGTTTAAGCCTAACATTGATTACTTTCCTGGAAGCTTCAACGGAACAAACTTCATGGGGCACTGAGGCTATTTGATAAAGAATTTCCTTGTATTTTCTAAGCTGTATGGTATGACTTGGCAGAGACAGAGTAAAGATGGGAAATAACTCTGGACTAGGAGATGGAAGAGCTGGCTTATTGCTTGTGTACCATGATTTAAGAGTCATACAGCAGTAGACAAGTCACGTAATTGTTTCTAGGCCTTGATTTCCTCATCTATGTGACAGATATAAAGATCTACAAGGAAGCAAAGAAGTAAAAGTCCTCTATAAACATTATAGCCTAGGGCTGTGCTTGCCTAGTATGTACAAAGCCCTGGGTTTGATCCCCAGCACTACAAAAAAAATAGTAATGGTGGGGAAGGAAGAAGCACACAACCGTATAGGTTCACATAAATAAGGCAGAAGAACTGTTCTTCAGCCTTTGCTGCTTGAGTCTCTCAGCATAACTCCTGAATCTGATCGCAGTTAAGGGAACACCACATCCCACATCCTACTTCTGCAGGGAGAAGAGGGGCTCCAGGTGATACAAAGACAGGTGATGTTTGCATGCTCAGAGTCTCTGCCCTGCTCTGCTGCACCTCATACTGCCAATCTAGAAAAGAGCAAATACACCCCCCTATAAATTAAAAACTTCACACTTCGACATTTTCCATGCAGACACATTTTCTCATAGGATTTAGGCCAAAGTACATCCAAGAAATGCAAGTCACATCTAAATTACATGTGGCAAAATAACTCTACATGGGAAATTACCTACAGTAGAGCCAGACTGTCTACTTCTAGAAGTGGATGACAACTGTGATCAGAGTTTTTGTTTGAATGTTTCCTAACTCACATTTTCATTTCTTCTACACTATTTTGCATATCTACATAGTCCAATGAGAGGCCAAGCACAAGGAAAGATGTAAATGCCAGAGTCAAAGTAGGAACCAAAGGTCAGGAAACTTCTGGTCAGGAGAAGGGAAGTTAACCACACAATAGGAAAGGGCACAGGCAAAAGAGTGGTCATGGTACACACAGATCTGTTCCTGAGGTGGAACATTCAGAGAGAAGCCCAGAGTGACTCACTTCATTATGCTCCAGGCAGTAGATCATGAGCTCAGAGAGAATGACCACGCCGGTCCTTCCCACCCCTGCACTGCAGTGGACGACAATGGGAGGGTGCCGATGGGTCTTAGTCCCTTCCAGCATGCTGTTCGTATGGCGGCGGACCGACTGGATCTCCTCCAAGTAGGCTGCAGGACAAAATGCGCATCTTGTCACCAGAGTGCTGCATGGCTTTGCACACAAGTATGGGTAAGGGAGGACTAATGATGAATCCTTTTTCTTTTTTTTAAACTGAGAATAATTTACAGTTCTTATAAGACACTAATTATTTGGCTGGTACCTGCTGTACTGTCCTGGATCCAAAAAGGACCAGCTGGGAGTCAATTAGTCCATGGGAGAATTTGTTCTTTAAATGGAATAGTTCTTTTTTTAAAAATTAAATTCTGTTCTCCCTCTGCAAATCCCTAAGTCCCCCAAGCAGATGATCCTAGACATTACTTACAGCAGTTCCTACGATTAACAGACTGATGAGAACAACAGCTAAGTACCCTTGAAACGCCCGCCTGTCAGAGCCAATTCCTGGTGGGGAGAGAGAGCATCCACCGTTCCTTCCTCCTTTCCCTCACTGAAAGAGTGATGTCAAGTGAGGCTTGATTTCATTTCAGATTTTAAAATAGACTTTAGGGAGTCTTGTTTTTCAGCACAGATTCCTTGGGGTTATGTGAATAGATGAGCCTTTTCTGGAGGCAACACACATGTGGGGCAAGGGTTCAAGTCACCCCTCCCTACCACCACCACCACTTCCAACAGCTGCCTATCCCAGCAGGGCTACACAAGGCTCTGTTCACAACTCCAATTGAGCACAAAAGAAAAATTACAGCAATACAACAGAAAAAGAGAAAGTCTATAAATGTAATCGTCAGGCCAAAAACCAGAAAAAAGTCAATTAGTAACTTAGATTTTGCAGTAGCTGAGAAGAAAAAGGTTGAAAGGTCCTAGATACTCAGAAAAACCTCATCCTAATGCAACAGTATGAGCAGGACTGTAAGGTAAATACTCCATTATGAAAGAAAAAGGAGTACATAGACCCATTCTTGTAATTTAAAAGCACTATTAACATCCAATTACTAAAAATACTGGTACTTTCTAACCTCATTCAATTACAAAATAATCTGCAGTAGTTTACCATGCAGACAAACTACTATTACTACTTTTGGGATGATAGCTAGCAGAACATGAGAAGAGCAGTTTTACTGATAGTCGTGTTACTAGTGGTAATATAAAATAAGATAAGAACAAAACAAAAAGACACCCTGAGAAGAACAGTGAGAAGTTGCTATTGGGCACCAACATGAGCCAAGTATTAAGCATAAATTCTTCCTGCATTTTTTTTCTTCAAGGGGGAAAGTATATCTGGCAACTGAGTATTTTGTCTGACAGAGGTTCATGCACAAGAGACACAGCTTTTCTTTTTTTTTTTTTTTTTTTTCCATTTTTCTTTTATTATTCATATGTGCATACAAGGCTTGGTTTATTTCTCCCCCCTGCCCCCACCCCCTCCCTTACCACCCACTCCACCCCCTCCCGCTCCCCCCCTCAATACCCAGCAGAGACTATTTTGCCCTTATCTCTAATTTTGTTGTAGAGAGAGTATCAGCAATAATAGGAAGGAACAAGTGTTTTTGCTGGTTGAGATAAGGATAGCTATACAGGGCATTGACTCACATTGATTTCCTGTGCGTGGGTGTTACCTTCTAGGTTAATTCTTTTTGATCTAACCTTTTCTCTAGTTCCTGGTCCCCTTTTCCTATTGGCCTCAGTTGCTTTAAGGTATCTGCTTTAGTTTCTCTGCGTTAAGGGCAACAAATGCTAGCTAGTTTTTTAGGTGTCTTACCTATCCTCACCCCTCCCTTGTGTGCTGACAGAGGTTCATGCACAAGAGACACAGCTTTTCTTGAGTTCAAGTTAAGAAGAAAAATGCAGGGAATATTGGGCATCACAGCAAATGCTAATTTCTTTCCTCCCCTTTTCCTTCCCACTCCTCTTCTTCCCCTTGCCCTCCTCCTCTTCAGTACTGGGGATTGAACCCAAGACCTCATTTTATGCCTGATGCCACTTTAAAATAGTTTTGAATAAAACACGGAGAAACTGGATTAAAATGGATGCTTCCTCCATCAATCACACTAATAGAAGTCCAAAAGCTGTAACTCAATGAAAACTCCTGAAGGGAGTTTTCTGGCTGGCTATGCTGAATCCAGGCAGTTTAATTTAAACATGAGCAAAAATCATTAAAACCTAGAAGAAATGGAAAGCCAACATTTCTGGGCCCTGCACACTTACTGTGAGTTTCTTAGAAATATAACTTAGTCAACTAATTTATAGTCTTTAAAAATATCTCCCATACTTTTTAGAAACTTAGATAGACCTTCCTTAAATTGGTCTGATTTAAAAGATTTGTTTACACTTCTGACTACCTGATTATAAGCTTGATGTTTAATCAGAACTGTTAACCAATCATCAAACCAATCTATTTATATTCTTTTCCATGTTCTGCCTCTTGGAGCAAATTTTAATAAGTGAATTAGCAAAAGATGTCTGAAAGGAATAAAAAGCATGGTTAGGAGGAAAGGAAGTTCTACAAAGGTCTCTGCCCTCCTTATTAATGTTCCGAAGTCTTGACAGCTATCTTTGATCTTGGGCAAATCACAGCCGTTTCTGAGGCTTGTTGCAGATCCTCTGACTCCGATCATCTCCTCACTCACCACATTCACTGCCCAACTTCAGAAGCAAATGAAATCCTGGTATTGATAAACAAGCATGCATCAGAATCTAATGGAACTTGCAAACTGGTTATTCCTAGGCCTTGAAAACCAATTCTCTCTTTTCTTCTTCTTCTCCCACCTTAGCTCCAATTCTAGAAATCAAAATGGACTCAAGGTTTTGACACTGTCTCATATCTGGATGATGGGCCCTTCATCATGGTCACAGGTCTTCCGAGCTAGAGAAGACGACATGGCTGATACAATGCTGCCTGCCTTCCAGTTGGGTAAGTAAGGAACGGGGTTTCTCCACACATTCAGGACCATGAGGATCATTTGCAAAGGGAGGGGGAGATGCACCTCCCCCCCATGAAAAGCAGTTGGCAGCATCAGATCTCACCCATGGACTAGAGTTACCAGCCTATCTTCCCTTTTTAAGTGTGAATGTCTCTTTTGTTTGTTTGTTTTGGTACTGGGCATTGAACCCATGGCCTTGATTGTGTTAAGCACTCATGCTACAGCCTAGACTGTGAACATCTTTAAAACAAAGACTGTGAACTTAGTTTTATCTCTGTGTCCCCATAGCCAATACCAAATCCTGGTATACGGTGGGTCCACACCTAAGTTTTGATCTTTCAAATAAAGTACCACATACTCTGAAAAATTAGAGTATTTTTCAGAAGTGATTATATCTTGGGGAGAAAAATCAGTAAATTGATGAGTTTGTCTTCTAAACTCATTTTAATTTCAAAACTACAAGTTGAAGCTGGGCACTGGTGGGTTCATGCCAGTAATCCTAGCTACTCAGAGCTAGGCAGAGATCAAAAGGATTGTGTTTTGAAGCCAGCCTGGGCAAATACCTTATCTCGAAAAAACCCATCACAAAAAAGGGCTGGGGGAGTGACTCAAGGTGTAGGCCCTGAGTTCAAGCCTACACTGCAAAAAAAACCCCCCAAAAACTACAAGTTGATCTCAACAGTTCCTAGTGCCTTCATCCTAGGTGTGAGACAGTAGTCTCAGATTTACTGCTGTCAGGAAATACAGGGCTTGTGAGATGTAATCCTTTCTGAGAAATAAAAAGTAAGTTTTTAAAAAATTCTATTTCCCTGTGGTTTTTCAATTTGGTAAAAGTGCCACAACACAAAATTTACCATTTTAACAATTTTTTTTTTTAAATATGGAACACTTCACGAATTTGCGTGTCATCCTTGTGCAGGGGCCATGCTAATCTTCTCTGTATCGTTCCAATTTAGTATATGTGCTGCCGAAGCGAGCACCCATTTTAACAATTTTTAAGAGGACAATTCACTGCCATTAAGTATTCACAGTGCTGTGCAACCATTTTCCATTTCCAGAACTTTTTTATTGTTCCAAACACAAACTTTGTATGCATCAAATAGTAATTCCCCAATTGCCCTTCCCTCTAGCCACTGGTAACACTTCTACTTTCCGTCGCTAAGGATTTGCCAGTTGCAAGTATGTCAGCATGTGGGATCACACAGTATATCCTTTTGTGTCTGGCTTAGCTCACTTAGCATAATGCCTTCAGGATTCAGCCATATTGTGTCCTGTATCAGAACAGTTATTGATCAATGAGTAATCATAGATCTAAATCAATGTAGGACTAATTAGTTTATCTGTCTTAGCTTATTTGCATAAAAAGTAAACAAAATATAAGTGACACTCTTTTCTGTTCTGCATAGTAATAAAAGTACAGACTCTCCAATCTTATAATACTTTGCCCTGAAAGAGAAAGCATCCTCTCATTCCATTTACCTCCAATGAAACTGGAGTTCTGCTGCTGGCAAGACCCAGTTCGGTAAAACACAGACTTACATAAAAATCCTTGGACATCCTCTGGGCAGCCATGATCCGGCCAGTCAGTATATTGCAAATGCCACACTGTCCTTTCTTGCCCAGACAAAAGGTGCTTGACCTTCAAGCCTGTGGTTGCATAGCAACCAGAATCTGTTCGGAACTTTGTGGTGACCTTGAACTTGCCATAGGTGGCAGAGCTGTGCTTGGACCCCAGTTTGGGCCAATATCGGTGGCTTTTGGTCCTTCCGCCCTCCTACATCACACACAAAAGCAAAATTGGAAATAAGTCAGGGGAACTGCTAACATCTTAATCTTAAGAGCTGAGAAAGAAGAAAACATGAAAAGTTCCTAAATCAATAACTCAGTGGGGGTACTGTGCAGTGTCTATCATTAGGCAGATTCTCTACAGTTTGGCTAAGACTAATAATAACAAGATTTACAATGACAATTACATCAAGGGAACAATTTAGAGAAAAGAAAAGTACAAAAGGGAATAAGGTTGGTGTGCTCAAAAAAGGGAAGTCTTCACAGTCTAGGGTAGGCAGCTTGGATTTCACTCCATGGACAATGGGAAGCCACCCAAAGGATTTTAGCAGGGGAGACACAGTGACGATTCTCGGCCCTGCGTCTCATTCTGATGTTCAGCATAGGACTCTATTACACCGCACTGACTTCTACACTGTCCCTATCACCTAGTGTCAATCTCATATTTTTTTCAGCCTGACTCATTTGCTTTAGTTCAACTTACATGTGAAACAGAACAGCTGGCAAAAGCACCATTCTTTTTCCCTTAATTTTATCATCTTTTCTGAGGTGATGCATTGCCAACCATTTTCAAAAGGCCTACTTTTAAGTTCTGCACAGTTTTTAAGTCACTGGAGTAATGTGGAAAGTGTGAAGGGGCTGGTGATTGAGGAAGAGCTCCAAGGCAGAGACTAGATGCAAAGAAGAAGGCACACAGAGCACACAGCTGTAGAGGTGTTTGGGAGCTCTGAAAGCCCTAATGGCTGTTTAGAGGAACCCTAATGACTAGCCTACTTGTAAAGCAATGCATTTTTTGGGGGATATAATCAATCTTGTCTGTGTCTGTAGGGTTTAATGAACAAATCTCCTTTAGTTTGAAGTTATACCACTCCTGCAAAAGTGGGCTTACCTGAGATCTTGAATATATATTTCTGCTTAATACCTAAATCACGTCTGGATTTGTAAGAGATGATAAGTCCTTGGATATCTCACAGATCATTAGACTCTACTTGTTTTAAGATGGCAGGTCCTTTCTTGTCACTTAGTCTCAGGTCAAAAGGATCTTGGCTGCCCACTTGACTTAAAGCAGCCCCCTCAGTCACTCTCCTTCCTATTACCTTGTTCCATTTGCTCTGTGGCATTTGCTACTATCTTAGGTTAGTTCTTCTGTTTACTTTTTACTGTGGTTCCTATTAGTATGTAAGCTTCATGGCGATAGGAGTGAGAATTGTGTATCACATGCCCCAAAGACAGCACAGGTGGCAAACTGTATTCAGTTGAATAAATCCTCTGCATTGCATGTGATCCATGAGGTGATGAATCTAGTCTAGATACTTTAAGGAAGATTCACTTAGTTGGGAAGGTCAGACAAAAGGTCAGCCTAGGAAGTATGAATGGCTTTAAGAAGTTTGATATTCCCCTTCTCTACTCTCTTCTCATAGACTGTTCTAGAAAGCAATTACCCAGAACAGTCAGTAGAGGATATACCTTCCCCCACCCCCAATTCTCTCTTCTCCTGGCCCCCTCATAACTGTTAAGAAATAGGTACAGCAGTATCATGAATACTGGTTAAAAAATGAATGAAGCTAAGTCCCCTAAGTGACTTTAAAAACTTAAGTTGAAATTTCATGAAAGGATCAAAACAGAGATGGTTAATCAAAACAGAGACCATAACAAGAGAGGAAACACAATGCTTTTTCTCCCAGTGGCAGCTGCAGGCTGGCAGGATCAGAGGGCAGTGCATTCCAGATTGTGTAACATCACACAGGGCTCTCCAGGTACAACAGAAAAACTGTACTTGGCTTGGCAAAGGAAAAAAAAAGATATATATTTTTTCTCCCCAAAGAATAGAGAACCCTCCAAGAACAACAGCTTCTGGTGCTGGCCTTTCCAGCTGATAAGCAGAATGGCCTGGGGAGCTGGTTGTGCCTGGGATTGGGAATGTACGTCCACGTATCCAGAGAGCCTGAGCTCAAATTCCAGTGGAAAGTTCACTGCTTTGTTTGGCACACACAGTTAGCTGGTTGAATTCAAGTATGGTCGTTTTTGGTTTTGTGTTGCTTTGTTTTCATTGTACTGCATGGCAATACAAAGAAAAGAGTTAAAAGCCAAATGAAAATGAGAGAGAAAAAACCTCAACAAGATATTGTTTCTGGGGGAAAAATCTACATGGAAGCAAGAAAAGAAAGAAGACACACGCCAAAAGGAAAAGGATTTAAGAAGAAACAGAGCTGCAGGGAGGAGGAGTGGGCAGCAAAGTCACTGGCACCAGGCCCATCTCCTGGCCATCCGTTTCCAGGAAAGCAGGGAGGGAGCCACGCCACTTACCTCCTCTGCAGTGACCATGGCGATGACGTTCACTCCCTGCTCCCATACCATTTGCCAGAAGTCGTGGCATGTGTGTGGCAGAGGTCCCTGAGTTGCAATGTAGTGCCATTCTGCCCCACCAACCACCACCTGAAGGCCAAGAAAAGCATCAGTAAAGGAACCCCAAGACCAGAATGGTCACCTGTCCATTTGTAGCCTCCTTCAAATTTGGTTAATTTTTTTGAGCCCAACAGCTTAGTGCAATTATCAAAAACCATAAACTGTTGTCACCATAAACAACTAATGACACAAAAAAATTTTTTGGTCACTCAAGCTTTTCAAGATATATTTACCTGATCTTTTCTGACTGCAACTGACAGTTTGCACATATTAAAACCATATTTTATATACATACATACACATGTATATACATACACACATATATGCACATATAGGTAAATATACACTATGTAAATATGTATATGTCAAACTTTATAGGATTTGTTACTGAAACAAAGTTATGTTTACCATGTGCAATGTATTCTGATACTTTGCATTCGTTTCGCTATTCTAATTTATTTCAATAGAACATAAACACATATAAAAGTGACTAGGACCATTAAATTAGCTTTACAATACCATTGTGTTGTTATCCACAGTTTAAAAATGACTATTTGGGGGCACCCCCTTAAACAATTAAAAAAAAAATCTATGACATCCCTTTTGGAGTAATCTTTCTCCTGCTGACCTGATGTGAAGCATGTCACAAACCTCTGCTGTCACTGCTGCTCTAACTAAATATGTATGGCAAAGATGTGATGAACATACTTCCAACAGTACATAACATTTTATCAGTAACTTCACTTGTGCAGTAACAGAGAATCCAACTGATCTACGGAGTCATGTGATGATTTTTGGAAATAAAATTATTCTCCCATGTAGGACAGGAAGATTGTGGGAGGATAATACTAGAGTTGTGAATGTCACCTGCAGAGAATCGTAAATAAGTTGTGCCCAAAGCACTGAAGGTCATACTATCAAGGTGAAATGATGGCCTTTGGAGGAAGTTTTTGCCTCTCCTTCTATTCCTGTGCCTTGATAGGCAAAGATAAGCCTCCTTACATATCCATGCAATGTAGACCTCTAGAGAATTCTGTGAGCAATGAAGTGATCATTGTTTGAAACTTCCCCCCTCATTTATTTTATCAAACTATATGCTAACTTGATTCAAACAGAAACAATGTTAGTTGTTGTCTCATTACACAAGATATGTTTAGGTCAAAGCTGGCAAGAAAAATCCATTTTCCAAGAACTAGTGGGAGATAACATTCATATACTCACTGGCTGGGAGTCTGGTTTGTTTGTGAATTGTGATTTTAAACATTAGCCTTCCTGGCACCCAACATATAGGAACCATAAATACTTCCAGAGAATGCTGCTGCCTGGGGCCTTTTAGCATACTCCGAGTATTGACAGGAGGGTATTAAAAACTGCATTAAAAACACAACAACCAATGCTACCGAGGTAGATTTCACAGATGTGATTCCACTTCTGGAGCAAATAAATCTCTGTATTGTGTTAATGGCTGCTTGGAACTCAGGGGAGAAAACATTGACAAAACGTACAACTCTATTCCAAAAACACAAGGACAAGTTCTTGCAAGCTCTATGGGTCTATTAAATGCATCCGTGTCTACCCTGGATCCACAAGATGAAATATAGGCCTCAGAGAATGCTGAAGAAAGGAAGGCATCTCGGGTAACAATACCCAATGGGCACCATTTATGCAGAGTGACAGCTGTTTCTAAAGAGCAGATGGAAAATGGTGGAAGAGACTTGGCCAAGGGAAGAGGACAGAAGAATACTTCTCTGTGAGATTTTCATAGTCACTCGATCAAGAGGCAGCTGTGTCATCTGCATCTTTGAGTATATTATTCAGCTCATTATTTCATAATCTAAACTAAGATCAGTTTGCTTAAGACCTTCCTGGGGTTCATTTTTATTGTTTTAGTTCCTATTCCTTAAAATAAGGACAGCCAATATGGTCTGTGATCACTGATTGCTTTTTTCATGTTTCTTTCCTTCTCTTTTTTTTGAGACAAGGTTTTGCTATGTAGCCCAGGCTGGCCTCAAACTCACGATCTTCCTGCCTCAGCCACCCAAGTGCTGAGGTAACAGGTATGCACCACCATGCGCAGCTCAATTTCTTTTTGACAATGCATCCTTATCTATCTATCTATCTATCTATCTATCTATCTATCTATCTATGCTCTTTGCACAAAAACACTAAACCCAACCACAGCATCCTTTGCAAATTCTGTAGCTGGGAACAGGTTTCGAAAGCTACTCAACACAATAGACTATGAAGGGGAACTTCCTAGAACAACTGACTGGATTACTGTATGGAGAAATTCTTCCACTTCAGAGTTCAGAGCAAGTGGTACTATTCTAACTAAATATGTTCAGTTATTAGGACTCCTGGGGAAGGTAAGCTATTTAGGAAATATTTGCCTGAATACACATGTATCATAGCTATAAGTTCTAACTAGAGTCCAGTTAAGCTTTGAAATACTGAGATATGAAGGTCTAAAGTATCTGAAATATTAACAAAAATCCAACACCACCAATTCATTGACTAATGTGGCAAATCTCGCCAGATTCAATATCAACCTCAGCCTTATGGTTTACATATAAACTAAATTTGTCCACTCTTCTAAATGTCATGCAAAATTGGAGCTTCAGCTCTAAAATGAATAACCCATAGTATTTTAAGGAAGAAATGATAGTTTGTTGCTATTGAATAAAAACTTCAATGAGAATAAATACCCATGACTACTGAGGTTTTGGAAGTCACAAATCACATGCTAATTACAATCTGAAAAGACAATCCCCAGTTTCTCCTGAGGGTTTTTTTTTTGGGGGGGAGGGGAAGGAACGGAGATTACAGCCCACAGAGAAAGAATGAGCTCAATCCTCTGTAATGAGCAAATTTTGGAAACAGCTGACCTGAGGTTTTTCCTGAGACTGCTACTAGATATTCCTCTCTCTGCAGTGACAAACGTCTCCTTCAGTTCACTAAGAAAAACATGGGACTTCAAAAGCTCTCCCTAATTGGGGGCAAGCTCTAGTATAACACCTACACATTTCTTCTCCCTGCATTTTCTTTTTACCAGCAATCTTTTTTTTTTATTCTTCTAGAATTTATTCTTCTTGCATACACATATCCATTGATCAACAATTCCACATTTTCTACAGCTTCTAGCAACCAGTATTCTTTTTGCTGCTTCTATGAGTTTGACTATTTTAAGTATGTCATAAACATGGAATCATTTGTCCTTTTGTAGCAGGCTTATATGTTAAGATGCTAGATCTCATGTAAAATGTTCTTATCACATACACACAAAAAGAACAACGAAAATTTTAGTGGTGATGGATATCGCCACTGGTATGTATATATGTCTAACCTCATCAAAACGTATACATTAAATATGTGCAATTTTGTGTATCAATTATACCTCAGAAATTTTTTTAAAAAAGAAAAGATAATTGCTGGGTGTGGTGGCTCATACCTGTAATCCTAGCTACTCAAGAGGTTGAGATTGGAAGGATCATGGTTCAAGGCCAGTCTGGGTAAAAAGTTAGCAAAACCCCATAAAAAGAGACCAAGAAAAGGAAGCTTCACCAGCAATCTTGAGTTGATCTTGAGGTGCTGATCCAGCGTGTTCCCCTTCTCACCTTGATGTGCGAGGCATTGATGTAGCCTGTGTTGTTTTCTTTGGTTGGGATTAGCTCCACTCGGTTCTCCTCGTAAGGGACGACTTCTCGGATTCTGCTGCGCTCAGCATTTTCTGGTAGAGCTGCGGTGCTGAAAATACCATTTGCCTTTTTCTTTGGAATTTGCTCGTACTCTGTGAACACCATTCCCTCTTCTAACTTCTTCTTCAGGGTTCTGAACTGCAGCAGAAATTAATGTTCAGCTCTGTGAATTACCTTGTCCCAAAACTCCAATAAAACAACCAGATCTCCTTCAATATTCACAGTGACAGTGTTGAGAGATTTCAGTGTGGACAAGTAGACAGTACTGATCTCATTGTTAACCACACTGCTAGTTTCTCTTGTCTGATAACCATTTTACTTCTCACTCATAAAATGGGAAAATCTGCAAGAACTGGTGTGAGTTGAAACTAAAAACCAATACTTCTGCTATTAACACCTGCTTAAAGTCCTAATAAGAAGCAGATTGTTAATTTTGTTATCTGAACATCTGGTCCTCTATGTACACAGCTGTTTCTACTGAGCTAAATTTTAAAATTCTGGTCCACAGATATATAAATCCTTCCTTCCCCCTCCTCCTTTTTTTTTTTCCTCTTCTTGGCCAAATTACTAATTACGATAACATTGTATTAACTAGATTACCTGATCTCTCTAGATGTCCTTTTTGGCTCCAAATACTGAATATCTGCTGTCAGAAACCTAACACTATAATTTTACTAGCTCTCTTAAATTTAGACAACTTGTATCTTAACTTCTGACGGCAAATTCAGGAACTTTGAGGAGCCTTTCTCCATCTCTAAAACACAGCAAGTTTTTGCTTTTCAAACTCAAAGTTCTCATGAAGCATTATGCTAATAACTATAAGCCAACTGCATTTTCTACCTACATTAAAAGAATTCTATAAATTCTTGGATAAAATAATCATTTCCTAGGGAATAGCAGTAATTCACACAAATCATGGAGCGCTACAGAAATTGTTTGACTTTCTCATCTTATAGAAAAGAAAACAGGCAAAAAGTAATTGACTTGACCTTGGTCATACAACTTGTTAAAAGCTGTTCTTTTTAGTCAAGTATGGATACACCAACTTGATGAAGCAGGAAGACCAGAACAGAGAAACACTGGATGTTGGAAAGAACTGATTTAAGCCATGCAGTTAGACAAGACCTTCCTACTCTCAAACTGAAGAATTAATTCATCAAACAGTGTTGGCATGTTTGGACAGGGAGTGAGCTTTGGGATGTGGAGACTACAGAGAGTGAATCACACACCTGACAAGCCTGGCACTTACCCTCTCATCCATGGGAACTCGGGTGGCATCATGTCGACTTTCTTCCCGCCCAGAGACCCGAGCCACTGAGAGCCCATTCAATGCTGCCAACATCAGGGGCCTCTTCTGTGCCTCCAGGCCTGCCATCTTCTGCTTCTCTAGATTCTTGAGGCAAGAAAAGGCATGTTCTCATTGTTTATAATACCAGTGGAAGGTTGGAATGTGTTTTAATCTCCTCAAATCTATAACTCTCCAGCCAAGGAATGCAGATGATCACCATTAGCAAGGCAGATTCAAACAGCCCTCCCATTATTCCCACTGTGCCTGAGGAAGCCAGTTCCTACAGGACCTCTGAGGTTTTATTTTTAATTAATTCACTCATTAGATAGATAAATAACAGATGCCCTAACAAGAATACCCTGTCATAGGGTTCACAAAGAAAAGGTGGAGAGGTCCATACAATACACTTTAGAATGATAAGGGCTGGAGAAAGATAAGGCGAGGAAAACAGAAACAGAGTTATATCAATAATCTTATCTAATCACGGTGACAGGCATTTTGCAGAGGCTGAATGGTATAAAACTTGTAAAACACTTTGTTGACTGAGAGATCCAGATACAAAAATCACAGTAGAAAATCTTCCTATGTTTCCATCCTGAGAAGCTCATGCTAAAGAGGTGAATCTCCTATTTAACTTCTCATCCTTAGGGTCCCTACTGGCATCAGCCCCAGACAAGAGCTGATGTAGTTTAGTTTAGCAAGATCATCAACAATGAAGCCTAGCTGGTGGTCATGTAAGATGATACACCAGCCATTGTTCTTCACACTCATCCAGGAATCCAAAGGAATGAATGCCATGGCTCCCACTGGCTACATTTAATGGCTATGACTAAGTCATGGAAAGAAGCACAAATGGATTTGGAAGCTTAGCAGATCACTTGGGGGAAGGGATTGTGATTCCATGTAGCCTTCCTTTATGGCTTTCCCATGGCCAAACTCTATCCTCATACAACCTGTGGTCTAACCTGGAGCAGTCAGGGTTCTGGCTATTAGGGCCACTATTGGGCTTTCTCATGTCCTTAGAATGGGTAGAGCAATGAAAACCTACTTAATCATTTCAGGCAGCTCACAAAAAGCATTTCCTGGAAATTCTTGTTTTAAACAACAAGGGAAGAACAGAGGGACTTCATTAAGCACAGAAACAGGTAAGTTTGACAGTGTTGATGATTTCAGTGAAAACTGAAGTGAAATCAATTTGCAGATTCTTATGACTGCCATAGAGAAAGGGGTTATCTCATCTCTGGTTTCTTTTCTAGCCATTAGACTTGTTTTCTTTTTATCATTTATAAATTTACTCCCCAGAGAGGTGTCTCGATGGAGCCAAGATACTGGTAGATCACACAGATTATTCTAATTGGGATGGCAGGAATGGCATTACAGCCTATGGCATGTACGTTGTCACCACAAAGTCTCCTGCACTCAGCAAAATGAAGCCTTTGTGAGTGATGCTGCCAACAGGATACCTATTCAGTGATGGGCTGAATCACAGAACAAACCAAAGGTGCAATCTCAGAGGAGGATGAACTCTGACAAGTGTGAAAAGTAGCCACAGACTTCCAGCTAAAAAAAAATCTTAAAACAAGCCTTGGTTTCTCAATTCTAGGCATCCCTCAGGACAAGATTTTGGATTTAAATTTTTGGTTATTGGTTTGCTTAATAGTTAATCTTTGTGAAAGGTAAGTCATCCCAGGTCCCCTACCCTGCTCCCTCTAGTCACCTCTTTTAGTTGGAATGTCTCAAAGTTTTGAGACAGCAATACCTCAGGAAAAAAATGACTTGAAGTCCTCAAAGATCTCCTTCCTTTCTACCTCTATACTACAGGGAGATCACATTTGAGCCTAAGAGAAAAAAAGGATTATACTGTCTCTCTTAGGAAAGGACCACTACCTGCATAGGGAAATGGACTTGTGTCTTAGCTCCTTCTCACTCATCCTACTAGTTTTTCAGCAGCTGTAAAAATCAAACACAGAGACCTGACTTCTGGTTAGTGGGGTGGAAGCAGGGAAGTAGCTTCAAGCTAGCAGGCCTAAGTCATTCATCACATAGACAAGGCTCTAGAATGAGGAGTGCTGCCCACAGGGCAAATTCTTACCATACCTGTGTTTCCTTTTGCTTAAAGTTTCTCACTGTTCTGTTATTTGAGAGGGCCCAAGATGACCATGGCAGCCTCTGTCTCATCCATTCCTATTAAACTGACAAAAGCTGCCTGTGGTGAGGACAAGTATCTGAGCTGTGGGGATGCTGCCTAGGTTAGCAGGTGATATTGTGCAGTAAAAAAAAAAAAGATGAAAAATCATCTTGGGTATCCAAGCCACTGGCATGGTCCCCATCCCGCCTGGCCTCCTGGCTCCCGGACGACTCCTAAGCTTCCTTTGAGGTCAGGAAGCTGGCTGAGGGTAGCAGTCCTTGAGCTCCTGAGTGTTTGGGACTCCAGAAAAAATTAACAGGGAAGATGAAATAGGTCTGGGGCAATTATGTTCCTGAACTAAGAGTTAGTGGGTGAAATTTGCTAGTTGCTATTATCCACATGGATGGAATGAAATAGCATATGGGTGAGAACAGCAGAAAACCCCTGGCTCCTTTGTGATAATGCGCCGAAGCTCTCAGTGGAGACCAATGCCATGATTTTGGCTACAGGCTGTTTGTTTAATATGGGTAACAAGAGAAGAGGAAGAATATGACCAAAATGAGGTTACAGGACCATGTGGACATCATTATGCATCAACTTGGCAGAAGAAACAGCTCAGATGAATGCTTAGACTATTTGATTCTTGATGCTAATGTTGCTCTTAAGAGGCCTGGGGCCAAAAAGTGTTGAAAAAAAAAATCTCTTTATACCAATGAATTACTTTTTTTCCAAGCTGGGGAAGTTCTTTCCCCATGGCACCCACCCTCACATGTCGCTCCATCCCCAGCCAAAGGTTTTCATTGCCTGAGGCACAGGTATAAATTTCACAATCTCCCTCTGTTTGCCTGAGGCACAGGTATAAATTTCACAATTTCCCTCTGGCTTGCAAAAAATGGAAAATTTATGCCCATACCAACTCTTAGCACTACCCCACTGATGATCAAAACTGTTAGGATGAGTGTCCTTAAGGTTTTTCTAAAGTAAACAAATTTGCCCTAGATTAGATTTCTGAAGTCAGCAACTTGGCCTCCTTAAAACTTTGGCCCTTGATTATTCTCTTCAGGTTGATTTCCAAGGGTGAATTTGGAAAACTCAGAAATGGAGTCTCCTGAACTCTATCAAAGCAAATTTAAACTGAAACTGTCCTAGAGTTCCTAAAAGAAGGCCCAGCTACCTGACGTGCAGCTGTGGTGAATGAAAAGAAGTCAATCTGAGTTTGATTAGTTACATAATTAAATGATCATTTTAAGGAAGTGAAAATTTCCAAGAAAAGAAGCAGTGGAGTTGTTTTTTCAAAGGTAGAGACTACAATCCAGCCATGTTCTCATTAGTAAGAGCCAGATTCCTTTGTTTTTCTACATGAGCACCTATTACCTGCATAGTCTTGCTTTAGTAATAGAAGTGGCCATCTGAATTGTATGTATTCTGAAGGGGGGTTGTTCATATCCAACATCAGAGTGTAGCTTCAGATACTATTCATTTGTGCAAACGAGGTATGTGTATATTCACACACATGCGTATGAACTTTACATGAACAAATCTGATGGGGAATTGAAGCTCAAAAGTCAACTTCCAAGTTACATATCCAGCTACTATAGTTTTCTTGAATTTGTATTAAACAGCTATTGAAAAAAATCTAAAACTAAAGCTAGATACATTACAGTCTAGACAATACAGTCTTGACATATAGAACTATGCAGAAAAGGGTACTCTGTAGAGATGATGTTCTTTTAATATTTAATCGGAGAAAAAGAAAAAAAACTTGCTGCTCCAAAAGAAATCCCAAGACATTAAGAGATGTTGGGAGGCAAGCACCTAGCAGTTCGCACAACTGGAAGTTTGAGCCCTGACTAAATGCAAAACGCTGACCTAGGTATTGACCTCACTAACATGCGAACTCAACTACAGTGCTCTGTGCCAAGTGTATGTACTAGAAGCCACAATAAGAATGGAAGATGTACTTGAGAGGGCAGGACCCAACATTTGGTGAAATAAAATACCCATGATTAAATACCCAATGATTGTTTAAAACCGTAACACATCCCTGGTGCCTCATTCCTCCCTTTCAGTGCCTGAAGTGTCTGTGATTTCGCTCTGAAAGGCTGTAAACGGACGACACTTACCCTAATCATCATCTCTCTCTCTATGATACTATCCTCCAGGGAAAACATCTCAGACACAGGCCTCTCCTTCACAGGCTCTTTTTTGACCCGTTCCTTCACGCTGGTCAGGTCAGGCTCGGAGATGGAGGGACCAAGAGAGGACCCGTTGATGGCCAACTGGTCGGTTCGGGAGACACTGAGGGCCTTAGCCGGCCCGTGCCTCAGCACCCTGGCCCTGGCGATGGCGGTAGGGAGGTTCCCCTGGTCATGCCTCAGGGCCCCATTGCTGACACTTTTCCTTGGTCCAGGGTACTCGGGTGGGGGCTTGTTTGGAATCCGGGCGAGGGCTGCCTGCAGCTGGGCGCTGTACTCCATCTTCTCCCGCAGCACAGGGATCTGGGGCACGGCCTCCGGAGCCTCCTCCTCCTCCTCGCTCTCGCTGCTGTGGATCAGCATGGTGGCATCAGAGAAGGTCTTCTTGTGGTGATACTGTGGGAGCTGGTGGACCTCGTGGGCCCCTGGGTCTTCCTCTGGCGGCCCCTGCTCCCGGAACGTGTTACGGCGGACCATGGGGATGTGCAGTGACTTGAGTGTCATGGCTTCCATGCCACGCACCATGCTGTTCATCACCTCCAGGCTGTGGCGCTTGTTCACTGTGCCATGGTGCTTGGTGGCTGTGAGGGGCTCGCTCACCTCCTGGAGAGACTGATGCACCACTGGAGAGCTGTCTTCCTGGAAGGTCTTCACAGACAGCTGCACCTTCCGGGTCACCAGGTCCGGGCTGCTGCCACTGACATACTTGTGGCGATGACTGGCAAGGTCTGGGGTGCTGGTGGCAGGGCGGGGCCGTGGGTAGGGGGGCGGCGGTCTGAAGAGATAGTTCTTGAGCATATGGGCTGCATTGTAGTTATGGGTGCCTTGCAGCTGCATGTTGGCCAACTCAGGGGTGCTCACTGTGTGTGAGATGGAACTTGCCCCTGGCTTGCTGGGCACAGTACTATTCTTTGGGTTCATCTGGTCAGATGGACTAACAAGTTTGTGACTATAGCCCCCCTGTGGCCCATATGGGACGGTGTAGTGGTGTCTGTCCCGCATCTCGGGCTGGCTGTACACCAGGTCCTCTGGCTGGTTGTAGGCGTGGGTGTTGATGATGTTGAGGTTCCGCAGAGACTGGCTCTGGCTGTCCGCATGCATCATCCCCCTCTTCAGCTGCCGCATGACTGTCTCATAATCGGGGGTTGGCCTGTAAGACGGAACGATGATTGCGCTATGCCGGTGGCTAGGGATGTAGTCAGCCCGCATGACATCACTCCCAGGGATGCTGAGGTTGGAGGATACAGGAGAAGCCTGGATGAAGCTTTGGGAGCAGCTGAGGGAGTTGATGCTGTGAACGCTACACACACTGCCATTGGTGACGGTGCCATTCAAGTAATTTAGGTCCAGGCTGTTGTGAGAATTGCGATACAAGACTTCCTCGTTCCCATGGAAAATGCTGTCTATGAGAAGTCAAACAGAGGCATGTGAATTTTCACACTGTCCTGTTTCAATAAAGTTTTTCTCCATGTTTGTGGGGCAACTTAAATAAGTCATAAAGAGTGAACTCTCACAGTCTCCACTCTCACATTCTGATAATAGCTTGGATAAGATGGAAGGAATTCTTTAGAATATACTGAAAAGAAAGAGTGACCCTAAACAGACAAAGGTATGCACACATAGCATGTTTGTCATTGAGGTAAGCTCTCCATTTTGCCCTGAGTTTTGAGGTCAGTCTCCAATAATGACCCTCACATTGGGTAGACCTGTCTTCTTGTGCAGGGCTCAGCAACAGGACTGGATATTTGGGCCAGAAGTCAAGGGCCTTAATAGTATGACAGATTTGAAATTATCCAGACCTGGAACTGCTCTTTCTGACCACAATGGAAAAGGTTCCTTTACCCAAGTGACTACTGAGTGTTCATAAAAAAACAAGACAAATAACATGACTAGGATGTCAGCATGGCTAGGTTGTGAGCAGCAATAAAGGCAAGCAAAATTAGAATCAGTTCTTTTAGCCATACTCCTCTCATTCTGGATCTACTATGGAGGTTAATTCAAGTAAAAGTTAATTACAGTATAAAGAAGTACCTAGAGAGATACAATGACAAATTTCTAAAGTCAGTCCACTCTGGATATCCATGTTCCTCTAGCACTTTTCTGAAGCCTAAATACACTCGTCCTCACACTGTAGATTTAAGCATGAGAAGAACAAACAAAGATAAAGAAAAAGTGAAAACCAGAAGGGTAATTGAAAATAGTCAACTGTCTGAAAAGAAGGGTGTGGACAAAGGTGACCAAATGAGAGTCTTCCACAAGAGGCAAGAAAAAAGAGAGACCAATGTGTGGGGATTTATCTACCTCCAGTGGATTTGGTGCCTGCCCTGGAAAATAGTGTGATTCTGCTCATCAGATTATAAAAAGTACTGCTGTATCAAATGCTCTTGATTGTGTTGATTTTCATGCATAAGCTTTCCTATTGCATTCAAACTAGCCACGAGATGCTAACACAGAAACTCAAGATCCATTCACTATAACGTCAACATCTGAGGTTTTCTACCATCTCCTTTCTTGAGATGCAGTTAGTATAATGATTGAAAGATACTGAGTTTCATATCCAAACTCCACCATGAACCTCTGTATCCCAGTTTCTATACCTGTAAGAAGGAAGTAAGAGCATCTTAGATTTAGCTTGAGGATTAAATGAGACAATACACAGAAGTAGTTAATGCATGGCGCGCCATAACTGCTCTGTAAATGGCAACTGTTACCACTGAGCTTGTTATTACTAATCGAATGGGCTTGTTTCTGCATTTTGCCTGGGAAATGTTTTGGGAGAAAAGAGAAGTAAAATGGATTTTGTTTATTCTGAGAGGCAATAAATACTAAGAAAGAGGCTAGAGGGAGAGATGAAAGAAAAAAAAAAGCTAAAAGACCAACTAAGAGTGTGTTTCTTCCAATTACAGATGCATGTATTCCTCACCTAAGAAACTCACCGAGCGCTACAAACTTCTGACATGTCAGCAAACGTGAAGTGCATTCAGGTGGGCTGAGCAGTCGCTCTCCTCTCTTGACCCCCTTAGAAGGGGAGGAGACAAGAATGCGCCCACTGCCTTGGCTCTTCTGGGAAATATTTTCTCAGGGATGACTAATATTCTAGGCCTTTCACAAGTTGAAGTTGGTGGCTACTGTTACTCAGGCAATGATAAAGTTAAAAGGAGAATATTGCTGTCATGTTAAAAAAAAATTCTTCCTTCCTTAACAGTACCCAACCTTTTGTCTTAAGAAGAGAAAATGGCAAGTCAGAGTTACCTTGTGAAGTGTGCGTTTCCGAGTAGTGCTCGCCACACTGGACGTGCATGGGAGGCAAGATGTACGGCTGCTGCCTCGGCTGAAACAGAGAACACAGCAGGGCTGGGGAGGCCATGGCAGACATGGCCCAAGACTCACAAGAGAACCAGCACACACCATCCCCACCAGCCCCAACTACAGGGAAGCACACTACAGCTGCTCCCTAACCACCCCTGTGACCTCTTCCACTCATCTGAACCCCCACCTCCTCACAAAGTTTGTGACAAACAAGTTGGCTCAAGATCAGACAAAGAGCCACAATCAAAGGACTAGATGGAGCTATGCATTATCTATTTTCTCATACACTTGTGAAATTCTATGCCTTCTTAGTAAGTTTAATCAGAACAGGTATATTACGATGACCCATCTAAGAAATAGAAAGATAGAAGCCTGGTTTGTTTTATTCAAAATTGGCTCCCTCCTGGAGCCACAAGTTCCTATCACCAGTACAATCCATAATTGTAGTTCACAGTTCCACAGCAACCTCAAATGGGGTCAGAGTTAGTACTAACGTGGGCCCAGTAGCAAATTTATATAAAACTTTAAAATGTGATCCACAATACTATGTGTAGTTCTCAAGTCCACTTATTCACCCTCCCCATGCAGAATCAAATGGGGGAAGGGCCTGGCAGGTAATCTAGCCTAACTATCTACTTCCTACCCCAGTGCAGCACTTTTTCTGTAGGATCTCAAGGAATGCCATTTAGACTCAGTCTGAATCACTTCCTGCTGCACAAGAAGGTAAAACTTTGGAAGAAAAAAATACTTTAATGGATCAAGTATTTGTGGCAAGCCAACAAAGGAAATATAATTATTTTCTACTGTGATCTAGAGCAAGCTGTTTAGTATTAGAAATAACGCTTCTTCAATGAAATCCAGTCCCACCCCCTACCTCAAACAGTATCTACTTTACTGATATGAGGTTCCAGGAACAGTTTGTTTGATGAAAGAGTTTTGATATGGGATTTAAAAATCCTGAAGTTTATATGCCACTGAACAGGATGATCTCTTATGTTTCTATTAATTGACCTTATAGATATTATTTTAAGATTACTGTTTCAGGAAGAAGATGACTTTTAAAAAGCAGAGATCAAACCAAGAAACCCAAAGCCAGCAGGGGTCACACTCTCCCAGCATCTTTCAAAGGAAGACCAGTACTCACTAGAGTCAGAAACTAGGAAATAGCTCACCTATCCTTTTCCCTGCTACAAATAATGCTTAGGCATCAAACGGACAAATAAAGAAGGTACTGGAGACAAAAATTCAAAGAAATTAAGACAACAGTAAAGAGCTGAAGTTAAATTAACCTAAGACAGTGGTTCCTGGTACCGAAGAAAAAGTGCTGTATCACTTCTCCAAAACATTTCCTAGTGTCATGGTAGTTGATTTTTAAGTTACAATTTAAAAGTATTTTTCCTTTTGTTGGAAATACATAATTCAACTAAGATTTCCCATAGTAGGACTGTTGGCTTTATATCTTTAAAAAAAAAAAAAAAGCAAGGAGAAATTTATGCAAGGGAATAGAAATAGATGGCACTGCCTTTTCCTGCTCTTATTTTTAAAAAATTCTAGAAATTAAGTAAGTGTGTATGAACTGGCCTAAGTATACAGGCAAAGGACACCAGCTAAACCTTCAAACATTATTTTAGGGTTATTTATTTCCATTCTTCCTGCTTCTTCCTCCCCTTCACCTCCCCAAAAGTCTTAGAGATGGAACCTAAGGCCTCTCACATGCCAGGCAAGCACTCTATTGCTGAGCTACATCCCCAGCCCTTGTTTCATTTCTTTCTCTATTCCAATACATTATTCCATTTCTTTCTATACCAACTAACACAGAAATAAACAAAGTGCTGTAACAGGAAGCAGAAGGGGAAAAGAAAAACAGCAATAGGAGGACCTTCTTATCAGCAAGGAAGCCAAGAGACAATACAGTCTGGTTTTACTTTCACTCATTGTAAAGAACCCTTAGTGTTGAAACCTAAAAGTTGGGGGAAAGAGTGATGCTCTGAATCCCTAGTCTGAAGCTCTGAATTCCCAGTCCTAGATAAGGTCTTCATGAAAGAAACAAAGGTAAGCTTCCCTCAGTATCTTCTCTGGATAATTAGGATGAGATTGGATCACAAGATAGCCTTAAAACACTATGCCTCTCATGGTATGTCATGGACATAACTGAAAAATGATTTCACTAATTAAAATATTTAGACTATAAAGAAAAGGACAATAACATTAAGGAAGAAAAGAATAAAAAACAAAAACCATGAAAACATCTACTGTGCCCCAGGGGAAAGCCCAAGGGATCCTTCCAAATCTTCCAGGGCCAAAAGCCACAGGGGAGATAAGGTACATAATACTGAAATTAGTAACAGTAATGACTCAATTCCAGAATTCTAAGTCAGTGTCCATACATTTTTCCAGAAAAAATTATCCTTAAAACTTTTTAAGAAAAAAAACCAAGTTAACAACATGCTAGAAGTAAATATAGTATATAAAATAAAATTCTATCAGATGCTCCTGTTTATCAACTCAAAGGAAGTATTCATCTAGAAAAGTAAAAAGACTACTTTTTTGGAGTAGTCATAACCTAAAATTTAAGAATTGTGACAAAACAGGCAGAAAACTTTAATGGAAACCAAGTCTTCACATCTATTACATTATCCTTGAGTAACTCTCAAAATGTAACACAGCCTAACGTAGAGCACATGCACTGAAAATAAAGTTGTTTCCTTATTCACATAATGAAGGGAACAGTAAAATAAAAAAGTAAGAGAGAAGGTAAAGCTTAGAGAAAAACGTGGATTAATTCAAATTTTGTTGTCAAATCTTTAAAATTGGGAAATGAGCAATCAATCTTCTCTATCAAATACTCCAAGATAATGAGCTAGTCTCATTCAATTTTTGCTCATTTAAAAAACATTTTCTGACTAGTCTGTTGAGTTCCACCTACAGAAGTGAATTTACAACTGAAGACATCTCCTTGCAATGAGCAGCACAGATGAGCAAGTGGAAAAAACGCACAGTAGGCTGGTGGCGGGCTGAAGGTACACAGTTCCATTGGCCTGGTCTAAGACTCACAGTGTGTACCTTGAGCCACACTTAAAGAGGTGATGAGCAAGGGTGGGCACTGCAGACCTGGCAGGGAGGGGACACAGTGGATATTCACTGCCCCCCCCAGCAGGATAACACTCTTTTGTATTCCCACAAGATCTCCCCTAACCATGATGCCCTCAAATCAATAACACAACCCCCTATCCCCACTGTCAGGCTGCTATGCTACTGAGGCTACATACATACCAGGGAGGACCGGCTCCAGGTGGGCTGGCGTCTGATGGGAGGTGGAGAATTTGATTGTCTATATGAAAAGGTGGATTATTATTTATCAGATATAAAAAGATCATAAAGACAAGGGACAAACAGAACGAGAAAATGCACAAGATCTGTGAGAATTATATCAAAACATAAACATTGTTCATTTCTGGATGTTAGAACAATTTTGACCTCCATTTGTAGTCTTTCCTTTATTCTCAAAATGTTTGGAACATATATTTTTGTAAAATACTAAAAGAATGAGGCCAGGCTTACTTTTAAAGAAATATTATGAAAGAAATAAACACTGAAAAACATTACCATTACATGAATTTTTAAAACTGTGTTCTTTGTGCCTTGCGTACAAAATAGTTTGTAATAAAAATTATGAGAGGCAAAAAGAAAAATATTTTTAAATGCTTCCAGTCAAATGAAATTCCAAAGTAGATAAAATATTTTTTAGCATGAGCATATAAAGATAATACATATTATAAATATTTATCTAACCAGAACCTTTATTTTTCAGTGCCGATAATCAAACTCAGGGCCTTGTGAATGCTAGGCAATCACTGTACACTGAGCTACATCCCCCAATCAGATCCTTTACAAACTGAGAACCAAAATAGGTTTAAAAAAAACAATAAACAATTCCAGAGATATAGCTGAGTGGGAACTAGGAATATTATCAAATTCTTGAGAGCTGAAATCAAAAGTGCTTTTGAGCAATGGGTATAAATGCTGTACAGTGTTTTCCTTAGTCCATGGTATTACCACTTAAAAAACAAAAAAATTTAAAAAGTCAAGATGTAGCTCTTCCATTTAAAGGGCTCTCCTTAATGAGGCTTCACCCTTTGTACCTTTTTGGTAATAGAATAGTTTGTGTCCTATGAAAGGATGAAGACAATGTGATAATGTTGGATTTCTTTTTTTTTTTAATGACTGTCCAACTACAATATTATCAGGCCTATGGTAAACACATTCCCCCATTCCTTTTCCCAGGTCAGAGGTATATTCCCCTCTTCCCCTGAGCTATGCTTGCAAGTGGCAAACTGTAGTTCCACAGGAACAGGAAAACTAATGGCTGCCTTCTGAGGTGAGAGAGTGTAGTGCCCCACAAAGGACTCCTATGAGGAGAAGGAGGCTGTTGAGTTGATGCTAGTTTCTCAAACCAGCCACTTGCTGAAAAATGTGTAAGCAGAAGACTGCAGTAACTCCACTTCTCAGGATCTCAGGATGCTTTTTTTTTTTTTTAAATCCTACAGAAATCAACAATAGAATTCCTGTTAAGGTCAAAGCCACCACCCAAGGTCAAAGGCAAAAGCAGAGTAGAACCACAGAAGGGAATCTGCCCAAAAGAATGGTGGGTGTGTGTGGTACATGTGAGAATGTGCATGTAAGAAGATAGAGCTGCTTAATTTGCACAACCCCTATTGTCCCTTCTGATGTACCTTTGGTAGGCCTAAGCCTATCAGACATATTTTTAGAGCCCAGCAGTGACCAATTGCAGTGCCTGGTAGGAAAGGACCTCCATCACATGTAGAAAAAAGTCTGCCTCGACCTGGGGATCCAGTTCTAAAGCAGCTGCATTCTCTAGCAGTGACTGCTTGCTATAGCGAAATACTCTGCCACTCTTGGATGTGTCCACTGTGGGACTGGAAAAGCAGCCGTCTCTCACATTTACATCCCTGAAGCCCTTTGAACCAAAATTAAACACATTGGTACCCAAATGGTGAAAGTACTCTGCTGAGGAACGTTTTTTTGAAGGCAACCAAGGTAAAGACAACGACCGACTGAGCCCCAGCACGCCATCTCCGAGGTCAGGCCGCATGGAAGTGCCCTCATCAGACTCCTCTTTATCATCTTTATTTCCAAACTAAATTAAAAAGACACACAGATTTGTGACATCTCTGAGTGCCTTCCAAATCTTCCTCTAATTACCCTGGCCTCTCAGTTGCAGTCAGATGACATGACCCAGGAGCACACGCAGGGTTCGCCAACTGTGTGAGCGAAACCAGGGCTGAGGATGACAGCAGCGTCTTCCCTTTCAAGTTGGCTCATCACTTCTGAGCATACGCCACGTCTGACACGGAGGGGCACCCCGGCAAATTGGGAACTGCTCGGTTCTTCCGAACTCAGAGCCGAGGGTCTGAAAGGCACTAATGTGGCTCTCCTAACCAGGCAGTTAAGAATTCACAGTCAATTTGAGAATTATTTGCTCTCTAGGCCTATGGACTATACTACCCAGTCTTCATCATTAAAGTTCTTTCACTCCTGCCTGCTTTAGCCTACTTCTTTGGCTTCTACAAGGATCAAGGGAAAAAGGCAAAGAGAAAAAGTGATCTACAACCTTCAGAAAGCACAAGTTAATCCCACAAAGCCATAGCGAGAGCATGCACTAAATATTTACTTACTCCGTGCAGATTTTGTTTTGTTTGTAAAACTTGTGCCGTGTTGTAAATAACCGAGAAATATACTTGGCATTTTCAATATCATCCTTGGAAAAGAAGGAAAAAAACAAGCATTTGTTTGATTAGGCATGCATTTCACAAGGATTGCTCTATGCAGAGACACAGCCCTCCCTTCATTTACAAAGTAACACGCTGGGCCAGGAAGGAATCAACTTGCTGGATTTCAGTAGGAGTTATGCCTGCCTACAAAGTCCACCAAAGAATGGCAGAAAATGCTGTCTCCTAAAGAGCTATTTGTGACCAAGATGCTGGGGCTGACAGTGACGAACTTGCAATATCCTTACCTAATTCTGAAGAAGTGTTTTTAAAACAAATAACAGAGACAAGGCAGAGAACAGAGCAAACATGGGACATCATTAAGTTGGAGGCAGTGAGGTACCTTGACTCTAGAAGAGATACTCAATGGAAGGTCAATCACTCAGCTGACTCCAGAGTGAGCCTGGTTTACGATGGGACCAAGAATCCAGGTCAGCCAGCAAAAGAAAATGCAATGCAAATAATCAGGAGTTCCCTGATTAGGGCCATGACAACAGTGCCAAGGAATGCATGCCAGATAAGGAGATCTGTCACAAATCAAGCAGCTAGGGAAGCCCAAATCCTCGAGCCTCGAGACAGTGTGGACACATGGCATTTCATCACCAATACCTTGAAAACGAATAATTGTGGTGCTGGGCAAGAACTAGACATTATCTCTCCAATAAAATACTGATTCTCTGAAGATACACAGAACAAGACAAGGAAGGAGGTGAAAATCAAACAGCAGGTGCTCGCTGGAGCCAGCCTTTTCGGTCCCCTTTGCTCACCGTGTGGAAGAGCACTGTCTCCTCCTTGTCAGTGAGCTCAACCAGAATGGCCGCCTTGTTGTGAGTGATGTTCCCGATCTCATTCCACCTGGACCGAAAGAAATGTAACTGGGTTTGCCCTCAGACGCTCCAAGAATTTACCATCCGGCAACAGGGTATCATCAGTTTCATTTTACAAATTAGTATTTCACTGTTTTTTAAAAAATGCTAAACGTTCCTTCTCTCCAAGAAGAAAACCAAAGGAAATCAACATGTATCTGTTTACATAGGTAACATTCTATGCAAAATAAACCTAGGCACCGATACTCATAAAATATAGTTTTCTTTAGGCCTAGCTATGAGGAAAATTTGCAAAGGCATTTTGTTGCCTTCCTCCCTTCCCCATTTCCAAACTGACACAGCATTTGCCATGACCTACTTGGGTTTTATGCTTTTTGTCCAGGCCAGCCTTGGACTGTGCACCTCCCACCTCTACCTCATGAATCAATGGGATAACAGACATGAACCACCTTGCCTGGCTTCTTTTTTAAGTTAGGATCTCCCTGGCCTTTTGTCAGGGCTGGCATGACCACGAACCTCCTACCTCCACCACAGGATCATTATGCCCACTTAACATAAAAAGTCATGTGAGCTGGGCACCAGTGGCTCACGCCTGTAAGCCTAACTACTCAGGAGGCAGAGATCAGGAGGATTTCGGTTCAAAGCCAGCCTGGGCAAAAAGTTTGCAAGACACTACCTCAAAAATACCCATCACAAAAAAAGGGCTGGTGGAGTGGCTCAAGGTGAAGGTCCTGAGTTCAAGCCCCAGTACCACAAAAAAAAAAAAGTCATGGATTTCCAAGAAGCTAGACTGAAGAATCCACAGAGTCTGTGCTTCAGTATACACTACAGATTGACTATGCCACCTAGAAAAAAGTACTTAGAGGATGATTAATAAGATTTGAACACACAGACACACACAATTTCCTTCCCTGTCCTACTGGAGACCTTGTCTAACATAAGACACAGTGAAGTAAATACCAAACAAGGGGTGAGAAACCACTGTCTCATCCTACTTGAAGCCAGCTCTTAGCCATCCTTCCTGCCTATGCTTCACTCAGAGCCCCAACCTGTAACTCCTGACCCACTGCTTCTGCACTCCAGCACCTGGCTTTCTGCTCACTACACTTTCACCATCCCCTGCTAACCCTCGACCCTAAATTCCCTCCCTCTAGGAAGCTCTTCTCATTCCCCACCACTACCTGGAGGAGAAGAACTTGCAGGAGCTCTCTACCAACCACCACACTGTGGTACAAGTTTTTACTTGTGTGACTCCGACCTACTAGACCACATACCCAATGGAGGGATTCTGCTTTACCATATCTGAACCCCAAGCACTGAGCCACGGGCTTCACACAGAACGCTCAGTAAATGTTTGCTGAAAAAAATGAGAAACAGGGCTAGGGCTGGGGCTGGGGCTCAGTGGTAAAGTGCCTGCCTAGCACACCCAAGGCCTAGGCTTGATCCTCAGCACTACAGAAAACAAAAAAACAAGAGAGTGAAAAGTAGTAATATTGCCATTGCCTGCACAGAGTATGATCCTTTAATGTACCTTAAGGTAGACAGGTAGCTATTTTTGTTCCTACTTTGGAGCAGCGGCAATGTGGACACAAGCGAGAGTCTGACTCAGTCACATTTGTTCTTTTGGTCAGGGATGGATGAGTTCCCTGCCTGGGTGTACAGGTTTCCTCCAGTAGTCTGTACATGATGCCAGTACCCCCTGTGTCTAGGGCACATGCTGGTGCAATACTCTGCATGTGCTCAGCCCAGCTCTCTGCCTGACTGTACTTTCATCAGACTATAGCTACTTGGACTCAAGGCTACCTGCTCTTCAGTGAGGGCCTGGAGAGGTAAGAGGGATTTGGTTCCTCCAGCTCTGTTCCTTCAAATCAGCTACCAAAACTCTGGGGACACTCCTTGTCCTACCACATGACCTCACCTAGAGGCACAATGAACGTGACATTGTGGTAGAAGTCAATTCCCTTCTTGCAGGGGTTTCAATATAAGTGAAGCCTGGAAGTAGTTCTAAAAGAGCTGAGCACAACCTGTGAATGGCTTCTGCTCACACACTTGCCAATCTACTTTCTTTCTCTACTTTGCCTCAGTAGCTCTTGTGCAAGACTTGTCCACTTCTCTTTTGCAGGCTCAGGGAGAAACTGCAGCGTGGACTTAGCTTTGGAGAACTGGCGAGACAAAATGCCTGGCTAGTTTTGGATGAGCATAATTTATGAGGGCAACTCTGCACATGGTTACATACTTAATTTATACTTTGTTACAGGTTTAGGGAGTTGACTTTGAATATGTCCATAAGTCAGAAAGTTTATTCAAAGCTCTGAAAATCTCTGGTCTCATTCCAGTTTCAATAATATCTTTATTCAATGAGAAAAAAATATATAAAAATGATGGCAAGGTGGCGACCTAGGGAAAGAAAAGCCAGTCAGGCAGCTTTTGGTTGGAACATTGACTCAAAATGACCAAAAGTAACTGCTGTTCTAGAGAGCATGCAGCTAGCCGAGACTCACTTCCAGAAGGTGGCCTGTGCTTTGCCTCTGCGAACAGTCTTCAGTCACCACCCGAGATGCACAGCTCTGTCTACCAGATGCACACGTAGGAAATAACAGGCCATGCTGTCCGTGCAAATGGCAGGCAAGAAGCACACGGACGTTACCATGGAGTCCATGTGCACCAATACAAAGAGCAAGCTCATGGGCACGCCATGGATAGGGGAAAGGCTGCATCCCTGCACAGAATACTTGCGTTAAGTGGGAAAGAGGGCTAAAGTGTCCAAACAATGAACAAAAACGTACTCAAGTCCTTTAAGTTTTTCATAATATGTTTATTGCTTTTTAAGATGCTTTTCTCTAATAATTAATATAAAATATAAAAAATTAGTTTAATGAAATTTAAAAATAAAATAACAGTAAAATAAAAATAAAAAATAACATTTTAATAAAATTAATTTCATATAAAAATTAGTTTGCATCAAGACGCAGTGATATAGGTCTTTAATCCAAGCAGACACCTCCAAGGCAGAGACTGGAAGGACTGTGGTTCGAGGCCAGTCCAGCAAAAAGTGAGGCTGGAGATGAGGCTCGAGCTGTAAAGTGCTTTTGACCAAGAAGGGCTAGCAAGTGCAAAGCCCTGAGTTTAAACTCTAGTACTAGCACAAAAAAAGAAAAAAAATTAGTGAGATGTCATCTCAACCGATAAGCTTAGTAGTTGTGTGTACCTGTGATTCCAGCTACATGGGAGGCTTAAGAAGATGGATTGCAATTCAAGGCAGCCCTGGGCAAAAACATAAGACCCTATCCAAAAAATTAAAGCAAAATGGGCTGGGGGCCATGACTCAAGTGGTAGTGCACCTGCCAAGCAAGCATGAGGTCCTGAGTTCCAACTACAGTACTGCGAAACAACACGAAAACCATCACCATCATCATCATGAAAATAAATAAGTAAGAATCAGTTTCTCTCTGCTACCATGTGTGGTTGGGCAGAGGCTGCAGGACAAGCGGAAGAAGCAGCGTGGATCTAAGGACTGGCATGGAAGATCCCAAAAAAGTAACCAGAAGGAGGCTGGAGAACCAGCTCCAACTACACTTACAGGCCAACTCCACTCTTCTGACTTGAATGGGATTCAAATGTATTTCCTGGAGTCTGTTAGGAAGAAGGGGCTCTTCTTTCCCAGTCAGATCTCCAGGAAAAGTGAGGTGAATTTCTCCCTAACTGCCTTAACCCCACAGAGGGCTAATCATATCTGGGCTGAGAAAGGTTCAATTCTGATCCATAGTCTAACTCACTAATTTGATAACTTTTAATACTCAATGAAGTTGTCTAGAATGTCTCAAAGGAAGAAAGGACAAGATTACCTGTATATTACTGCTTGTCTTCCAATTCTGTTTCTTGCAAAAATCCCCATAAAGAAAATGCCAAGGTGCATACAGTTTCCATGATTGTCCTGCAAAAGATCAACAAGACACTTGTTCAATTCTTCAGATTCATAGTAGTTAAGATATAGAATTGGCCTATGTGTTCACCAATGGATGAATGGACAAAGAAAATGTGGTACATATATATATATATACACATACATCATGTATATATACATACATACATACATATACATATATGTATATATACATGCTGGGAAACTATGTAGCCTTAACAACAGACAAGCATCCTGTCCTTTGAAACAACACGGATAAACCTGGATGACCTTATATTAAGCAAAATAAGTCAGGCACAAAAAGATAGGGTCTACCTCCCTCAGACATAGATCCTAAAATAAGTTGAGCTAATTGAAGTAGAATAGAATGGTGGTTATAGGGACTAGGGAACAACAAGTATGAGGAGATGTTGATCAAAGGATACAAAATTTCAGTTAGGTCTAAGGGACAAATTAAAGAGATTTATCTCATGCTGTCATGGTTATTAACATTGTACTGTATTCTTGAAAATCCACTAAGAGTAGATTTAAAGGGTTTTCACTACAAGAAATGCTAAGTCTATGAGATATTGTATGTTAGTTTGCTTGATTTAGTCATTGCACACATACACACATTTCAAAACATGTGGTAGGTATTAACAATACATAATTTTTATTTGTCAATTAGAATTTTTTAAAAAACTTGTAATGCACAGAGATCACCAGTGTCTTCCAGCATTTGGCTGCAGCCCACCCCTGGGTACCACACCCATGGGCACAGGGTTAGGGTTAGGAGAATCAGGTCCTAGAGGAATTTACTCCCCTGAACATCTTGGTGGACTATATATGGTTTTCCTTTTCTCTCAATTTGTCACAGTACATTTCTAGTTGAAGAGAGAATTTTAGAATTTTCTCAAATTTTTTGACCTTTTGGGTTTTATGAACATCTATTAATTTTTTTAAACTTAGGTCTTGTCTTTTAAATCACAGTTATCCATACACACACTCTGAAGAGTTAAATATTCCTCAGGGCTTGTTTAAAAGAGGAATCAGTCCCAGCTCCCATTTCCTTGCCCCAGATACACAATCTCCACCTCTTACAGCCCCGCTGTGTGTCTCTGCAGTCACAGTGCTTGGCCCTTTCCAGGAGAACCCCACTACAGGGTGATTTTTTTCCAAAGCACTCCCTCTGTTTCCTCTGCTCACTTTTCTTTGAACTCACATTAGTCAGACATTGGACATCCTGGATGGTCCTCTAAATTTTTATCTCCTCCCCCCACTTTCCATTACTTTGAGCTTTTATTGTTTTTCTATTTTTTGATAAGCTTTTTTTTCAATTTCACCTTCTAACCTGTCTATTAAGTCTTCCACTCCTGATATTATATATTTTTTTTATTTCTGAGAGTTATTATTTTCTATACATTCTTTCTTTACAAGCACCCTATTCCTTCAAAGAGGCATTTTGTTTTGTTTTGCTTTTTCATTCTGAAGGTTTGGGATATACTTTTTTGAACAAGGGGCTCTTCTTTCTGCAGAGTGGCTGCTTCATTCTTGTGTCAGCCTCCATGGTTCTATCACAGCATATTGCAGGGTGACACTGGCCACTTATTCACACAGGGAATGGGGGCCCAATGTTAGTTGGGCGACTGATAACACAGGAGGGGTTTTTGGGCTTCACTGTGGGGTGATGTGCTGGGTCCTGCAATGAGGAACCCCACAGTCTTTCCGTCCAGTCAGATGTTTCCAACCTGTTGCCTGGAAGGCTGTAACCTGGCTACCAGGGTTCTGACAGCAGTGTGAGAATAGGCTCAACACTGAGTAGACACAATATCCCTCAGTCCCCTGCTTTCACTGAAAGGAGGTTCCCTTTCTAGAGCAAGAGTGTAGTCATGTGCAACAAGACCAAAGAGGAAGGGAAGAACCTCTGCCTTCCCCCAGATACTTGATAGCATTAAAGTCCAGAAATGTGGTCCCTTCTCAGTAGTGTCTTCTCAACCCACCAAAGCTGATGCTAGAACAGGTTTCTTCCAGCAGCATTAGAGAACAGGGGAAGAGGGTAGACAACTGCTGATGGCCAAAACAGAAAGAGTGCTAAGATGGAAAGAACTGGGAAGAAGAAAGAAAACAGTCTTAGGGATATTGAGAGGTTGAAAAGGTAAGTTTCACTACAGAAGAATACATGTGGGAAAAGAAGATGGGAGGAGTGGAGACAGAAGGAAAAATTCTGCAGAAAGACTTCCCTGGCGTTTTGCCAGTAGGTCCATATCTGGGTCAGGTGGTGATGGGGATTTGGGAAGCAGTTCCCAAGGTATGACAATGGGAAAACATGGAAAAAAAATGCCCAAGGTAGCCATGTCCCCATGATGCTGGGGCACTGCATTAGACAAAGCTTTGACTCCAACTGAGCAAAACATGGAAGCTGCAGACTCGGCCTCAGTCACCCCAGAATTACCCCCACTCTGTCCATGTCCTCTGACATTATGGGACGGACTTGGGCAGCAGTTACACCAGTGTTTATAGAGAAGAAGGAGAAGGATGGGCAGTCCTGTTGGGAAGTGACTAGGACCATTTGGAGGAAGCATTCATGGAAAAACCCATACTAAATGGAAGTGTTCTTCCCTAGGATTCAGCGTGCTATACTTTTTACTTAATTAGATCTGAAGGACCTGCACAAAGCCAAAGGGCCTGCAACCTTTGCTGTCTTATTTTCCAAACTTATTTCAGGGTTGGCCACATCACTGTCCACCCCCACTGCCTTGCTCCCATCTACCATCCTTGGGGCACCAGGCATGATGTGTGTCACCTCAGACATGGACAGATATGTGCAACTGTGCTACACCCAACTGACAATGAGTCAGCATTGCTCGTCTTCCCACTCAGAGGAAGGCAGAATATCCCCTTTGGTCCCACTAAAGAAGCTACTAGAAAGGGCATCAGGACCCTGTACAGTGGATTTCAACCCTACCTCAACTGTCCCTCTTTCCCACAGTTCAGAATTGCTAAAAACAAGCAAATAATATCAACAACTTCCAGGCACTGAGAAGTCAGTTTTCTAGAAGTGGAGACAAGTTTACTAATTTTTCAGTGACCCAAAATATCATGACTATATATGGGCTGCTGAAATGTAAGTGCAATGCAGATGGCTTCATAAGGCATTATTGCAAGGAAAATGGATTACAACCCTATGAAGGGCAGTCATTAGAGAAGCAAAAGAAAATTAAACAAATCTAAAAAAGAGCCATTTAGCCCTTTTTGCAAGCTGTGGCCACCCTGCTCGATTCTACTTGATGCACATGGGCAGTTCTCATTAAGGCAAATTGCAAATGTGCAATGGAAGGGGAACAGAGCACTTATAAACCAGCCAGTGGAGTCAGTCTGGAGAGAAATGTTTGTACTGAAATTGCAGGCGTCTCCCAAATTGCTGGAATGTGCTGGTTGCTTTAGGTTTCTGATAGAACTCCATTTTTTTTGAAAAGTTAGTCCACAGAGAAAGGAAAATGAGTTTGGATTATGGGCTCAGCTCTATAAATGACCATGCACCATGACCCCAACTACACCTACTTCAGGAGGGAGGGGTGTTGCAATGGACATGATGTGCTTGAACAGTTTCCTAGGCATAACTTCCATGGAACACCTAAGGGGCTACAAACATGCAAGGCAGAACTGGAGAAATACACCACAATTGCATATGGCAAATGTCTCATTCTACCCCATCAACAATGATCTCTGTACCCATTCAAAGAAGACAAAAGAGAAAAAGCACAGGGAATAAAATTACTCACTAGAGTCTCTGTCAACACACACATGACACTAGCTGTGTCCTGTTGGAAAACTAGGCCTAGCCGTGATCCCTCTGAAGTGCGGGATAAGCTGGTCTGTGGTGATCACTTAGATGGTTGTCTTCTAAATGAGGTATTCCTCAGTATTCTGCTGGAGACCATGACAAATCTCAAAATCTCTGAGTTAAGAAAAGGTGTTTGTTTTACCTAAACTAGGCTTGCTGAATGCTGCCATGTGGCAGTAAGAAGGCCAAGTCACCCTGGCCCACTGCAGTCAAGGCTGGTTTTCCAAATTCCTGTGTCTTTCTGAGAAGGCTGATGTAGCATAGGGTACAGTGTGTTACCTTCACAGGGAAGATTTCCTGTCCGAATCCATCCAAACGTTCCACTTCATTGATGTACATTAGTTCAGCTTCTGCTGGCGGGATTCCACTGCAATCAAAATAGCATCAAAGGAGGAAGTGGTTAAGGGCAAGAAAGTCAGTGGAAGATCCTACCTTCTTGATGGCAAATTCCAGAGCTGTGGTTTAGCTCTAGCTTCTGGGAAAAGCAATCATTACCCAACTGGGAGGGCACAGCACATAACTAAGTAATTCATTAACACATTCCCCAGTAGCCTTTTACTCAACAGGGAATAATAAGAGGAAGGTACAAATATTTAATGAAGAGTCACAGTCCTAAAAACAGCAAATAAATAATTATTCCACACATCACTGTGAATAATGCTCTCTGCTTAAAAAAGAAATTATTTTTTCCCAAATGGGCAAAAATGTCTACTATTTAAAAAAAAGGAAACAATTTGAAAAAGAAAAAAGCTTATTCTTCAATAATTATGTCTTCATGTCATCATCCCCTCGCCTCTCATTCTTCACCTTGCCACCCAGCAGGGCAGTCAACACAGACAGTAGATATGGCAACAACGTTGATTTTTAACCAGTTCACAGAAGAATTCACCTAACAACAGCTCCACATCTGGGTGGGCTTTCTGGTGAGGAGGAGCAAGAAGAAGAGGAGAAAGGAAGGGAAGGAGGCAAGGCAGAAGAGGAAGGAAGGGGAGGAAGGGGAAAAAGAGAGGAAGGGGGCAAAGAAGAAATGGAAAGAAACGAAGAAAAGGAAAAAGGGAGGGAGGAAGGAAAAAATGGGAGGGAGGGAGGGGAATAGGAGGGAGGGAGACAGAAGAAGAAAGGGAAGGAGGAAAGAGAAGATAGTTTTCAGGTCCACATGCTCCTTTCTCATAGCAGAAATTTGGAGCTGAGTCACATGGTCGAAGAAAGAAAACCGTGTTGACCCAGGCCAGAAGTGGGACTGGGAAAACAAAGTCCTCCTGCCCCATAAGCAGAGGACATCTGGCCAGGCAGCCCCTTGCCTTCTACCTGCCTTACCTATGGGCTTTATGTTCTTGGGCCACCTTCTGGGTCAGCTCCTCCAGAACAGCCTCTTCAAGGGCCAAATCCTGGATGAACAGAAAGCACTTAGGTCAGGGTATGAAGAGCATTTGTGATCTTGCTTGCAAACTTTAAAGGCTCCCTTCTGATGTTGCTGGTGAGCCTTGCTCCCTCAGTCTCCACTCCTGTAGAATTATGGGCTGCAATGCTTAGGACTGAGTTGTGATTTCTACTGGTACAACATGGCTGTACACTGTAACCTGGGTTCTTTGAGGGATATTTCGGGTTGCTGCCTAAATTCTGTACCATCTACCCTATCTGCCTGTTTCTCAAATGCAGTTTTAACAAAGTGGCTTGGTATGTAGTTATATGTTTTTACTGATCAAAGTATGGGCCAATGAGCTTCTAGGCTATTGTCCTTCCAAAACTTGAGCCTAGGAAGGTGCTGTGCCAGGCCTGTTTATCCATCCCTACCTCTGGTATTAGCAAACCAATTCAAGTCACATGAAGGCAGAGCAGGCTTATTCAGAAGTTACTTGGTGGCCACGCCGGTGAGTAGGTTATGATGGCTAAGGTACCACAAGGAGAGTTGTAAGATGGTGCTGTGTATCTGGCCAGTTAGTGTCTTGCCCAACTAGAAAACATGACTGCTAAGCACCAAGAGATCACAGTGTGTACCTTCTTTCTCTGAGTGCTGGAGGGGACGGCAGAAAGGACTCTGAGCTATGTATGTCCTGATGAGAGCACCCTACGGCTCCTGCTGATATTCTGGCAGATATCATACAAAGTACTCATTTCCCATTTCTAAAATATCATTTATTATGTCCCTCCTAAAATGGACATCCCATCCTAAACCATTACAATGAAGAAAACTGATACTTTAAAAAACTGGAAAAAAAAATATATATAGTTGTATCTATATATAATTATATATAGATATAGTTTTATATATAACTATATCCTGGAAATTCAGTATCTCTGCAGGTTTTTCTGATTCTATAGCTCCTGAGTGAAGATGGAGGGAATTGTGGGAGCTCTTAGTTTTCACATGTTTATTGATTAATTTGCTGTTTCCTATTCAGCCTTCCACTAAGATAACTCAACTCCATCATGGATAAAAAGCTCAGTATTTTCAGCCTTGGGGCTGAAACCACAAAGACATCACATGGCTTAGAAACATAACTGTATGCATACCTCTTTATCAAGTAGTAGTACTGATTTGGTATTAATTTTGAAAAGCAAATGAAAGGCATGTAGCAAAAAGAATAAACTAAAGTGTAAGTGAAGATCAAAAAGGGTTCCATTAAACCTTCACTTCCTCCTTTTAAAAGAAAAAGCCCAAAGGTGCCCCTTTGCTATTGTACTCAATTCAACTGCTTCCACCTGCGCCTGGGGCCCTGTGGTATGTGCCCCACCAGAAAGACGTGCAAGCAAGGCCCTGGGTGAGTGAAAAATGGCAGAGTGCATGCCTGTACACAGCCACACACCTGTGGAGCACCCTGTGTACTTAACTTTGTTCTTTTTTCTGCTGAAGAAATGCCATTTGACAAATTCAGTTACTTTGTAAGATCAAACACAGCCATTCATCCTATCTTCCCTCCCCCACCAAAGGAATGCATTCTTCCTTTTAAAAGCTCCAGTGGAACCAAGCAGAATACTTACAACTTTCCATGGCTCCCCACTGCCTACTCAATTAAGTCAACACCTGCGCCTGCCATTTGGACCATCCTTCAATGTGACCCAGACTTCCTTTCTAGACCTCCTCTCCCAAGGGTTCAACGCCTCAGGCAAACTCCTGTTCTTGACACAAACTACTTTTATATATCCATTCATGCATGTGGCCCGTCTTTCTTGGAAGAGCCATCCATCCAAGGACACCATATGAAATGTCCATCACACTCTGGAGGCCCACTCTCAGCTCTCACTGCCCTCCACAGGGCTTTTCTATTTCCCCAGTGTTCCTCTTAAAGCCCTCTGTACATTCTGCCTGCTGCCTCCCTTACATAGTTATTTGTAAACCCATCTTCTTTATCCTTGTTTCCTTTCTCTATTAGAATTTAGGTAATTTCTCTTCAAAATTTCCCTTCATATCACATAAGGGGCTTCGATCACAGGGCTTTTCCACAAAAACACTTTGTAAGCTCTCAATAAGGCTTTACTGAGCTGAGTTTACTACACAGCATGTAAGTTTCATATTATCAAATAAGAGTTTTTGACTATGCAAAGCTGGTTAATGACCATTTGTACCTCCCGTCTGTCATCTGTCTGCTTATATTTCAATATGTAGAGAGCACTGTTACCTGGAAAGCACATTAGACAGAATAATGACACTAATGCTAATAAAGAAGAAGAAAACCGAAGAGCTACTGAGAATTTACCATGTGCCAAGTTAGGAACCTCACATACATTTCCCCTTGAACGCTCACAATGGGATTAGCTTTGTCATCCTCATTTTAGATGAGAAAACAGAGGCTTAGAAGTGCTCACTTGCCCAAAGTCACATAACCACCATAAAGCACAGCCAGAATGTGGGCATGGCACTGCTCAGCAGCTACGCTGTGATGTTTCTGACCACAGACCACAGCACACCCAGAACACGACATGGCAGGGCAGGCAGGGCATGCAAGCAGAGATGAAAGAAGAGGACTGTACGCCAAAGCCTGGGAATATCCCCAGTTCGGACACACACGGATAACAACCAGCTCCTGCCACATCATCATCAGTGCTTTCCAAGAAGACTTTGTGGAGTGATGGAAATGTTCACATCTGAGCTTTCCAACTCAGTACCATCCAGAAGAGAGCAACTTCAGATCTAAGAATAGCAATCTCAGTATTTATCTATGCAATGGTGAGAGTATATAAAGTCTACACTGTGTAAGGAGCTGATCTGCTTAGAGCCCAGAGAGGGTCCACAGTAACGCCTTGACTGCCTCACAGCACTTTAACCTGCTACAAACTCATCATTCATCATGCTGGTCATCTCTTCTGAAAAGTCCAATAGCATCCAATCCTGGTCTCTTCCTATAGGTAGTGTGATAAAGGCTTTTAATGAAAGTAGGGTGGAAACAATGTGATAAACAATCTACCCTCCATTACCAGCCACTCCATCTGACAAAAGTGTGCACCTTCTGAAATCCTAAGGTCTGAGCTCACACTAAGCACACTGGCAAACATCCTGACTGCTGAGGTGAGCTGCTGCAATGTCACAGATGGTGATTCAAGCATATTGACACCAAGTCCTACAAAGACTAAGTAAGATGTTAATCTTTTTGAATCAAGGTTGATAGAACTGGGTAGAGTTAACAAGGCAATAAAAACATCAGGCACAGCAGATAAGCCTGCTGTTTCCTTGAGGGAAGAAAAATCAGGAGAGAGTTATTCTTGAAAAGTTAGAGGTTTAGATTATTTTCTTAACCTCTGAGAACAAAGTAAGATTTGGACCAATTAAATTAATATCCTATACAAATACAGATAAGAACTCTAGCCTTACTTATCCCACTCTCTCAAAACTTAAAATCCTTTCACTTCTAGCTTCAACTGCAGGAAGATAACAGCCTCAGCACTAAAGGTCACCTGCAGGTGTCTGGAGATTTGGTGTGCACATGCCTACCCTAAGACTTTTGGGACAGATAATGACTTCCTTTTGGTCAGCTTCTCAAAGGATCAGTTTACAAAGTGGTTCTTCACAATGACATCCTTCTGAGACATCCCCAGAATTCACCAGAACAATTTCTGGCCAACTCAGGTGAGGAGACCAGACCACCACATTTAGGTTATAGAAAAGGTGATTGTCCTGGATCAATACAGCTGGCTCTTTGTCACATGCACTTTGTCAACCGCCAAAAAAAGGCAGCCTCAGGAATCCTGCTTTTAAGTGAAAATTAATTAGACATTATGTGTGAAGAGAAGATATGGTCAGAGACGGCTCTACTGGCTGGGGTGAACAACTTTATGCTACTTGGCAAGTCGCTTCTTGGAGAGGATCTTGTTTTAAGTCAAAGCCATAGTCATTGAAAAAGGACAGAATCACAACCCAAAGCCAGTATGAAATTAAAAGAAGGAAAACCTTCATGAAGAAAAGAATTATTGGGACCCCACAGATCATCCACTGGATAAATTCCACTGGGGTTGCTCCTTGGTTGTTGTAATGGCTAAGCTAATAGTTATGGAAGTATAAAAATAAACTCACTTTCCAAAAAGTAAAAAAACTTTTGTCACTAGACACTCTGCTTTCTCTCAGATGCCACTGATGAAAAGACACCAAGTTTTATCTGTTTTACTTCCCAAATAGCTATTGCTTTGCTTTCTCGATCTATCTAACTGCAGGCACCTAAAGTCTATCTCCTGCCCAGACCACCCCAACAGATTTCCAGTCAACTTCTTCCCAAAAGTGGTCTCATTGTTTAATCCAGCAGTGTTCAAAATGTAGGGTCTTCACAACCCTGGAAGGAGCCCAGGCATTCTACCTTAACTCCTGAGAAATTTTCAGTCTCATCCATCACAATTCCCCTCGAACACTGCCACGCCACGCTGCAGTCAGACCAGCCAGTTGATCCTCCCAAAAACCCAGGGCACCCTCCCTCTTCTCTCCTGTGTCTGGATCATTCCTCCCTCCTTCTCTCCCTCCCTTCCTCCCTCTCTGCCTCTTACAATCTGCCATCCTTTGAGACACAGCTCACACCCTATTAGTCTTTAATCCTCCCCTAATCCCCCAGCACTCATGGCCCCTCCTCAGTGAGAATCCTGATTGCACTTTATTACACTTGGTTTTGCAAATTTCCTATTTACCTACCCACATTGTAGTCTCCTTGAGGACATGGCACCATTTCTTGTATAATCTCATCCCCCAGGTATTAGTTACCCAGGTCAGTGTTTTGGGCAAAACAAAAAAAAGTGAATGATCATGACTTCTAAACTAGAGCCAGCTCGTTGGATGGGTTCTAGCTCTTTCCTGAAACAGCTTTTCAGATGTTTCCATTCCTCCTCACTAACTCTTTTCATTTAACCAGAAGTTACCAGTTAAGCTACAAACAAAAATTCCTTCAGTGTTAAAACCTAGTCTCACCCCTAATTCAGTCCAGGAACAGGCAGTTTACTTCACGGATTCATTCCACAAACATTCATGTGTTAGACAACAGCAGATAAGACACACTGGATATTTGGTGGCTCACACATATAATCCTAGCTACTTGGAAAGCTGAGCTCAGGAGGATCGAAGTTCCAGGCCAGCCAGGACAAAAATTCATGAGATGCCACCTCAAGAGAAAAACCTGGGCACGCTGGTGTGCACTTATCCCAGTGACAGAGGGAATCATAAAATAGTAAGATCATATTCAGGACTGGCCTGGGCAAAAAGCAAGACCCCCATCTCCAAAATAACCAGAGCAGAAAGGGCTGGTAGCATGGCTCAAGCAATAGATCCTGCCTGGCAAAGATGAAGCTCTGAGTTCAAACCCCATACTGCTAAAAAAAGAAAAAAAGTAAAAAGTAAAAAAAAAAGTCCCTGCTTAGGGGCTGTAGAGCTGACATTTCAGTTGACAAAAGCAAACAAATGCACGCAGCTGTAAATAATGAGAACGAACAACTTCATAAACTGAAGGAGCTTTTGCAGCACAAGTGTGTGCACACAAAACTTAACGGGGCAGAGGAGTCGGGGTGGTTTGATGGTTAAGGAATAGCAGACAGGTAGGTGGGCAAGAGGTAGGAAGACCTCTTTGATGTGACATGTGAATGAAGACCTCAATGATGTTAATGTCTGGGTCACACACAGAGACCAAATGGAGGACATTCGGGAAGGAAGAGATTTGGCTTTGCTGCAGGGTGATGAGCGAACCTGGAGGGCTCAGTAGAAAAGTGTCTTTTTAAGATTTTTATTTTTATTAACAAATAATAATCACCTCTATTTCTGAGTTGCCATGTGGTATTTTGTACACCTATACACGGTCGGGATAAGCATGTGGAGCTAAGCCACATAACCATCACCCCCATACGTACCGTACCTTTAGGGTGAGAACATTTCAAATGTACTCTTTCAGCAATTTTGAAATTATGGAATTATTAAGGTTAGTCGCCACTCTGTGCAACAGATCACCAGAACTTATTCCTTTTGGGTGGGAACTTCGCACCTTTTCACCTACATTTTCCCTTTCCCTATGCTTCCATCCTCTGGCAATGACTACTCTAGTTTTATGAATCTGACTTTAGATTCTACTGTAACTGAATCGTGCATTTGTCGTTCCCTGCCTGCTTTGTTTCGCCTAGCATAACATCTTCTAGATTCATGCAACTTGCTGCAAATGTGAGGATTTCATGCTTTTTTAAAGCCAGACAGTATTTTTTTAATCTGCTCATTTGTTGGAGGGAATTTAGTTTGTTTGTACCTTGGCTATTGTGAAGACGGCTGCAATGAACACACGGATACAAGTCTCCCTCTGAAAACTTATTTCAGTTCTTTTGAGTGTACACTCAGAAGTGGGATTGCTGGATCACATGGTAATCCCATTTGTTTTGAGGAACTTCCACGTTGTTTTCCATATGACTGTGTACAAGGGTCCCCTTTTCTCCATACCCTCACCCACACTTAAGATCTGTCTTCTTTTTGATAATGGTCACTGGTCCAATAGGAGTGAGGTGGTATTTCATTGTGGTTTTAACTCACATTCCTTGATGATTAATCAGGTTGCTTTTTCACATATCTGCTGAAATTTTGTGTCTTCTTTTGAGAAATATTTGTTCGGGTGCTTTGCTCATTTTTAAAAATAGGCTTATTTGTTTTCTTGTTGCTCAGTATGAGTTCCTTATATATTTTGGATATGAGTCCTTATCTGATACATGATTTGCAAATATTTTCTCCAGTCTGTAGGCTATATCTTCACTCTGTTAATTATTTTTTCTGTCATGCAGAAGCTTTGTGGTTTGGAGCAATTCCATTTGTTTAGTTTTTGCTTTCGTTGGCTATGCTTTGAGGGTCAAATGTCATAAACCATTGTCAACACCAATGTCTTACAGCCCTCCCTGTTTACCGCCTGCAGTTTTGAAGTCTCAGGTCATACACCTATGTCTTTAATCCATTTTGATATGATTCACGCATACTGGGTGAGATAAGGGCCCAATTTTAGGCTTTTTCATGTGGATAGTCAGTTTTTCTAGCACCACTTATTGAAGATATTGTCTGCTGCATTGTGTGTTCTTGGCCCCTTTGTGAAAAAGCAACTGATGCCTATGTGGATTCATTTCCAATGGTCACTATGTCTGTTTTTATATCAGTACCAGGCTGCTTTATAATTACCCTTCCCCTGTAACATATTTTGAAGTCAGGTAGTGTGATGCCTCTATCTTTCCTCTTTGTATTTATGATTGCTTTGGCTATTTGAGATCTTTTGTGGTTCCGTGTGCATGTAAGGATTGCTTTTTTCTATTTTTGTGAGATTTTGACAGAGGTTGCATTAAATCTGTGAATTTCTTTGGTTAACATGGACATTTTAACAATATTCATTCTTCTAATCCATGAACACAGGATATCTTTATATCTGCATTATCTTCAATTTCAGTTCCTTGAGTAAACGTATGCCTAAATTTTGTTTTTTATGCTATTATAAATGTAACCAGTTTCTGCCCGCTCTTGCTTTTCCCTCACTCCCTCCCTCTCTTCCTCCCTCCTTTTTTCCTTTTGTGTATACGTGTATGTTTATGTGTGTGTATTTTTGTGTTTCTGGGAATTGAACCCAGATCAAGTGCTCTACCACTCCCCAGCCCTCTCTCACTACTTGTATTTAAAACAGTGCTAGCAGCCCTAGCCAGAACAATTAGGCAAGAAAAGAAACAAAAGGCATCAGGATAAATGATCTGAAAAGAAGAAATAAAACTGCCTCTATTTGCTGACTGCATGATTTGATTTATTTATTTAGGCAGCATTGGGGTTTGAACTCAGGGCTCATGCTTGCTAGGCATGCTTCTGCTCTGGTTATTTTGGATATAGAGTCTCACTTTTTGCCCAGGCCCACCTGGACCATGACTGTCCTATTTTATGCTTCCTTCTGTCACTGGGATGACAGGCCTGTGCCACCACACCCAGCTTTTTTCCATTGAGATGGGGTTTCACACAATTTTTTTTGCCTGGGCTGGTCTGGAAGTGTGATCCTTTGGATTTCAGCCTCCTGAGTAGCTTGGGATGATAGGCACACACCACTGCATCCAGCTATTGGTTGAGATGTCGTTTTGCTAACTTTTTGCCCTGGTTGGCCTCTAACTGTGATTCTGCCCAATCTCAGCCTCTAAAGTAGCTAGGATAAGAGGCATGAACCACTAGCACCTGGGTTGGTTTTATATATGAAACCCCCCCCAAAAAAACACACCAAAAAAGCCTGTTAGATCTAATAAACAAATTCAGTTAAGTTAAAGGTTATCAGCGACATTTCTAGAAGCTGGCCAGGATCTATGTGAAAAAGAAATCAGGAAACATGTCCAGGTAGGAACAGGCATCTTTCCTCTCTCAGCACACTTTGTAAAACTTGGCTCTATTTTTATAAACGTGTGGATTCTCCTCCCCAGAGAACATGTAAGATTCTCTGAGATAGTCTTAGGAAAAAATTACATGTCCAAAGAAGGTAGAAAATCAATTAAGAAAAAAAGAAATTACACTTACCATTGGAAACAGCACATATTCTCGGAGGAATTCTTGAGAGTCAAACTGATTATAATCTCCAAAATCAGCTGAGAAGGAAAGAAAATGGGGATTATTACATGAAACTAAAGACGGACTAAATGAGGCCAGACCTGTCACCACATTTATTCCTCTACTCCATCCTATTTCTGCACAACAATTAAACAAAAATAGTGCTGAGATGTGTTTGGTATACGCACCACCTTTACCTAACAACTGTCAATATCAACATGTCAGCATCACCAAGCAATTTTTTTTTTTTTTAGAAAGAATGGGGAACTCTGAAAGCAATTCCTAATTTAAAGATTTTAAAAGAAACCCACATTTATCTGTTTGTTCAATGTGCATCCATACATATCTTCAGAATATCTGCCACAGGGACTTTCTAACTCAAGGTTAATTGGAGAACTGAAGAGCCAAATGCATCTGCTTCTGTTCGTATTTTTGCATCTGGAAATTCCCACTGTAAATCACCCTTGACCAGGAAGGATGAAAATCTTTACACCTCCAAAACAACTTCACATGTTGCCAGGTGCCAGAAATTCTGTTCTGTCCTGTTCTCATCTCACAAATGTTGGAGCACATGCAAACAGAACACATGGAACTTATGTCATAAATATACAGATGTCCTGCTTCTTATCTCCCTCACCTTCACAAAAACAAAACCTGCATGGAATCATGATTTCATGTAAAAGATTTAGCATCCAACAGAAATGCAATCAGGTATGATTCAGAACAGGAAGATGTACATACACACAGAGAAGGTAAACTTGAAGAGACTGTTGAGCATGTAAAGATCCGCCTACAAATGTAGCACACAATTAATTATCAGTTGGGTGCGACATTCAAGAATACTAAAAATGACTCACTTACGCATCTTTTCAAGTTTATCACCATCAGTTATTGGCTTCCAACCCAACTTATATTTCTGTTGGTCTGTCTTCTAATAGCCCAATATGGTGTTCTCAGGAAAACCTTTTCTAAAATATAGCTAGAGCTGGCCATGGTAGCATATGCTTGTAATCCCATCATTGGAGGATTTAGGCAAGAAGATAGTGAGTCTGAGCCCAGCCTGAGCTATAATAGTGAGACCTTGTTTCAAAAGATGAAAGGAAGAAAGGGAGGGAAGGAGGGGAGAGGAGGCAAGGGAAGGAGAGAGGAAGGCAGGGAAGGAGGGAGGGAGGGAAGGAAGGAAGGGGAAAGGGAGGGAGAGGAAGGGAGGAAGGAAGAAAGGAAGGAAGGAAGGAACGAAGGAAGGAAGGAAGGAAGGAAGGAAGGGAGGTAGAGGGAGAGAGAGAGAGAGAGAGAGAGAGAGAGAGAGAGAGAGAATATTGTAGCTAGAGGACATTTCCTCAGACTGAACAGCCAGTTCCAAGGACCCAATGAAAAGGGAGTCCTTTCTCAAAGGTCCTCTGATATCCAGGATATCTGCTCTAAACCTAATGAGTGAGTAGTGAGAGAAAAAAAAGAGTAAATACAGTAAACAGAAAAGAAAGCTTTCTCAAAAGAGAGAGGCCCAACTTGAAGATACGGGACATATTAGACCTTCTCACTCTGTTAAGGGATCTTCACCATTATTGCAACGACACTACCACTGCCACTGCCACCAAAACTGGCCACTGTTTCTTCCCTTTCTGGTCCTTAAGAAGACGGATATAATATAACAGATCTGGGGCATTTCCATCCACAGAGTAATAACAAGAACTATACCACTAATAACCCAGAATGAAAGAGGTTACGGACAGGATGCCTCCCTAGACACTTAGACCCCAGAGGGTTCAACATAGTTCAGTTTGGGATTGGAAGTTCATTTCACAGCTTCTAAATCTGCACTCCACACAGCAAGGACTCAGCTGTTGGCAGGACAACACTTGACTATTAGCTAGTTTACAAGAAAATAAGGACCAAAGGGAAGCCAGTTTCCTTTTAAAAATTAACAGTTCCTTGTTTTCAATTTAACTGAAGGCAATTAAGCCACCACCCCATAAATATATAAGATGTAAACAAAAAGTACTCACACATAACAATGTAGAGAAAGTTTTTAAAATAGCTGATAAATCTATGTTGAAAGATAAATTTACTCCAATACACATTTATTATCTTAAATAGAATAATGGTTAAAGCTATTTGACCATTTAAACATTTAACATTTAAATTTGTCGTGACAGTAACACATTCATAGCATCAAGTCACAGATTATGACCACACTGTGCAGTGGAATAATTCTGAGAAAATGTTCCACAAATTGAAATGTCACTTGAAAAGCAAGAGAAAAGCAGCTATTCCTTCAAATAAAATTGTAGTTACACAAGCATGCATGGTTTGTGCACAGCTTCGAGGAACCTGCTCTTCTGTCACCAAAGATCACTAACTTTTCATTTTAACATAAGATATACTGAAACAACAAGGGACTCAGTGAGGTATCCTTTAACTAAATCTAGCTTTTCACTTGAAGAGGCCAGCAACACCAGGATCAAACAGAACATGAAGTTTCACACGCAGGTCATGACAATGTCTTACCTTGTACAGCTAAGCCGGCCAGCCGGATCACCTGTTCAAGCGTGCACCGTAATCGCCCTTCTAGCACATCTTTTTTCACTTGCAGGTAATACTGATATCTATTTATGGGAAGAGAGGAACAAACAATCTTAAAAAACACATCCTGGGCAGGTATTCCTACAGCAGAGATGTGTCTAGATGCAAACCCCTGTGTACACAGCAGAATCTGCAGGTGACGTTGACAAAGGTTGTCTCTGTAAAAGATGGAAAGTGACTTCTGCCTGTGTTTGTCTTTGTTTGATGTAGTAGGTGCCATATCCCGCTCATCCTGAGTTTGAGAACATTCTCATCAAATCACTTGCTTGGGGCCCAGCAGGAAGAACAATTGATAAGGACTCCTTTATAAGACAGACCAAGCATGAAAAACAAAAAAGGCTCCTCCACACCTGGACATGCATTGCAACACTACTGCCAAAGCCACACTCAACACAGTGTGCTCCTGAATCAAGTCCTGAAGCACATAGCCTTTTAAATGTGAAAGCTCGGTAGGGCACATCACAAACAGGTCAAATAGCTTGGAATTCCTCTAAAGGATGGGATGAGGTTTTCAGAGCCAGGTTTCACCTCACACGTCTGGGATTCATAAAAACAGAGTTGAATGCAACTTTCCAAGCAGGGGTACATTCTCCAACCAGCAAAGTACAGAGGGACAGAACATGTCCACAACAGCATCCAGCCTCAGAGCAGAAGCTCAGGGTACTGTTTTCTTGCCAATAAAACCACACTCTCAGGATTACCTAAACATTCAGAAATCTCCTTACCGGGACGTTTACTCCTCAGGACACCACTTCCTCTTACGTCACAGTAACCTCTCCAACAGTCACACTTTTCTACTGTTACTTCCCAACAAACGTCCTTCGGTTTTGGGTAAGCAGAACTCTATATTTTAACTGAACTTTGACACTTCAGTCTGGGGAATCCCAAGCTGACCTGAAGTCCAGCTTTTCCTGGAGCCAGGCAATCAGCTCTGAGAGCTAATTATGGTTGGTTCTGATGCATCACAGGTGTCGTGACATGCCAGCCTACCTCTACTTGAGGGAAGGGCTCGGGCTGTCCATATCCCAGCCCAGTCTTCACTTGACTCTTTCCTCTTGGGTATAATGGACATGGAAAGACGACCACGTTAGTCTTTGGTGGGAAAAAAACTTAAAAAACTCAAATCACAAGGGCAAACACTGGGAGTCAGTTAAAAATCCTTTTCAATTAAACTTAATAAGCAATAGAAAAATAACCTCTTTTTTCTCTACTCACATCCAATCTTTCACCTGAAAAATTTATAACCATTTGCAGGTTTCACTATTTAATCAAGAATTTGACTTCCTGCCTACTTTATTTGAACAGATTAATGAATACATGACAACTGTCTCCACTGATTTTTGGAGACTAGCCCCTCCCTGGTGTGTGCAGAAAGCCTTTTTGCTTACTTGTCAAAACTGGGCCACTTGCCACTCTGCTCAGTGAACACTGCTCTGCCTTTAATGTGTAATTGTTGCCTCAGAATCCCTGATTTCTCTAAGAACTACCTAAGTCCCAGAAAACAGATAGAGGTTGTATGTTAAGAACTTGCGGTCAAAAGCCTTTTGCTAGTAATGAAAGGGCAGTTGTGCTGTTTGTGAATGTGCATAAGCTGATAAGGAGGAAATAATAGGTAGGACCATTCTTAAAACCTTGAAAAATAAAAAATTTTTTTTTTTTTTTTGCAGTACTGATGTTGGAACTCAGGGTTTTGCACTTGCTAGGCCGGCGCTCTACCGCTTGAGCCACACCTCTAGCCCTTTTTGCTCTGGTTATGTTTGAGACAGGGTCTTGTTTTTTTGTGGAAGCAGGACTGGACCACAATCCTCCTATTTACCCTTCCCATTGTAGTTGGAATGACAGGCACACGCCACCATGCCTAGCCACTGACTCAGATGAGGTCTCAAGAACTTTTTGCTTGGGCTGGCCTCAAACCCCGATCTCCCACATCTCGTCTCCCAAGTAGGATTACAAGTGTGAGATAACATACCCAGCTCTGTATGTGTGATTTTTAATGGAGTTTTTGATAATAAAAAAAAATATGATGGAAAGAAGAGTGAAGTCGGATTTGCCCCTTTGTTCTTCATAGGAGAGAATCAGAATAAGCAAAAATTTTGAACCAGTAATTTTACATGAATTTAAAGAAACTTTACTAGAGAACAAAATAACCAACATAAAGCATTCTGAATTCTGCAGTAAAACCAGCTACATGAGTATCTTTTAGCTTCCTTTTTCCCCTGCTCACTAGTCAAGTCCCTAGCTCAGGCATATTTTCAACTGTTGCTTTCAGAGTGAGCTTGCATTACAGAAGGCAGGTCCCACACATTCCCATGGTCCAAGTGCCTCTGTGGGACTGCCTGTCCCCTACTCCCATGGGATCAAGGTGGGGGAGGGAGAACAAGTCTGCTGTGGCTAGTCACATTTACCATGTTCCTCAGTTTCCCCCAGCAGAGCAGGAGCTCCAGTAAAAGTATTTTGCATGTCACTTGCAAGCAAAGCTCAAGGTTTTCTAGCTTTATTTTAAATAAAAAGAAGATTCATGCTTAAAAGCTAGCTAATGATGCTCAGTATTGGGAAGGCAGTTCAGTAAAATCTGAAACAGGAGGGAGGATGAGGGCTCTGCAAAGTGGCCTCTCATTCCAGGTACCATATCATGCTTCCTGTTTGTGTTCTGCACCCTCCCTCCCTCCCAGGCTTTCCCTCAGCACCCGCTGTCATCTTGTTTACTGGGGGAGACTGGTTCATGCTTTTCCTCTGACAGCCCTCTTGTGTCTCCAAGCCAGTTCTCAAGGGAACTGTAAAAGGTCCACTCATTCATACGAGGTAATCTTGTCTTTAAGAGACTTTGGGAAGTGTCAGGGAACTGTCAAGAAAGAGCTTTCATGTTTGGAAGTTAGTAAGGCAAGGGACACCTAGGCAAGTAAGAGGGTCCTTGAGTTATCAAAACCTCTTTTAAGTGCCAAGAGTTCACTGTGAAAGCAGATACATCTTTGAAGATGAGCCACTTAGAATCTGAAGACCCTACTTTCAATACTGGGGGAACAAGAACGAAAGAACAACAAGGGAAAGTGTAGTTTCATCTTATTCCCAGAGGGTCTCACTGGGCCTTTCTTCAGTATGATTAAAAGATACCAAATCAAATAAACAATAAGGAAAAGCCCTTAATAATCCAAAAAGGATTCTCAAATAATCCAATGGGATTCTCAAAATAAAACAACAAACCGGAAACAAAAGCTCAAGATGAGAAACGAAGATAAAATTCACTGGTTCAAAACTTGCTCAAAACACATTGTATGTATATATGGAATTTTCACATGCCTTTGTACTGTTAATGAATCCTAAATACAGTAATAATATTCACCGATTCCTTCTTACTAATCTTACAATGGTTGACTCTCTTCTCTGTGCCATTCATTCTCTCCTATCAAGTAGTTTTCACTTGTTTTCTGCTTTTTTTTAGGGACAGATATTAACATAAGCATATTAAGCCCTTCCTAAGAGCAAACATCTGCTAGACATGTAGTCATCCTAGAAAGAACTAACACACAGTCTTTGCTTAAAAGATGGAAATCACCTTTGTGATCCCTGCTGCCATGTTTCTCCAATGCACTATCTGAGGATTCAATATTTAAGAACCACAGAGAAAAACATTTGGAAAGATGTTATCCTGGCATCTGCTAGAGCTAGAGCCTTTTCACACGTCACCTTGGAGGTGAAAATGATCACCCAAGATGATTCATCAGCAGATTCCTTTGAGACTACAACACCAACCAAGGAACCCATAGGATCCAGCAAAACAAGAGTTCTAGTTTTTCTTAGCCTGCTGCTCCCAACTTTCATCTACAATGCACAAACACATTGTAGCACAGTGAATCACAGTCCCCTAGCAAACAGCACTGGGAATGTTCCCTGTCACTTAGGTTGAGTGTACACTTATGCTAGGATATAAGAGCTTAGGCCTGCAGAATGTGATTCTCCCCCTGGAAGCCATCCAAACAACGAGAGCATCAGAGCATGAGTAAATGACATGGAGCTATCACCACAAGACTGTGGCTGTACTACATATGACTGCAGAAATGAGAAGAAAATTCGGATCTCTTTGGAAATTGGTACATTTTTGTACAGAAAGCACTTTATAAAATATAAAAATTGTATCACTTAGGAAGATTTGATTAGTAAACAGGAGCTGAAATTCTATTTTTAGAATATTGGGTTTTGCTTATTTTTGATTAGAGACTCAATTATAACAGCAGTAAAATATAACAGTGTATCTTATTTTGGAAACATGCAATTTCATGGATGTATACTCCACCCTGTCAGAGCCGGATGGAGGATGGGGGAAAAAACCAATCCTCATGCCAGGAAAGTAAATTTGTGCCAACTTTCCAAAGAGATGTTCTTTGAAAATCTAAGCTCACAAGGAAAACTTTTTAATATTTTTTCATATTCAAAGACCTGGAAATAATCCTTACTGTTGAGGTCATATTGGTTGGTTTTAGGTTCGGCTTCTCTCTCTTTCCTCTAAGAATTGGTGGATATAATTGTGCTTGTTAAATAATGGTAAAATTTCTACTTTCAATTTTCTTTTTTGTTGTTATTTTGCTTTTAATTTAATGAGAAGATTCACTTGCTGGTTAAATGCAGGTTTCTCTGGGTAAGTAGAAAGGATTCACAATAACTGGTGTTACTAAACGTTACAACTAGGAGCTGATAGATGCTACAAACTCAGCTCTGGAGGCTTCATCCATCTGGAATGCTCCTATCCCATGGAAAGTGACTTTTCTAAGTTCCTTTCTTCTCTAAGATTTTAAAAAGAAAGTTCTTTTTCTTTACTTTTTTTTTAAATGTCATACTGTGTCAAATCAATAGAGCATTCAGTACTTCTGACAGAGGTATCAAAGGACTCTTTCACCAGGATACCCCGTAAGATTGCCCCGATGTTTAGAGATTCACTGCTAAGATCTTTAATCTCTCCTTTTTAATTCATGCATGAAGAATTTAAGCACTTATGCACTGTGTTTTACTTGCAGGTCTGTTCATTCTT